CACAGGACTGAGCCGTTGTTCGTGGATTTTGGCTTGTTGTCGAGGGTGGGCGCCATGAAGCCGTCGGTTCAGGGTAGACTGTGGGATGCTGTACTTTTCCGCTGCATCTTTCTGTGAACAAAGGCCTTCTTGAACCTCGGCTATAGCCAATTGAATAAGCTCTTCCCGGATAGCGGTCATGTTGATTTTGGCCCAGAAGTGGATGAGTTGTGTTGAGTTGAAGTTAGTCATGTCTGGAATGGTGGTGCGGTGCCAGGATTCCATTGTGGGGCCGATTCCGTTGCGGGGTCCAGACGTCTAGCAGTTAGCAAATAAGTTGATAACTAGAAATATAGTATTACCTAACTCGCCAGGAATAAGAAAACGCCACTCAACACACCTGCTAAGAGAGTAGGTCAGATACGTTAATCTGAACTATAACTATTGATTGAATCTGGCTTACTATATAAATTTGCTAGCAAGTTCAAGTCTTTAGCTACTATATTCAAAACTAAATCTTAAAAAAGTAGCTGTTTCGCCTTTCAGTAATATATAATGTAGTCCACTATTGAGCGGGATACTGTGAGAGACAGGTGGCATCAAGGTGAGGCGCTGCGCACTGCAAATGCCGACTCAAGTCTGCTAATTGAAAGCTAAGGAAAGGAAGAGGAAGAGCATATAGGATGCGCGTCTGCGACGCGTGAAGAACAAGTGGGCGCACACGCCACCCACCGATACTCATCGAAGAGAGCATGAGTCCAGGGCGCGGTATCAATCACAGTTACCGAGAGCTTTATAGTTCCTTTTTGGGTGTTATAGCCCTCATTCTCCTGTCACGGCGATTGCGCCGTGCCTGCCAGGACCCACGGGTGGGGCCCAGCGTGTGAGGGCCCCTGCGGGTTGAAGATCCTGCACCTCGCTGCCGCGAGTTCTGGTCGTAGCTCCTTGAGCTACGTCTTGACAATCAAGCCTGCCCGTACCTGACGGAATAGAGCCCGGACTGTGGCTTAGCCCGAATACAACTGCCATTGGACTATCAGCCTGTCCCACCCGTGACATCTCCTATAGTATTAGCACCATACAAAGTAGGCTTCCTGAGGTAAAGGTAAGTCGCTCGGATATAGGGTAGGTCATACGAGTTGATGATTGAACGTCAACGAATTGGATGTGATTAGCGTGCCAAGGCCCTTTAGACTTCGCGCCTCCGGGAGAAATAAATTCCATCCATCCATCCATATAGGGTAGGTCAAATAGGAGTGGCTTCTCAGTCATGGCTGGTAGGATAGCTTGGTCGAGGCTGGAGTATAGTCTGTGCAGGTCAAATGTGTATGTAAGGAATTTTCAGTGCTGCAGGCACTGCTTGCACCCTGTTTTTGGACATCTGAGGTCTTCATCGCAATATCAATCTTATATGTGTGAGCTGAAATGTAACGGTCCCAGGAGTATATTGCAACTAGCTGGTGACGACTCTACGAGTTTGCCTCGAATGGAGAGAGAAGAAGAAAAGAGAGAACTAGATGACAGGAAGAGAGGGCAGCTCTTATATGCTCCGGAACACACAGACACTGCCTGCCTCAGGATGACGTTATCATGATACCACGGCCGAGGGTTGCCGAGGCCATCATGGGCTCAGCCCATCACATGACCGACCTTGGGTGCCCGTCACAGCAATATGACAGACTCTCCAATTCTAGTAGGAATTACTAATAAATAAAAGTCTCTAACTAGTTAACTATATTTTATTCAAATTAATAACTAGTTAGTCATAGTTCAATTTAATATACCTAACTCCCGCCCTTAGCTGCTAGTTGATCGGCGATAAGAGGAGCCCCAACGGGTACTCAGAGGCCGATGCAACCAGCTTCAAGAGAGGCACCATTAGAAGGGGTCCAAAAGCGATCCAAAAGCCAGTATGATTAACAGCGCGCATTACAAGCACGAGAACCGTTAACCTCTTCAATCTGACTAGGCATTTAAGCACTGAGGGAGCATCCTCTAGAAGAGTTCAGTACAGCCTTCCCTGGAACCTCTTCGCCAGTCTCTCCTCTGTTATCCGAAAGACGTCCGGGAACCATTCCCCGAGCTCCTCATCATCGCGACCTTCCATCATGTCGACCAAAGCTTTTGCGCACATCCAGCATAGAACCATGCCATGCCCCTGGAAACTGCAGCTCGCCCAAAGCCCGTTCTCCCCAGGCACCTCTCCGACAAACGGTAATCCGTCGGGACTGAACCCCATGATGCCTGTCCACTCACTTCGTACGCGTCCTTCGGGATGGTCCTCACCCCAGTCAGGTCCAAAGTACCGTCCCGTAGTCTCCCTCAAATACTCGCTGATGTCCTCATTCACCACCGAATCATCCGTCGTCCCAAACTCCATCAGCCCATCGTCCGGAGCCCGCACCAATCCCCCTCCCATTACAATATCTCCCGCGAATCTGGACCCTTGGGGCCTCGCGACCATATACTCATACCCTCTCTCATAAATAAAACTATACGTCGTCGGCAGACAACCTCCGGCAGGCATTGCCTTCCCCGGCCTCTGCGCCGTGACCTGGCCCCTCAACGGTACCACAACCCCCTGAAACCGCGGCCACACCGCCGCCGTATATCCATTCGTAGCCAACACCACCCTCCTCGCCTTGACCACCCCCCGCTGCGTCTGCACCTCCCAGCAAAACCCCGATTCTCCAGAGGGTTTCTTCCTCTTCAAGCCGGTAACAGCCGTGTGGGTCTGCAAATTAAAACCTCCCCCACTCATCCCCCCCTTAGACTCAAAGTTCTTCCCCAAACAAAGGTTCAGAACCCCGACCCCAAACTTGTACGCCGACAAACTACCCGCGAAATACCCCACCCCGCCCTGCACCGTCTCCTCCCTCCCCCGGTACACCCCGTCATGCACGTGGAACATGCCCCGGACCTCGTCAGCAGAGTAGAGGGTATACTCCCCCTCGTCCTCGGGTTCTTTGCCCGGAGCCTGGTGGAATGCCCTGCGCATGGCGGCGACAGACGCCTGCGCGGACGCCCACTCGGCCCGGTCGAAGACGACGTCGACGGTATTGCAGGGGTGCAGGTCGCAGTCAATTTCGTGGTCGCGGGCGAAGGCGTGCATGGCCCGGATGTTGGCGTGCTCGAGGCGGGCGATCTGGATTGCTGTGTGGGCGCCGTGCGTGGTGAGGTGGGACGGGAAGGTGCGGTAGGAGGCGTGTTTGGTGTGTCCTCCTTTTTGTTGGTTCATCGCAGAGGAGGTGAGCAAGGGTATGGATGGGGGGAGGATATTTGAGAATTGGGTGCGCCCGGGGGGTGGGGCTGGAGGAGGGGGGCGGATGGGTAAGAGTTACCATTCCTTCCTGTGGCACCTGAACAAACCTGGCGGGCCTCGAGCATTAGAATGCTGGTGTCTGGTTTGTGGCTTTGCAAGAGATTCCAGGCCACGGCGGCGCCGGTGATGCCGCTGCCAATGATGACGGTGTCGGCCGAGGACGGGAGGTCCGGGGTGGTTCGGTGGTCGGCAAGGGGGTCCGGCGGGTCTAGCCAGTAGCTGCCTGTCGGGTTGGCGTGAGGGAGGGAAACTGGGATCTTAGCTCGCTCGTCCATTTTGTGAGCCCTGGTTGTTGTTAAGCCTCACGACGATGAGTTTTGGAACAGGAATTCGAAGAAGTTTGCGGCGAGCGGGGAAAATTATATGAAGCTCAAGCCTCAAGATGGGCATGAACTTCTGGTTGGTCAGTCCGCGTGGCGGTCGTGGGGGCGCTTTATAGGCTCATGGTTGTTTCACTTACACGTCCTGTCATACCAAAAAATGCACTCTGTATGCATTCCCAGTTATTGTTCCACAAGAGTCCGGGGTCTACCTCAACGGTGATGAGTATTGAATGTAATTCAGGGTCTCCAAGCTGTCTCGTACCTTGCTCTGTACAGATTAAAAAGAGACAAATGACCGATCAGTAATGCCTCATGACGTTTGCTGCCCAAGTAGTTTCTGGAAAGGCGAAGGTGTTCTGAAACAGGGGCGGAAAGTTGTCCGCTGGTGGTAGTGTACTTTTTCCTGTTTTCCCCTTCGCCCCTCCCTCTTCCCCCCTTCCCCTTTTCTTACTCTCCTTTCTTTTCTAGGCTGTGTGGTATCGCCGAGGTTGATGATGTTTCTGTCATTGCTTAAAGTGGACGGACTATGATGCAATCCTCAACCTTTTCTTGTTCAGCTTGGCTGTTCACGTTGTCTGCGGCCTTCATCAAGAGGAGCAGGCCGCTGTGTAGTGGCTGTGAAATTGGGAGATAGTCCTGTTGACTGGCAATGTCGGCAAAGACGTTCAGGGGGTAGGTATTTGGCTCGTCGTGGCTGGAGGCTAGCTTGTCGTAGTGATCCATAATCCGAGCGTGGTTAGGGCTGCCGTTGGCGCTGCTGTTGGCAGCCATCATGTTGTGGCTTGTCTTTGTAGTTGAGGACAGGGGCTTGATGGGGAGGCGCGGCGAAGAGGAGGGTAGGTTGGCAAGGCCGCTTTTTGAAGGTGTCAGTTGGGGTCGGTTGAGGGAAGAGGAACTTGGGTTGGCTGAGCGAGTTGGATGTGTAAGGTTGTTTTAATGCTGCTGTTTGTATTACAGTCATGATGACCTTAGCGCGGTTGTTTGACAATTGTCGAGAATGTCAAAGCCTCTCAGGGCCTATTCCTTATAGCAGAACCCTATGAGAGGTCATGTCCTGCAGGTGTTGTCATTCCAATGACACTAGTATCAGGACCGTTGTGCATCCAGCATCTTTATTCCAGGAGGACTCATCTAGACCGCCATGTGTCAACTGCGGTGAGCCGAAGAGTGCCAGCTGTATGCATGGGAGATGACCACCGACCTGGCGAGCTCAGCCGTGAGAACGCCTTTGCTGATGGCCTGCGTGTTCGATTTGTTGTAGCCAGTCAGCTCTTTGTATTCACATAATATTGTTGTCCAAGATAATCAGCATTTACCCTTGTGAGCCTTCAAACGGCCGGGGTCTTGATCAAGCCTAGGGAGTCGAAGCATGCTGGCCAGTACAGCGCGGTTTGGCTACTTACACAGCTTCTAATAGTTGGTAAAGTTTCTTTCTCTCATTAATGGGAATCATCATGTTGTCCATTGAGTGTTACTCTTATACATATCCTGCTACTTTGCGGTTCCAGAACTGCACGACTCCGCCAGGCCTAAAAAAAGCGAGGCTGGTCCATTCACGCAAGATGAATGAACACCTGCATGATCGTAACAGCTTGCATTTTAAGGGCAGCATTGATGTCAGGTCTTACCTCCAGAAGACACTTGCACCACGATCCGGCAAGCTTGACCCTCGTCTTGCAAGAAGCTAACTCATATCGCAACGGAACCAAACTGAACCTACCAAGACGTGAGTAATCACGTTACTGACAGGCTTGGCACTAATCAGGCTTATTTGAACCTACTTTAATACAAGTCAGGTGAGCAGTGCGGTCACTTTCATAATTGGTACAACAAGGACCCCTTTCAACAGCAATCCCGGTCTATTTGAAATGTTGAACATTGAGCAGAATACCACCATCAACAACACCACACAGCCTCGTGCTGAAGGTAGTCAGCAGCTGCGCTGCATATACATACTAAAATCCCACAAGGCATCCACCCTCTCCAAGATCCCTTCCGCCGCGGCCAACTCTTCCCCCATTCTCCAGTAACCCCTGATCATGTCCGCAACCTGCCCACCTATGCGGTGCCCCAGTGGTACCTCTCCATCTTCACATTCCGCCCACGCCGGGTGCGAAAAAGTCCTCCAGCACCTCCAACAAGCTGGGGTCGAAGTCCAACACACCCACGTAAGTCTTGACGTTTCCCATGACGCGCTCCAACTCCCGCTCCTTGCGCAGTATCTTGATGTCGTCCGACGATGACATCAGTTCGTACAGGATGCCGATTTGCTCGCGCCTCGTGAGGGTGGCGTTGAGACTGTTTGCGGGGGGTAGGAGAGCTGGGAGGGCATGGCACATGGTGGTGTCAGTAGTATTCGGGGTGGTGGGGGATGGCGAACAAGACTGGCGGTCGGGATTAGTGGCCATGGTTCGATGTTGAGTTTGGGTTCGGACCGCTGTTGAAGATCGGTTGTTGAATAGAGGGAACTGTGAGCTGTGTCTCTCCGAATCTCTGATGGAGAGCATGTCGAATGTCAAGGCTCTGTTTGAAGCAGTGTTACATACCGAAAAAAATTTCCGCTTTCGCCTCGACATTGTGTCGATGAGACAATGACATTGTCTCCGGGCAGGTGTGGGGGGATTCGTTGCATCTGAGTTGTTCAATCTGCATCTATCTTTGTCTGGCTTTGATGCACTCTTTTCCCTCCTCTTGTTTGCGGATTCGGAGACTACCATGCAGTCAGCCAAGGTTTCCTGTTTCGCCCTCCGTCTCAAGATGTGTTGAGATTTGGTAGCTTGTGCTGTACCCCATGCCGTAAGATATGTTATACAATACCAACCCAGCGACCCATTATGAGTGTGTATCTGACCGTTATGGCGCTCCATCAAGTTCTGACCTTCCATGTTGTGATGCCCTTGCTTTGTTCATGGGTGTCAGTCGGCGCCGTTTCAAGTCTCATCCCACGCACTCAAACAGCTGACTAGACTGAAAATGTGACTATCGAGCGGGAAAACCTATCAGCATGGTCTCTGAAAGCTATGTTCTGGAGTGTGCAATAGAATAACCGGAGTATAAGTTGCTGTCCGGAGCAAAATCGGATTGGGCACTCACGATGCAGCTGATCGCGACGAGCAAGCCGCTCGGACAGGCTTGCTCATCGAGGAAATATAATCTCTCCTCTGATGAACGGAGAATGGCGCACGTCGATTGCCGCGTCTAAGATGTAATTGTGCCGGAGTGTCAAGTCTGGTCTTTCGAGTGCCAGTAGCTGTGCCTCCTGGTGGTCGACGAGTCCACCAGCCATCCGAAAACCCGCCCTGCCAACGTAGCAACCGAGGCAGCAGCCATCAGTATTGCCATTCGGATTTATAGCGCATACGTTTCCCTCCTTTCAATGTCGGGTTATACGTGTTATGTGTCGTTCAGCGCGATGTCGCCTCGGCCCTTACGGTGGGCTGTGTGCTGTCGGGTGTCGCTTCTGGATGGTAGAGTACTACCTAAGTTAGGTACCGGTCAAGTGATTCCTGGCTGCAAGGTCTAGACCACACTCTGTCAGCCGCCGCCTAAGTCTGATCAAGCAGGCAATGGAAGACTTGGCTGAATTGCTTGGCCTTCAAGTCATAGCTGAGCACTGTTATAAGCCGTCTGGGGTTAGTGACCACGTCGTCTCTCCATCGGGGAGATGTTGAACAAGAAGAATGCGGTAATCTTCGTGCACGGGACCCGCCTTGTCTCTGAGTCGTTCCGGGGGTGTCTTTGGCAGCGTGGAACCGTGGTCCGAGGCCCTGCCCGGCGCAAACACCAAGTATGGGCCTGTGGTTCTGCTGCTAGCTGAAGTTATGGAATCCAGCCGAGTTGACAGTGATACAAAGCCGTCCAGACTTAGGTGTATATCAAGGATGGCCGGAAATAACGCAACCACCAGCTACATCACCGCTCCTCCACCGCCACGCTGGACTGTACCATCACGCATCGTTCCAGGTTGTCAGCGCCCATCATGGTGACCCGGCTGCCCTGAGCAGTCGGCGTCACTTCCGTTCGTGCCGCTTTTCGAATCTCGCATCGCACCGATTCTCTTCTACAATTAATCTCAGCATCCTTTCCTCTTCCTCTAAGCTCTTCCTCAGGCTTGCTTCCATCCACAGGCGAAGTTCCCTTTTGCCATTGTTGACCGTGAGTAAGGAACCTGTTGAATCGAGTTGACACCCGCGGCCGGCCTAAAGCTGGCATGCGGCGGGTTTCTTTGCACAACAACTTCCTCCGGTTGGCTTCTTGGCTGTCCCAGACAACGCGTTGCCTGTGGCGAGCCTCTTCGCTGTTTTCTTCCACGCCCTCACCCTCGGTCGCTCCTCTGTGGGCTCATCGGGTCTCTGCCCTAATGCTTCAGCCCTCCGTTGCCCTCGGCGACGCGGCCAAGGCATTGGCTCTCCTCCCACACTTCCCCTCCATCTTATTCTCTTCTCCTTCTTCCGCCCATCCCACACACATGGATCCTATTCTTCTTCCCGCAACTCTGTTCTCCTCTCCTCTTTCACTCCGGCCTTAACCTTCCTCCTTCCAACTGGCACCATACCCATCGATCATCTATCAATCATTGATTACTTCACCAGCCTTCACCTCTTTCCACTCAGTCCCGCGCTCTCTTGTGCCCACATTTTTCGTATCCTTGTTACTCAATCCACCTCGATTGTCAATCTCCGCTCCCCATCTTCTTCCTCCATCACCTCTTTCACTATTTTTCCCTTCTTCATCCTTCACTTCTTCTCTTCTTCAAACATTCCAACATTCAACAACCATCAATGGTCGATTTCCATAATCAAGCTCCGCTCTCTTCCAATGCATTGTCGCTGGCCTGTTCTACCGCCGACCGATTCTTATTGACTCTTGGGCAGCTAAACAACAAAACGCATCGAGCACGATTTCAGTCGGTCCAGCGACCACAACGCGTCATACTTCCTCTCGATCAGGCGAGAACAATTTCTTCAGGTACGTCTTCTTTCAGATTTCAGATAACGTACATTATAAGCGAGTGAGCCACTTTTCGATGCGACGCGACCCTCCACCAACAACATACCACTCGACAACAACCAACCATGCCTGCCACCATATACGAAGCTAGGGTAAACTTGGCCCTTGAAACTCTTCAAAATGACGAAAATCTAAGTGTACGGGCCGCTGCTAAGATCTACAACATTGATCGTATGAAGCTTTCGCGACGACGCGCTGGCAAGCCTGCACGACACGACACCACGCCCAATTCGAAGAAGCTCACTCAATCAGAGGAGGACGCCATTGTTCGATACATTATTGAGTTATGTGCGCGCGAGATTTTCCACCAAGATTGCGTGGTGTGGAAGATATGGCCAACCAACTGCTACGCGTACGCGACGCGCCCTCTGTTGGCAAGCTCTGGGCACACAACTTCGTCAAGCGCCAGCCACAGCTCCGTACGCGTTTTACGCGTAGATACGACTACCAGAGGGCAAAGTGCGAGGATCCAAACGTCATGGCCGAGTGGTTTGCGCTTGTACGGAACATTATGGCCAAGTACGGTATTGTGGATGATGATGTCTACAACTTCGACGAGACTGGGTTTATGATGGGCATTATCTTCGCGGGCATGGTGGTTACGACCTCGGACGGCCTCAGCAAGGCTAAACTCACCCAGCCTGGCAACCGCGAATGGGCAACGGTAATCCAGGGAGTCAATGCCCTCGGCTGGGCCATCCCTCCCTTCATCATCTTGGCTGCGCAGTACCACCTCGCGAACTGGTATACCGAGTGCAGCTTGGAGGATCAGTTACTGTACAAGATGCACAAGGTCTATTGGACCAGAAGGCCGTGGGTGGTGAGGGAGTACAAGAAATGCAGCTGGATAGTGGTAGTGCAAGGGGGGGAAGTACGAAGGTTCGGTGCTGTGGTGTGTGCGGCAAGCCTGGCCATAATGCACGCACTTGCCAGGAGGCTGCGGAATCATCTGATTCAGCTGTTTCTAATGTAATTGTAGTTAATTTCTAATGTTGGTGTGTTACAATTGAGCATAATTGTAGTAGGGCAGTGAAAAGTGGCTCACTCGCTTATATGGCTCACTCGCTTATAATGCACGTTAACGTTATCTGTTTCCTCCTTGTTCTCCTTCTTCTTGCTCTACCTCACATGTCCGCATAATGAAGGATAACCTGCCAACCATTTATCACAGGTTCCTAGCTCTCATTGTTCAACCTCGATTCACAATTCACCCAGGCGAGTAAGTTATCCTGAGCATTCCCCAGTCAGCTTTCCTGAAAAATACCTACAACATGATGGAACCGTTCGCGCTGGGAGCCTTGAGGCTGTGACCGCCTTTTACCATTATCAAAAGCTGCTCTGACTCTTCTCCTTTCGCGAACTCCTTCTGCACGATCCCCCACATGCTGAATATCTGCTAACGGATTCGTCTTGTCAAAGAGTCGTTTGTCACCTCCGGGTCTCGTGACCTGGTTTCGCAAGGCACTAGTACATAAGTCGCTTCATTTACCGCCCTTCAAGCCTTCGCGTTGTGCCTATAAGAGGCGTCATCTAACTCGCTTGTCACAGTTCCACAGAAAGAAACGTAAAGAAATGCCTGTCTCTTCAATCATCATACACAAAGCGCTGTCCAAGACCATCAAAAACCCATTTTCGGCCGTCAAAAGGCATAGGGTGCTGAAGCCCCTTACCCTCTGTCAAACTACCAGTCATGAGACGTTGTCGACAAGCGGGATTCATCGTCGAAATAAGGTTAACCCCGATCCCCGCGCACACATGTCCACACCCCGTCAATCCGGCCGATCGGGTCCTGAAGATCAGATCGCACGCAGATGGGATCGCGGCTCTCACATCATACCACATCACATCCCAGGCCCAGGGGGTCAATCCAGTTCCGATGATGATAAACACACCTCTCAGAGACAGACACCATTTGTCTGCTCAGTTGGGGGCCTGGTCAACCCCCACTGAACAACAAAGGCTTGTCAGGCGTCTCGAGGTGTCTCGAAGAGCAGCGAGTTGGTTCTGGTCCGAGCTGTCATCTGATGAATCAGGACGAGAATACAGGCACGCCAGTGTTGCAAAAGAGGGGCTTTGACGTTCTCGGAATCACTCATCGATGGCATACTTGGCAATCTGAGCCTCTGAAAAACTGTGGGCTTTGCAAGGGTGTCTTCACTTCCTTCCATTTCATCTTCCTCTTTCTATTCACTTTCCCATTTGTTACGTTTATCTTACCATTTTCCTTCGCATCATCCCCCCTCTCCCTTCTCATATCCATTTGGGTTTCGGCATCCGTTCTCATGTTCCATTCGAAGAAAGGAGTGAGGTCTGGATCCAGCCATGCTTTTTGCTTATTGTTCTTTTGTATACCTTTATCTGCTCTAGTTGCTTCGCTCTCCCTGGCTCTCCCCTCACTCAACCCCAATGATGAATAAGTCCTTGTGTGACTGGCGGGAGGACTTGGTCAACCCTGTAGCAGCGCACAGCAGCTCTCGAAGGCCAGGTGGTTCCGACAAGGGGTTGGCGGCTAAGCCAGGACGCTGAGAAGCCTGAAGTTGATGGTGTTCTTTTGTTTTATGCCTTTCCTTTTAGTTTTCGGTTTCGGTTCTGTTTCTGTCCTCCCGTCTCTTTTCATTCTGTCCCTGGCTTCTTTGTGCATTCCTGCATTTTCTCTTCTTTTTGGCTGCTTATGCTCTTTCTTTTCTTTTCTTTTCTTTCTTTTTCTTGTTCCCAGTTTTCTCAAGATCGTTTCATATATTCTGTTATCCGACGCAGCTCCGATGATGAAGTATAACCCTCTTGTGTCTCTAGTGAGGAACTGGTCAATCTTCACAGATGGTGCACAAGGGGTTCCTTTGAGTGGCCTTCTTGTCACTGGGATACGAACGTACGCCCCGCCTTGCTCTTGAGCATTAGCTGGTCACTATGTATCAGAGCACGAAAGGTCGCTACCTGAGGAGCAGATAACTTTTTCCTTTTTAAAAAAAATTCAGCTGCAGTTAAGCTGTCGATCTTTTCCAGAACTCTTTCAATCAGCGACCTTGGTCGGCCACCGGCTCATTCTGAGAAGGCTCCTACGATGACATTCTAAGATTGCTCTGGTAAATCAATGGCATTGCATTTGTCATATTAAAGGGCCTATCAGTGCTAACAATGCGTTAATGTACAGTACCTACAGGGTTCCGCAGTTCAAGGTACCAAGTATCTTCTCTAGGCGCGTCGTTGAGCTTGCGCCAGTGGCGTTACTCTCACACCATTTGTTTTCCCCTCCTTTGTCAAACCTTGTCCTAGTTATTATTATTGTGTTATCTCTCTTCCTGTGTCCTCTCCACCCACATTCATTTTTTGCTTCTTTCATGAAGCGGTTCCGATAAGCTGAAAGACGCTTGCATGCAGCGCCAGAGGACAGGACTGGTCGACTCGTCCCTGAGCTGAACACGAGGAGCATGCTCTGAGGAACCATCATCCATTAGGCCTGTCAGTCTTTCTCATTCTCCTAGCAACACAATCCACAAGGCAAGTGCCGCCCCGTCGAATCATGTTGGAGATTCAATCCGGTTGGCATTTGATAGACATGCACTCAATCCCTCACCTCTGAACTTCCATTTTTTTCTGCTCCCTTGCTTTTGTCCTTCTCTTGTTTCTCTTCTTCTATTGTTTTTATTTTTTCTTGTTTCTCTCCCTTTCTTGATTTCCTTCTTCTCTTGTTGTTCCTCACTATGGCTTCTCTTCACTTTATCGTTGCTTTCTTTGTTCTGCATTTTTCTTCCCTCCATCCTTGGTCGCGGTCTCATTCTTTTTGGCTCAGCTACTCCAGCTCCCATGATGAAAGTCTCGATCCTCCGAAGCACAAAGTGCGATATGAAGATACTTGATCTGCCGGTATCCACGAGGTTGTTCAACTTCCTCCAGTGCCCAAGTTTCTGAGGAGCATGCGAGAAGCACAGAAATCGACAAGGTCATTGTTCTGGCTTCACACATTGCGGTCGCCCCCGGGCAGACCACCTGACAGATGAGAGTACGGGCCAAAGATGAGAAACGACCCTTCTGACTGAGGCTCTCAAAACTCACACTAAACAAGGGCTGACATTGCATTCCTCTGGGTTGGCAAGCCCTGGCCGCAAGCGAGAATGGTGGACAGCTCCAATGGAGTTTGCTCATTTTGTGGGGACTGGAGCGCAGCATGGTACAGCCTGAACAGTAGCTTGTCGGTTCCTCGTTGGGTATGTCAGATACACCAACCACTCAAGGTCTGACTCCGAGGACGAGGGTCAGCCAGTGATCAGAATCCCTGGCAAATTGAACATGCACTCACTGAAGCGCGTGCCATGAAACAAGAACCAATCACTCTTCGAGGTCACGAACGGATAATGGCGGAGTTTACAACTGAGGCAGGACGGTTGTTACCACCTCAGCAATGGACTGGTTGGAGGAGAGACTTACCCAATGATGCTAACACAGAAGTGGTTGTTGGAGAAGCCTAAAACGGAGAGGAGCATGGCTTCGATCTGTGGTCGTGGCAGACATCGGAAGTCCAGTGAGCAGAGGCACTGGATGCAGCAGGAAAATAACACAAAACTCGAAGGCTTGGGGTGCTTCCAGTGAAGGAGGACACTGGTTACTAGGAGCTTGAACCCTGGGCTTAGCAGCAATATTCACCCCATCGGTATAGAACTCCAAGCGGATTGATGATCAGGACTACGTCGCAGAACAGAGAAGGACCAGTCTGCTCCACCGGAATCACTCTAGGACGGGTTGATCGGTATTGTTGCTGGGTCAAGGGCACTGGCCCAGCAGGGGAGAACAGATGCGTGAAACCGTGTTGCCCACGTCGGCGGGGCGGTTTGCAATGATTTGTCTGAGAAAGGGTCAGTGATGACGAAACCGCTGCCCAACGATTTGAGAGACACGGCAGTATGCGCAAGCAACAGCTGGTCTCCATGACATGGGCGTCGTCCTTCTTCTGGGACTCCATCAATCCTGTCGGACATGTGGGACATTGCGTGGATATTGAGACTCAAGAGCAGTTGACAGGATCCAAATGCATGTATACTAAGAACTTTCATGTTCAAACCATGTAATGATTGACGTATACTTGTTGTAACACGCACGTGGTGGCGTGAAGGGTTTTTGACTTCCATTTACCGTAGCTAGAGAAATGTTGAATTCGGGAAACGAACCTCGTGCTACTTGCCTCCCTGTGCCAACCATCCAACTGGAAATCAGTAGGCAGGTGATCCGAGACGAGGCAACTCTCGAGAACATGAACAAGCTGCCTTCAGCCATCAGCCAAGATTTTGGCATGCCTCACGAAAGCATAGTCACACAAGACCAATCGACATGCTGCGTCACGTCCGAAACAAGGCTTCAAAGGCAGGAGACGTTTGCCCCATTGCGTGTTGATATGTAGGACCGCCGCACGCTTCTGACATTGCCTGGGCCAGGGCGAGCGAGGCTCAGCTTCCAGGCAGAAGTGTGCTTGTACATCGGTGGGTAAGGGATTGATGGCCGGAGGCATGGATGCATCGAGGACTCCGGTAATACTGGTGTGAGGCAACCGAGCAAAGAGAGATGGGTCAAAAGCACAAAGTGAGTCAAGTAAAAAGGGAAGGCATTACCAACCACGGCTGGTACCGAGCTTGCCATTTCATCAAGGCAGCATAGGATGGTATATACTCAGATGTATCACACCAGATCCTCTTTCCCAAACAAGCTGAAGGAGATCTTGCCCCTGAAACGGCAGAAAAGTGACGCATCCCCTTTCCATGTCCCACCGCTGTGGGACACCCTCAGAGGCTCCAATCCCTTCTCTGTGGCACAACTAAGTGTAACCCTGCAGCCTATCAATAAGTGTAACTCAACCTCTCAACATTGACGTGAGGACTCGGCCAAGTCCCGTGACAGGCTGCCTCAGTCGTTGATAAAACGAGCCTGACCTATCAGGAAAGAGACAAATGAAGCGTCGAGGCGACACCTTCGAGAAACATGCATCAGACTACAGTGCGCTGGCACGGTGCTGAACAGGCTGACCACTTATCTTCAGACTTGACTGCGTCTTCCAATATGATCAGGAACTTTTCCAGAGGCGTGCGGATAGGACTCGGGCAGGGTTCAGTCATTCACAGCCATGCTGCGCAAAACCTGCAGTGCCCCAAACGCAGTGGCTCAACGCTCTGACTGGCTTCAGCAGAGATGACTTGATTTGCGAAAAGTGAGGCAGCTCGTCCAGGACTGGATAACCTTGCAGCAATGAGCTGTCTGGAGAGGCAAATGGCTCACGATAAGGAAGAGAGCTGACGCCGACGACCGCAGGCAAGCATGATGTCGTCACGGCCTTTGACACGGCCTTTGACCACGACCATCGCGGGACTCGGCATGTCCAATGTACCTCTGCGGATGCGGCTTCCTGCATGCACCACACCGGGCGACCGTGGCCATGTCGATCACGGCAAGTAAAGAAAAGGAAGAAAGGAATGCAGCAACTGAGAAGCCTTTCTTGCAGGAACCAGCGGGCGTTACGTGCGCCGTCTTGGTTGGGTCGCAAGACGTCCGACAGACACACTGCTGCCTGAGCAATCCAGCTAAACCACACACACCGCTTCTCGTCCCCATTCCTGCCTTCGCCGGTCAGCCATCCAACCATGACCACAGCCGGCTCAACGCCGGACTAACTCCCCTCTCACAGGAAGTCATTCCGGAATTTGTAACGTAACCAGAAACCATCAGAGGGAGCCCCGTGCTGGGCACAGTTTCTTGAAGGAGTGAACTCAGCATGGATGTTAAGGGAATGGACAACACACACCCTAAACCAGCCAGCCAGCTTGCCAGTCATGCGCAAAACAACGAGATAAAAAAAGGTATGCGGGATCTCGACCCTCAGTTGCCAGGGCACCCAGCGCATGCCCCCCTGAGAGGCGTGTGAGTCACAAATCGAGGAACGGCCTCCGATTTGGATCGGAGGTGTAACTAGTTTGCGTGGGGGGCCGAGAGCCGGACTGCCGAGGTGGATGCTTGCGCGCGTGCTGTGAAAAAAGACAGCAAAACGTTGCCTCGGTCGGCGAGCCGTCTTCTGAGAGAGATCCTGGCATCCAGCCTCGAAATCTGCCATGAGCGCCTCCAAAGATGGCGAAATGGCACCGCTTTGGAATCCCGGGTCCGAAAATTCCGACTGATCCCGTGATTGCCCTGACAGAATTGTGCAGTGAGTCGACACCTCTTCCATCTGGGTTGAAGGGCTTGAGCCTCAGCCACAAGGGTAATACGACACATTGCGGCCTAAGGAGACAATTTCATTCCAAACTGTGAAAGCCGGAAATAGGGGTGGTCCTGAAACAACAGCGCCGAGTGACGTATGTGGTAATGTAGGTCCTCCGGTTACGCTGCTGCAAAGGTATCTCATCAATCCACTGCGAACGTCTGCGAAGAAGCTGTTGGGCATGTGTCTCGACGTTGGGCAACGATACGCCGCCTGAATTTTGGGTTGAGGTTGGAACAAAGATGGTGGACCGTGCGTTGTTCGAAAGCAAACCGTCGTTGATCGCGATCGGAGATCGGGATCTGCTATGTCCGGAGTCCGGACAAGGTTTCGGCCAACCAGAAACGCTACCGGCTCGGCTTCTTCAACCTTTCAGATCCGGAGCAAATGAGGTGGCGCGTCCTCAAGCTTGACAAGGGGGGTCACCAGCTGAGCCACTCTGTGGCTAACTCACGCTTGACCCAAGCCCTCGGGATCGGCCTTGTCCCAGTTGAGCCTGAGGCTTGCAGGCCCCTTCTCAACAAATTCTCCGAACCCTCCCGTTCAGGGTCCACCTTGATTTGGTACGGTTCGCCCAGGAGTCAGCTCTTGGCAGCAACGCCTGTGCGCTGTGCTTTTCTGTGCATCGCCGGCGTTTCGCGATGCGCTGCCATGCACTTCGCTGTGAGACACCGAGTGGTGGGTGGCCTCGGCGTTGCTAGGGTGCGCATGGAATAGGAAAAGAAGGGAAAGTGTAAATGCAAAATGCAAGCCTCGCCGCCAGTCTAGGATATGAGAATCCTAGAGGCCGTTACCCCCTTGTTTTGCGCAGTTGCGAGAATTCCCACTGTTCTTGAACCCGGCCATGACTGGAACGCATTGGTTCACCATCCTGCAGAGTAAGGTAAACCAGCCTCCTTTCCCAAGCATATGCTTCGGAAGAGAACGACCTCACCGCTGGCGAATCCTGCACTGGTGCATTTGCCATGGTCCCCCGATTGGCCGCTACGTGCGGTTGAGGGCTCCCACTGGAGCTTCCGCAGATGCACATTGGGCGGTGGTGCGGGACCATCTGACCAAGAGTGCGCACCGTCGCGGCTTCAAAACTCTTGCGCGCTCTCGTTACTGGCTCGGGAGAATACAGAGATGGAGGGGCAGCTGAATAATCCTTTTGCCATCCAACGGTGATGGGGAACCACGAACGGGTTTGGTGGCCATTCGGGTGCAGCATGAGACTGTGCTACATGTGCTACGCGTTATGAACATGTCGAGCTTGAGGGTACATGGCAGACCTGGAGTTGGGATATGGCCAGGCGGTTCGCGGGGTGTTATTGTTTTGGCTGCCCCTCCTCTTGCTGCCTGCCGAACGCAGGGCCCGGAGGGACCGCCACGATGTCGTATGTAGATCTCGGCCTCGAAGCAGTCCCTCAAAGATAGTCGGATACGGGCTCAGACGGGCTTGGAGCAACACAATTTCGAAGTCCCCTGTCTTCGGCGCTGACGCTGAGCTGACATATTTCGTCGTTTTTCCCTCATGTTCTTCAATCACCTTTGGCCGATCAGGTATTGGGCAGAGATATCGTCAATTTCGCATTTCGACCAAAATTTTGTGCGCAATGTGCTACGTCAGAGGTTGCGTCCAGGGTCGAGGGCGGTATGAAGCGGTACCAGCCCACTTTGCGGCCACCCCCTCCTGGCATGATGAGCAGTGCGCCCATCCATGCACGGCTGGCGCGGCTTCGGACTGTCGGTGAGGGCCAAACCAGGAGCGAGATCGGTTGATACTGTCCCATAGCTGCTTGGATATCAACTGAATCTGCCTGTGTTTGACACTCGCGAGGGACTCGCTTGAGGATAACCTAGGCCGGCGGATGCTGCAAGAATGCAGGTTCGGTGTGTTTCGTTGGTCGACGGCCCGCCATCTCCAGCCGGGGGTCGAGAACGAGCAATGCATCCGAGGAGCTACCGGCCTCCGCCGATTGGCCACACGGCGGTCAGGGCCAAACAGCCTGCTGATATTGGACATCAACGCAGCAGAACATGCCTCGGGGAAACATTAAGGCACCAAAGCATGTGCCAGACCTGACACCGCCCCGTTTGTGAGTCACAGTCACCTTCGATGAGGACCATCGTCGACCTTTTCTTCTCCGGTTTCTGGGCGAAATGGGAAAATGAAACATCGAGTTGGCAGAGAGAAAATTTTTCGTTACGGTGAGCCGAAAAGGGAGAGATAGCGGAAAGATGACCGGGGGTTGGCCAAAGCTAAAAAGCCACCGGGGCCTGCAAGGTGAGGGAGGCAGCATCCGGAGGGGTGCGTCTTCTGGAAAAGAAAAAACACCACACCACATCCAGGAATTTGACAGCTGCCAAGCGAGCCAAGGTCCGTCCCGGAGCGAGTGAGAGGTCCTCAGAGGAGAGAAAAGGTGTGAGCCCCACTGAGGGCTAGGCGGCAATCCTGCGTATAATGGCGACGCCTATTTTCAGAAAAAAGTCGTGGATAGAACGACCCGCGACAGTGGATGTATGCTCGATGGCTGCCTAGACGGCCAGACACTTTTGACGGTATCCCAATACTGTATGGAGATATCCATACCGAACCGTCGTCCAGCCGATGCGACGGTATACGGGGAAGAATGACACCGAGAGCCAGAACAGGTGATGTTCTGAGGACCGTTCGCCAAGTACATGAGGGAAGCAACAGATGCATGCAAAGTGGCTGGCCTCTCAGCGCGGTCTTTTGACGCTGACAAGACCACTGCGGCAATTGCCTGCGTAGGTCGACGCCGTGGGCGGATTGTTTGCCGTTCCCGAGGCAGGAAACAGAACAAGAACAACATGCTAGGTGGCTCGGGCCGCTGAGGCCGACCGTAGTCAACGACAAGGACTCGTGCGCGAAGCTTCTCGAACTCGAGGAGAGATCATCATAAGCTCACTGCCGCAATGCAGCTCCAGAAACGAAGTCTCGGGGACTCGGGGATATGACTGCGGTACATTGATCAATTTTGCCTGTGCTTTGATATGGAGACGTCCGCGAAAAACTGTGATGTCTTACGCCGCTGACTGTACCACGTGACCCCACCGACATGTCACTACATCTGTAACCCTGACCAAATTCAACCCCCCCCCCGGAAACCCGCACTCGCGCTGCAAGGCGCATCGCATTCATCAATCGAACTGCATCGCAATGTGTTTATATTCATAGAATGCGCTCAAAACATGCATTTGATTGTATTTTAGTGATGCAATGCGGTGCGGTCCAATTGAGCGATGTGATGCGATGCGGTGCGGCCTGTGGTGCACGGATTGCGCTGGGATGATTGATCAGGGTCAGGATTATATATGGGCGGGGTCACGTGGGACAATCTGCCGCGTAAGTCATCACAGTCCCTCGTATGCCTCTTGATATGGTCGAAGAACTCGAAGCTGACCACTGCTGAGAAAAGCTGAAGTCGGAAGCCGCTTTCTCATATGCCAGTGGAGTGGATGAAAAAGAGAGATAGCTTTCATCAAGGGGAAGACAAAACCCGAAGAAATGTCTTTGAGATCACTGCCCTGAAAGGCTGGAAGGTTGACATGCCAGTCCAGCGAGCTCCCGCTACGTATCGGCTTGCAACTGCATGCATTGGGGCATGCGGATTGCCACGAACTGAACTTCGGAGGGATCCGCAGTGCAGCTGAGATGGACGATTCCATTCCGTCTCTGCTGAACAGTGGATGTGCTTGGTGCTTGGCAACCCCGGATTTTACTAAGCCGGAATGGTGGAAGCTGGCTTCGATCAGAATCAAGAAGCTACGTTCCATGGCAGTTTTCCAGTCACCCCGCATTGATTGCCACTCGATGATGAGAGGGGTACACTTCCCCCCTCCTGCAAGCTCGAGACATGCTGCAGCTACTTGACCAGTGATAGCAACCGTGACCTGGCAGAGCAAACGTCAACCCCATCGTTGCCTTGGCCGACTTTAAGAGAATCCATCCCCTCACGTTGGAGGTCCGTTCAAGTCCGCTTCCCTTTGTCCTCTCAAGAAAAGTTGAGCTGAAGGTAGAACTGTCGTCAGCGATGCGTCAGGTACACTATCATTGAACTGATTGATGAGTCCCTTCGCCTTTCAATCATCTCGTTTCGACAACTGCTCACCATCCAACAAGGGAATCACGATTACTCTGTACTCTGCTGTCGCACCTCGTTAACGAACCGCCCTCATTGTACTGAGAGGTTGTACTCGGAACCAGTCGCTCTTGTCACTTCGAAACGACATGTGTGATTTCAACCAGGCTGGTGTCCGAATCCGAATCTTCGCACTGCCCCAAGCAAACAACCGACCTGCCTCCCGATGCTTCCGTGGATCACCTCCAGGTACCGAGTATCATGTTCGACTTGGCAGGCCATTTTGCGTCCGTCGATAACTCTCGCAAACACAAGTCCTTCTGCGCATTTGTCGACTCATCTCAGAGTCACAAGCCGAGCCAGGGTGTCAGTCGTCGCCAGCCTCCTTGACCGGATTCTCACTTTGATCGCCAACAAAAGTCAGAGCCCTGGTTCCTTGTCTGTGAACTGTGAACCGAAGGGAAAATTTTTCACGGACGGTTGGTTGTTGAAGTGATCCCCTACCCAAAAGCTCCCGGTCGAACCAATTTCGCTTAGCCTGCCCAGGCCTGTTCACCGCGAATCCGGGAACAGTTCCCGGCCTTGCAAATTTGCAGGTCTTCAAGTGCTGCCGGATGGGTGATTGCTGAGTGAATCATTGATGAGCAAGATCATCGTCACAGCCCAAGGAACGACATTATCCAGGTACCTCAATACATGTGATTGCGGCTAGTGTTCCGGGTTCGGTTGTGCACTCCTCAACTCGGTGGCAGTCTCGAGGAGTCAGCTTGGCGCGTGAACGCCGGGCCGAAAGTGCATGCGGAGTTCATTCGCCGAGGAAGCCATGTGCAGGCACAGTGCGAAGAGAAGGCGCTGGAACTGGGTGGGGGTGTATGGTGGCTTTTGGTCCAAGCTGACATTGGGTGCAGTGACTAATATCGGTACCTGCCCGGTGAGCATGGTTCTGGTAGAAGAACTGGCTGAACACACGCCCCCCCCCAATAATTCCGTCTGAAATTTCATGGCAACTGGGGGGCCAATTTCTTCTCGTTCCGGGCCCCCTTGACCATCCCTGTTGCCCCTCCCTGATTGCGCCCTCCTGGCCGCGCACACCTTGGCTGATGAGCGAGCGTTATAAAGCGGGTGCCAACCTCCCAAATTCCCCTTTCTGCCAACTTTGGCTCTCTGCCATAGGTCATATTTCTCAACCTACTCCTCGATATCAACGACTGTCCACACCGATTTTGCAGTCTGGACCGCCGACGAGTCCAGATTATTCCAGAACAACCCGTCAAAGTCGTGGCTCGACTTTGATGCTCCATCCTCCGACCGGAGATAAAAACACCACACCCTTGACATGTTCGCAAGCAGAAGACGGTTTTCTTCCCCTCTTCCTACCGACCACAGACCAAGGTGACGGGTGTCACTTTCTCCCGCGTCACGGCACAGGCGCGATCAAACACGAAGTTTTGAGCTGAACAAACAGCACCACGATCAACCCCTCGCAGAGGTTGGGGGGTACTCGAAAGAGGGAGAGAGAGGCGAGAGATTTTAATTGTTGGAGACTGTTTGGATGTCTCGGAGGACATCGCAAGAGCCAGAGAAGATGGCCACCTACTCTCCCTACGGGTCCACTCCCGGCCAGGAGTATCTTTATGACGAAAAGAAGTTCCCCAGCCCGTCCCCGACACCGTCCCCACGTGGTCCGAGTTACTACTACGGCGCGACTCCGCAGCGCCCCGCGACGCGAGCTCACTTTCGCAACGGAAGCACCAGTGGCATCAACAATGGTTACGCCAGCCCCCGCGGCCCCTCATTTTCACCCCGGTACACGAGCGACGGCCAATACGCCACTGTCAATGTGAGTGTCTCGCGGTCACGCAAGCCCAGTTTCTCGGGTCCGCCGCGCACCACGCGCGAACGCCGTTCCTCTTTTTCCTACCATCGCGCCTCGGTCTCCCACGGGGAATCCGACGAGGACGAGTTTATCGATCTCGGCGGCGGCCAGACCTTTGTGCTGCCCGGGCGGTCCCGGCCGAGGCCATACAAGGACCACTTCACTGTCAACGCTGGTGGGCATGGAACTGATTACGGCTACTACGCACAGGGCGGTCCAATCTTCGACAGAGAGGCTCCTGGGTTCGCGTCGCCGCGGTACGAGGCAGATCGCCGGCCGCCGGTCGCTGGTCACCCGGTCGCTGGTCATTCCCGCCGCAACTCCACCTCGGTGCCTCAACGGCCACAGACCGCCCGGCCTTCGGCCACCGTGCACAAGAAGCCACCACCACCTCCCGTGACCCGCCAGGCCACGGAGGCCGATGCCAAGCGGCACAAGATTCCGGCGGGCTACTCGCTGAAGAACTGGGACCCAACCGAGGAGCCCATCATGCTCCTTGGAAGCGTCTTTGATGCCAACTCCCTAGGCAAGTGGATCTATGACTGGACCGTCTACCACCATGGCGCCGGCTCTCCCATCGGCGAGATGGCCGGCGAGCTCTGGCTTTTCCTTATTCAACTAGCTGGGAAGATCAAGCGGGCCGAGGAGATTGTCCCCATGATCCGGTCCAAGGAAAACCGTGAGATGGTTGAGGAGTTTATCGAGGCTGGCGAGCGGCTCACCGACAAGCTCCGTAAGCTTCTCAAGGCCTGCGAGGCACCCATGCTCCGTTCCGGTTCCAAAAAGAAGGAGGGACAACTCGGCAAGAGCGCCGGCGTTGAGTTTGTCGAGACTCTGTTCGGCGCCGACCGCGAGCTTGACAAGACGCAGCGCTTTATGGCGTCTGTCCGCCTCTGGAACCTTCGGTTTGACATGAACTGCGAGGATATCCTCAAGAAGCCGACCATGTAAAACCATCCATCTCCCTGTGCCCCTTCCGCTTTGCCGTCGGTTTCTTGCACACCTCACCCGGGCCACACAACAACAACAACAAAATGCGCAAAAACACAATCAGGATACCCACAAGCCAGGCTGTACGATTAGGTCTCTTTTCGGAGTCATTTGGTCATCCACATCTTTACGCAGAGGAGGGCGGTTTCTCGCCTACTTTGTCCATACACACATTCCTCGGGAGTAGTCCCGCATCACGGTGGCCGTCTTTTTGCTTCGGTCTTTCTCAGAGATACCCAACGCGCGCACGAAGGTCGTTTTTCAACACAACAACAACAACAACAACAATAACAAGAGTCCCATGCTGATAAAGCAAGGGGATGGCGAAATGGATCCTACGATCACGTCGCTGCGGCCGGAGACAGGCTTGCAGCCTACAACCTATGGGGAGATGTACAGGAACTTAAAAGTTACCGGGGTCTTAACTTTCTTTTTGTTGTCTTCGAGTTTGGATGGATTGATGGAAAGTGTGCTGGTTTTGTCCGATGCTTAAAAGAGGAGGCATATGGCAGCGATGCAAGGGTCACAAGCCCTCCAGATTCTTTAATGGCGGTTTTGTTCCGGGGCTTGGAATGAGGGATCGGTTGCTTTTCAGTTGCTTTTTCGTTTGATCAGAGGGCTCATCGCTGGATGTACGAGGCTCGTTTCAGTTTCTCCATGTCCCCCGACGTGCTCCAACAATTACAGCGAGCCGTCCCATTTTTCATACTCTCCTGTTTTCTCTTGGGTTTCACAGGATGGATATACCCCCTTTCGAGTATTTGTTGAGTTGCACGGGAATTATAGACTAGTGGTAGCAATTAGAAGGATACGGATATCCCGGTTTTCGATCTCGTGTCTCGCTCGTAAGACACAACTGTGTGCCTGGTTGTGTTTGCCAGGCATGTGGAATTGTGTGCCCAACAGGTGCCACGCCCTGGCCTTCGGGTACTCGCACCACATTCCCCTGGTCGTAACCGGCACGAAGCAGGTGAAAATTGCACGAAAGAAAATCATTAATAAGAAAAATTCTATCAGGGAAATGAGACTGTGTTCATTTCTTCATTCTTCGCGATTCCCAACATAACCCTGGACTTCCAGCCCTAAGATCATCCTCAGTATTTTTCTCCCCGTATCATGGTAAGTTTGAAATGGAACGCGGTGCCTTCGAGATGCTTTTTCCGTGCCGTTGCGCGCCACCAAATTTTGGGGTTCCCGTCCTCTGCGCCTCACAACCAGGAGTTGGAGAGGTCTTTGGATGAAACAATTACAAACACACACCCCAGGTTCCAAACTCGGGTGTTTTTGCACAGGGAAGCCTGAATATCTGCCTGCAGGCACAGGCAAGCAAGTATTCCATGGAGGAGGATCGCGGTTCTGAATCTCAGTTGGCTCCTACCATATCTCTTTAGTGAATTGCTGCCTGGGTTGGGATTCTCTGGCTTCGAAGTTTCGGGCCCATTCCAAATTCGTGAACCTGAAATTGACCGAACAATTTCCTCCCGGCTGTTTTAGTTTCTGTGCACAGACACTACCTTCCTGGTCTCTGCACTTTGCAGTTTCTTTCTTTCTTTCCGTTTGTGCTGCCAACCCCGTACCTATCTGCAGCTCCTTGTCAAGTTCAACCCGAGCTAAAACACCAACGGGTTATGCAATTCTCTGTTACTTTTCTCTCCGTTTGCTGGAATCACCCAACGGCTTCGTACGATTCGTTCCGTAGATGTATGTGGCTGCATCTATACAGGATAAACGGGCGGAGATGTCTCCTCCCTCCTCGCCTCCGGACCGAACCAAGAGATTTGATGTACCGAGCAAGACAGGTGCGACCTCTTTTTGCCGCGGCTGGCGGTTATGTGCGCTGAGAATTTCCATCTGTTTGTGCAATGGCGGAGGTACAATGTAGCACACTGGCGGGGACCCGTAACCCCCCCAGTCATCATTATTCGGGCCATTTCCAAAGCCTCACTTGTCGTCTTGTCTCGGCAGGGGAGCCGAGGCCGGACTTTACAACTGCGATCTTGAGTCGCATGAAACTGAACTGGGTACAACTTGGAAGGAACGCAGGAGAATTCTGAATAAAGCCAGAACTGTCCTGGTCATCTGTTGTTAGTCCGGTTTGGTTGCTTTGTGTTCTCTCTTCTGAAGCTGCCCTCACCTTCAGCACGACCCTGTCGCATTTTGCCGGCATAGGGACCTGGGTGCCGTTCCGCGGGGCGGCCCTCAAAGGAGACACCTTACCCAATTTGTGCGTGTTTCGAGCGCTGGTGTGCTGTGAGTGCTGTGATAGGAAATTTGAGAATGACCTGACATTATTGGGTTGAGTGTTTCTTTTCTGCTCTTCACCTGATCAACAACATTATGCACGCCCCGTTGGTCAAGCCCAGGCAATGCCACGAGATCGAAACCAGCCCTACACGTGGACCCGCTGATGCCGTTATTTTAGCGTCAAACAGACCCCAATCACAGCCACTGCTGCGACCGGATTTAGCGCGCTCCATGTGATGACTTGCTCTGGACGGCATCTACCTGACGCCGCAGTAGTGGACGTCGAGTCCGTTCTATCATGCAGTTCTGCCTTGAGAGGCCAAGTACATTGTACCTATGTCACAATATTGACCCCGAGTACAGGTTTGACGACGATTTCCGAGACTGATGCGGTCGAGGCGATGATGTAAGTGGGTTAGGGTTATACGTGCCACCGCTTGCCGCGACATTGTCGGACGAGCAAGCGCCACTTTACCCGCCTGTCCTTAGGGATGAATCTGCTGCTTGGGACTCCTCAACGCGTTTGTCTTAGGCTTCTAGCTCGGCGCATGGAATTTCCCGGAGCGGGGCGGCAGTTGGCCGAGCCCGTTTCCGAGGCCTATTCTGGGCTTTTTACGGTAGAGTCCAGTCGCCGGGGGGAGGTTGGGGGCTGAGAGGAACAAACATGCTTGTTTCTTTCTAGCATGAAACGGCACAGCTGAGCTGCGCCAAATTTTGATTTTCCCGGTTGTTTGTTTGCCTGTCGGAATTGAGCGCGAAGTATCGAGCCTGTACCCCTGTGTCCCCGTGACTGTCACACCTCTTTAGCCGTCTGAGTGTCTGTGTAACGAACTGTGGGAGATTCTCAATCCCAGGGCGATTCGGTGGTCAAAATTGCATCAGTGCACGAATCTTCCGAGTTGGTTTGTCTGGATTGGTTTTGTCCCTGCGACACAGTATCGCTAGTTCCAGGTGATGTCCGCAGCTTTGAGTGCACCCCCTCGCTTCCCTCCGTGATCTCTACTCGGTGGATGGAGTGTTACATTAAGATGATGTTTATCTCACGCAAAGGGGCATGCTTACTTATATATCCCTACTCTCAATTTTTCTCATTTTGTTTCTGGTTTTTAATGTATTTTTCTCTTTTTTTGCTTTTTTTCTTTGCTTTGCCACAGCGGCTATTCGAGCTAAGGTGGAAGGAATGCCGACGTGCTGCTCACTCGCCTGGGTCAACCGTGAAGACGACGAGGTGGTGAGTTTCTCGGCCGGTGAGGTTGTATCCTACTGCCTTGTGCTCATGGTCGCTCAACGAGCCGTGTGGTGCTGTGCCGTTGATGCGAGGGTGTAAAGGATTCTAAGGAACCAGACAAACAAGGCGATTGTTCGGCACAAGATCTAGAGAAGCATAGCACAAACGGCGATGCATATAAGAAAAACTCCACACCAACTACTATACCAGCTTGCCGGGACGTAACCAGAAGCAGTTGACTTCGAACCTGGTGTCGAGCACTACGCAGGAACGACGAACAACGGCAGGACGATAGTCGATGAGAAACAAGTGATCCCGAAAGATAGCCTGAACAACCGAAATGAATCGAGTACTTACTCGATTTTACAGCTCGTCTTGCTCATCAGTTACCTTCCCATGTGACCTCGTCAACACTTAGGTTAGCCATTTCGCTTTCTAGCACATAAGCATACCGCAGATGTGATATTCCTGATTTATGCTCGCCTGTGCTCCGGTCGTGCGGGCGGCTATCTGCAATTGCGTGCAGCACATCGCGAGGGGCCAATCAGGGGCCATTCCGGCCATGTGTCACCTTCACAGAGACGCTCGGCACATGCAGGGAGGTGTGCACACCTTCGCCTGTTTAAGAGTCGTTCACCTCGCTACACGCTTGTCTGTGAGGGTGCGTGGTTTTTGTAAACTTGTCAACGGGTCCTAGACAGTGTAGCCCCAGCGTCAAGTCGTGAATAAGTAGAGGGGAGTGTTTTCTTTGCATTGATTCCTTGGCTGCGTCAGGCAATTAGTAAACTAGTGGGCATGAACCCGTTCAGCACTGATCGCTCCATAAGTATTCTCTTCCAGGTTGTTCAACTTGTCAGGAGCTGCACAACATTCCATGGCCGTTAATCGGGGTTCCCAGAACAAATCCGGTGCAGTCCAAACCAGAAAATGGCTCTCATGTTCTCCCTCATTCTGGGTTACCACGCGACTGTACCCTGCATGCTGTGCTTGCTGCACCCAATTATTTTTAGGGATGACGGTGTGGCGCCGTCGTCCAGAAGTGCGTCCTAGCAGTCAGGCGCAGCATTGCGCTGCAACGCCCAATTGGGACCCGGAGATGGGTGCTCTGTGGCATCGCTCGGTGGTACCACAGTACCTACATAGTAGCATTGAACGATTACTGGACTCACCCCCCTCCATCAGCCGCTCACCGTACTACTTCTTTGGTCTTCTAGTAAGGCATCCAAGGTGTCAGGCATCGTTTGTCCAAGGTAGTCTCCCATCAGCGACGCCGTACCGTATCCCACACACGGTGGGATGCACACCCTCCAAGGTGTTTGACCGTTACACCTCACGCCATATGTACAGCACCTTCCAACCAGGAGATGCGGATGTCTCGGGCGCGGAGAGGTCAGCCCAGAATGACAGGAATATATACACATGTTAGACAGGTCGGTCAGGGCCTATAATCGAGTGAAAATATCGAAGCACTCCTCATTGAAAAGAAAGTAACAAGTCCTGCTTGGGTCATGAACCAGGCTTGCTGATCTAGGACTTATGTGAAGCGGGGTTGAGGGCTTCGGGCGGGAAAGCGTGGGAAGGGGAAGTGCGGAGCGGGCGGGGTCTGGCGAGTTCCGGCCGTCGTGGAGTACGGTGATTACGGGCCAGCGAACCCAGGACAAGTCGAAGCAAGGAAGTCGTCTGAACACAATACTAAGTTGACGTAATGAGCGATTTGTTTGTGCCCGACATTCTCCAGGTTTCAAGTCTACGGGCGGGTTTCGAATTTCTGAAACGAAAATTGGCATCAACACACCTCCAACTCCATATCCGCCCACTGGAAGAACCGCGCGATGTATCTCGCGAATGGGGCCCACGACGTCATATTCGGCCTCTGACTAACAGGGGATGTGATCTTGCAGTTGGCCTTGAGGATCCAGTTGCAGTATGAGCACAGCAGCCCCCTTGTCTTCTTGCAACAAAAACACTCAATTCTGTGCTGACAATCGTCGATTGTTCCAGGAAATCACGCCAGGTACTTGAGGGAAAGGAGATTTTATTTGTGAAGAGGAGAGCCGATTAAGTATACTGCTATAGTAATCGATGAGGGGTGTTCAGGGCGCAAGGCAAGGACAAGAGAGTCGGGTACGGACGGCCAGAGTTAAACCTGGCCCTCGGTGTTGCCGTTGTTCAGTTTTGAGCTCTTTTTCTTGACACTCCTCCACTCCATGGCGAGGCTGCCCACAATGGTGAGTACTGACATGCAGATGCTGACGACATACACATGTGTCAAGGCATCGTTGAAGGCAACCAAGACGGGTTGCAACAGGTGCGGCGGAACAGTAGTGTAGATGGCGCTGGCGCCAGCCTGGAGCATCTCGGCTGAGCCGGAGCTAACGGCACCCAGCGTGGACGGGAGATTCTGGACGAGGCGGTTCTGGAAGACGGCCTGGGCGATGGCGAGGAAGACGGCTCCCCCCAGGGTCTGGGCAAAAGCAACGGCCGATGTGGCGATGGGAACATCCTCGATGGGCAAGACGGCCTGCACGGCCATCAGGGGCTGCTGCATGCCCATCCCAAAGGCGAGACCTGTGAGGGCTTCGTAGCCGAACCACTGGCTGAAGGTGGTGTCGACGGTCCACGTAGACATGAGGCCCTCGCCAATAGGAGTGAGAATGGACGCCAGGATCATGAATGGGGTGTCTAGAAGACGATTAGGTCCTTTCCAACTACAAGGGAGAAGACAGAGGTGGGATCACATACAATAACCTATCAGAGACACCAAAGCCCCAGACACCAACAGCATGACGACCAAACCGATCAACACAGGAAGCAGGCGGAGGCCCGAGTCTACCGCGCTGACATGCTGGATCACCTGATGCCAGAGCGGGGTGTAGTAGACAACGATCAGAAACGCCGAGGCATTGCAGAAGGCGTACCACGCACCCGCGGCGACACTCCGCTGAGCGATGATGCGTGGCGGGACAATGGCATCGTCTTTTCTCCAGAACTGAACGGCGCCGAAGGCCACGCCCGTGACTCCAAAGACGACGAACAGGCCGATGATTCTGCCATCGCGCCAAGGGTACGTCGAACCACCCCACTGTAGCGCTAACAGGAGACTGACGATGGACGGGATGAAAAGAACCAGGCCAAGCCAATCGATCTTCTTGATGCGGTCGAGGACCGACAGTTGCACCAGGTTGGGCTGGTCGGGCGGCCGGAAGAAGAGGACAATGACCAGGGCGGCGAAGGCGCCGAAGGGCAGGTTGATGTAGAAGCACCATCGCCACGTAAGCTGGTCTGTGAAGACACCTCCGAGCAGCGGCCCGCAGACGGACGCGATGCCATACATACCGCCCATAGAGCCGAGAAAGATGGGCCGTCTGCGCAGCGGCACCGAGTGGGCGATGATGATTAGGGCCCCCGGCGAGATGCCTGATGCGCCGAGTCCGGCCACAGCGCGTCCAATGATGAAGGCAGCGCTAGTGGGTGCGAGCGCGCATACGAGGGACCCGAGCTCGAAGAGGCCGATGGCAAGCAGAAAGACGACTTTGATGGCGAAGAACGTGTAGGCCTTTCCGTAGAAAAGCTGGAAGGCAGATACGGTCAGGAGAAACGCTGGGGGCAGGTGTATCAGCAACAGCAATCTGTGTAGACTGGAGACTTGGTATCCTTACAGCTCCCATACCATCCAATGTCTGACATGCTTCCAAACTCGTCGGTAATTTTGGGTATGGCGTTGGCAACAATGGTTTGATCCTGGTGTGGAATTAGTAATGCGAGGCCGAACAGGTCACTCACTCGGGGACTGTACAACAGGGACATACTAACCAGAGCCACGAGAAAGACAGAGAGCGAAAGACCCACGGCGATTAGGATCAGGCCTAAAGTCGATGGATACCTCGCCTTAATATACACTTCTCCGTCAATGCCATCTTTGTCGTGTTTCTCTCCGAGCCTGCCATCGTGGTCGTCCTGAGTGGACTCTTTCTGCGGAATTGGCGTCTTCTGGCCTTCCGAAGCTGCTGTCTCAGCCTCCAATGTAGTCATTGATTCGTATCTATAACAAAAGAGCCAGGATTTGAAGTTGACAATAGGCCAGTCGCTGATAAAGAAAAGGGAAAGTGTTTGATCTTGCAGTCAGAGTCCGAGCCATTTGGATTATCTACCTCGAGGCTGACCCCCCTTTATATCAACTGATATGAGTATTATGACAATCCGCCGTTCGGTTGATTTAAAACCTGAAGATTGCGCGACCCGGCGTTGGAAAGGGATGTCGGCATGCAAGTTGCGGAGGCGGCGTGGAGGCGATTCGTTTGTTGTTACCTACCGTTGCAGCCTATCCAACCTTTTGGCGTTTTCATCATGAGCAGGGATCGCAGAGCCTTCCACAAAAAGTTTAGCGTGGCCGAGAAAGCATGATTGTCGTTTATTACCACCCCGAGTCCACACGGGCATCAGATGCACGATACGACGCATCCAAGGACTCGGAAGCCGCAGCGATCTCAAGATGCCGTTAAATTCCACAGCAAGTCCTGCTCGCCGATTTTTGTTCGGCCCTGTATGAAATCCCCGGACCCAGCCAATGCCGAGCGAGCATCAGCAGACTGTCGCGCGCTGCCTTCCGAAAACGCAACGAGGCAGATTAACTGGATCGAAAATCCATGAAACCAGATGGACCGACGTTCCAGGGAGGGCCCTTTCCTTCTGTCCCGCGGTCAAAGGGCTGTATCAATTGCGTCGCCCGGAAATCACGTTGCGGTGTGTCATCCAACGTCATCTTCCTGGTCGCCGACTCACAGGGCTAAGACTCAGAGGGCTGATCAGAGTTATTGTTAGCTTGCAGATGGCAGAAGGCCGACCTGCAAATCCTGCGAAGAACGTAAGCAACAGTGCCGCGGATACCGGAGGGGCGACTTCGTCTTCATGAGCGATGGCTGGAGAGCACCAGGAGTGGCCGCTGGCAAGGCAAATGGTCCACCAGGAGCAGCCACGCGGACTGGGCCTCGCACCTGCGCCGGAGGCCTAGAGACTCCTCACACACCGCCGGCATCCCAAGAAGCGTCCCGAAAAGACGACATGCCCAGGGTATTACAAGAAGACTGCCGAAACAATTACAAAATCACCGGTATTGTCCTGTCACGGCCACTTACACCAGAGCCCCTTGCAATCTACGTCTCCTTCTTTTTGTCGCAGTTCACCCTTGATCCACCTCGACCATCGCGAGTCATGGTTCAATGCTTGCGCCAATACTTTGGCCAGCTCCTCGACCGGCCGCCCCTACCTGGGGTCAAGACCCATCCAGTGACCGAGGCAGCCGAAGCCCTTGTCAAGACTTACTTTGGCAGGCTCCACGGCTCAGACCTACTCATTCGCGAAAGCATTTGTTCGTACGTCCGCGCACTCAAATCGCTATATTCAAGGCTGGATGAGGTCCAGTCCGTTGGCCTTGTTTGCTTGGAAGAGGACGACTGGACGCGTCTCGCCTTTGCTTGTTTGTTCCTGACCTTCTGGGAAGTGAGTACCAACCCAGCAGCTCGCCCACTAGATCAGCGCTAATATAACGGGAACATGAAGCTCACCATGCACCCTAACGGTACGGCTTGGCAAAAACATGCCCGAGGTCTGGCCAATCTGGTCGAAGGCCGGGGACCGCAAGGCTTCCGCTCTCCCAGTGGCCTCGAGCTGATAGGTTCGCTACGCATGCTGATTGTAAGCACCGTCATCCAACCCAGCACATGTAACTACTTGAGGTTATCTCACAGCCAGCTGAATAGTTGCTTGAATCAATCTCCTCCAAGCGCCGTACCTTTCTCTCTCGGGAAGGTTGGCAAAGTTTTCGAGACTTCCGCTGGCCCGGTTCTCCGGCCATGGTCGCCCAGTCCATCATCCGAGCCGTTGAATCAGGCGGTCCGAAACACTACCTGGACTACCTCGTCAATGAGCTGGTTACCATCTCGAACCTGACCGCGGACTTTGCAGAGCTCCGTGACGCAGACTTGTCCGCTCGATGCCCGTCCAGAACGCAAGCGTCACTGTCCGAAAGCGTTGGGGCTCTGCGACGACTCGAACTGGTTCTGGCACATATCCAAGAAGAAGTCGGCATCTTTTCGCCATACGTGCCATCTCGACAACCATCATCTGGTGGAACCAGCGCCCAAGCCGCCGTTCTCACAAAAACACACAACAACTCGCCGTCCGGCCGCGGCAGAACCCTTCCCTCCTCCAGCAGTGCCCAGCTGCTGAAATACAACCTCGTTGGTCTTTGCCGGACGGCCGCAATGACTCTCCGCCTCCTCATGTGCGATCTCATCAACCAGCAAGGTGGCGAAATAGCGGATGGAGACAGGTTGCTGCACGAACAACGAGGGTCACTCATGGTGCATGCCGAGGCCGTGCTGGAAGCCATCCCCTATAGCTACCGCAGCGAGATATTCGACGTTACTCCCATGTGCTTTGTTGCGGCGTTCCGGTTGGCTGAGGCTGTCTTGGTGAGGGAGTCGGACGCTCTACAGAGGGAGGTTCGGAGGAATGAAAGCGCACTGGCGAAATGCAACAGCATGAAGGACTTGGTGAGGTGCCACTTGGAGTATGTGGCGAGTAAGAAGATTTGTGTCAAGATAGACGTTTGAGTTCTAACAAGGAGAACCGACCTTGTAACGTAATCTGTGTTTCTAAAATTTCTCCGCCCATTACTCCATACCATCCACACCAAATTTGTAGGTTAGCATGGCAGACAGCCCGAGACTTGGTTCCGTTCGTTGAATGAAGATTGCTTATAACCCGGTGGCCCACTCCCTGGTCGTTTTACCCTCCGTACGGATTCTCTTCTGGGCTGCAGATGTTGTCGGGACGGCCCAGGCATACGGCTAGGTCAACACCCTTTTAACCACGATCAGAACCGCGAATGTCACTCTCAACGATGGTCCACACTCCGTGTCACGTCATCGAGACGATATAGAGTTTCGACAGCATCGCCGTCTGCAAGAACATATTGGGCATGCTCAACATGTCCTGGTTCTCAGTTGTTTGGTCGACCGCGCGTCAAGGATTGGGAACTTAATTCCTGATTACTTTAGTAACACAGATGCGAAGCTTTCACACTTGATGACTTGCCGGCCACCGACCTCATTAAAGAAGAAAGAATATAAAAGAAGAAAAGAAAGTCAAGGGGTAAAGGGAACTGGAGGGGAATGGGGAACTAAACTCTGGCAGCTGGGCCTAGGGTGGGATAGGTAGATATGTATATATGCTAAACTTCTAGGTCTGGATGACCACGGGGAGGAGGAAACGTAGCATGTGTTGTAGATCACTCGGTTGCAGATGTGTCCAGTCCAGATAGAGATGTCAACGCAATAATGTATTCTCGCTGGCAATGCCATGGCCGCCGAACTGGGTAAAAGCCAGTCAGCTACCACTACTCTACTGCCCATTCACCACGCCACCACTAGTCTGAGAGTAAATACAGTAAATCGAATTCCCTAAACCCCGTTGGCCCAGCCCTGGTTTGGACCCTTCGCTGACACCCATTCCCTCTTATCCTCAACCAACTACCACACAAAGAGAACGAGGTAAACCGCCACAAAGGCAACCTCCCCCCCTACCCCATACTCGTTACAGGTATCCAAAAGTGGTCATAACCAAGCCTACAGCGCACTCTTTGCGAACTCTTCTCTGATCAAGCCAACAACAGTGCCCGGCAAGATGCGCTCCAGGACATCCACGACACTCTGCTCGAACGGCCCCATCCCCCTCACCAGCCTGTTCGTCCCCTCCTCACCTTCCCTCTCCTGGGGCTGGACCATCCCATCCCCATTCCGCTGCCGGTTCCCTTCGCGTCTGCCGCCCCTGCTCTGGTTTCTGCCACCGGGTGCAGTAACAACATCAATAACACCCCCAGTCGAACCGACACTCGCACCCGCACCCGCAACCCCATCGGGCCTCTCCTCCAGGGCATCCACGTACTCCTCCTCCTCCTCCTCCTCCTCCTCCCAATCATTATGATCATCCTCTTCCCCCATAGCAGTAGTTTCAACATGCACCACACGAACCTCACCGGCACGTCCACACCCAACCAGCTTCATCAGTTCCTTACGCATCTCTTCAGCACCCCCCTTGGCGATCCAAGGAAAGGCCGCCTCCAAATAGACCTTCGCCGGCACAGCCATGTCGTCCCCCTCCCCGGCAATCACTCGCTCCATCACCTCCAACGACGGCGAGCGGGGCGTCGTCCAGCGGTATGCCACGGCATCATCTACGTCGTCGTCATCGGCAGTTGGTGATGGCGGCGGCGGTAGTGTTGGCATTGGCACACCGTGAATGTTGCCGATGCGTACCATATCGCAACTGAATGTGCTGGCGACCGTTTTGAAGTCAGTCTCGCAGAGGCGGGTTGTGGCTTTAGTCTCAGAGTCTTGGCCAGAGTTGTTGTGGTTGTGGTTGTTGTCATCCGACTCTGGCGGGGTGAGGATGGGTTCTCCGTTGCGGCTCGAAATATGTGAGGAGCAGGATGGTGCAAGGGTGGGTACCGAGGTGGGTGCCTTAGAGCAGGTGAATTGGGACGGAGTTGATGCCACGAAGTCAGTGTCGCCGGGATTGGGGTTATTCTTTTTCTTGCCCTTGTTCTTTTTCTTCTTCTTGTTGTTACTTTTTTTGCCCTGGGCTGGTTGGGGTTGGGCGGAGGTTGCTTGCTCGAATGATGCGGTCTTTTCTCGCTGTCGTGCTTCTTCAGGGGCTTGAGCAAGTGCCTCCTTCTGGGCGGCTTCGCTGTCTTGTCCTCGCTCTTTAGTAGCCTGAGCCGACGGCATCTCATGGGAACTGTCGTCCTGGTTTTCCTGCTCAGATTGCTCCTTTTTTTCGGTATCGTACTTGCCTGACTTGTTTTCTTCTGACTCCGGTCTATCTTCCACCAGCTGATCCAACGCTTCAGATGCATTGTGATACGCTGGAATCTGCTTTTTTGCCAATTCAGAAGCTTCCGTCTCTTCTTCCTATGGTCGCTCCGGTTTGGGTTGCTCCGTAGGCAGCCGCTCCGGCTGTTTGCCCTTGGCTTTCTCGGATACTCCTGCTGGAGTGCTGACGATTCGGTGTCGTACCGAACTGGGCTGCCCGGGCCTGGGGTACTGTAAGGCTGGAATCTGTCTTGCAGTCTGTGGATCTTGCCATCTTCCTCTTCCCGTGAACGATGATGCCGAACTACCTGGCTCCGAACTTTGGCGCGGACACAATCTCTGTCCTGACCCCTCAGAAGGAACCGGTCCATCTGTGTGACGCTGGATGGTCTGCTTTCGGCTGCGCCAAATATTTCCGTTCGTCGTCTCTGCATAGGCGGCTCGCGGTTGCTCCGGCATCGACTGTACGCGCTGCTCAGACGCTCCGCGCTTGGCCGCGACCTGGCTCCATAGCAATTTCTTGGGGGGAGCCGGCGCACTCCCCTGCTCTTGTGCTGGCTCGGTGTGCTCCTCGGATGGCCGCGGCTGAGCCGAGACCTGCGATGAAACGAGTTGCTCAGGGGGCTGGGGCGTAGTTGTGGCCCTGGGCTGGCTTAAATTCCTTTCCTTCCATTCTGCAAAGCCAAGCTCGGGATCGTCATCCGATACCTCGGACCAGTCTTGCCCGCGGAGTTTGGTCGTTGGCTTCGAAGATTGTTCTGAAGCCGGTGCGCTCGACCCAATCCGTAAATCTCCCGACTCTCCTGCCGGTACGATTGTGGAGAGATTGTCGCCAGGTTGGGTCTCCTTGTCTGACTGGGCCGTCTCGTCTGAAGGGGTCTCCTCGTTTGGCTGGGTTGTCTCGTCTGAACGGGTCACGTCGTCTAGTTGGACCTTCTCGTCTGGCTGGACCGCGTCATCTGGCTGGGCCACCTCGGCTGGCTGGGTCACCTCCTTTGGCTTTATCTGCTGTTGCATGGCTGTCCCAATGGCATCTGCCACCGAGATCTCTCTCCTCGGTTCAGCCATCTCACTTTGAACCTGATCCGACTCGGAATCCGACGGAATGAACAGTGATGGGTCGTCAGGGGCCGTCTGCCGTGGGCTTGATCCTGCAGTGTTGCCTGTATTCATACCCTCTGCCTCCCGATGAATGTTGATATCCCAAGCAACTGTTGCCTCCTGGGGGCGCGGGCTGGGCCGAGGAGATCTAACCAGCTCTCCCCCATCATCTTGATCGCCGTCCTCTTGACCGTCGTCCTCCTCAACATCCTCCCATTCATCGTCGTCCCCTTCATCGTAGCCCCCTTCATCGTCGTCTCCATTGTTGTTAGCTTCATCGTCGTCCCCTTGGTTGCCGTTCCATTGACTGCCGTCCCATTGATTGCCGTCCCATTGATTGCCGTCCCATTGATTGCCGTCCCATTGATTGCCGTCCCATTGGATGCCGTTCCATAAGGTGCCGTTCCAATCGCCTAGTCGCAGGGCACCGGCGGAATTCACGTAAACGTAAATTTCAGACGCCACGAAAAGCTCCACTAGTTCTGCCACCGTCGCTTGACAGCAAGTGACTCGTCTCCAGCGATCCTCGGCGAAGAGTGGGGGGAACGGTACCCTACCGCGTAATCTTGGCCTGGGCAGCGAGACCAGTGGCCTCCCATCAGAATCAATGAGTCTTAAGCCGCCGCCCAGTTCCTCCCAGAGGGCGAGTCCATGGGCAGCGAAGAGCTGTGCATACTCCCCAGGCGTTAGATTTGACAAAGGGAGCATTCTCCAGTCATTGGGGGGTCCGTATGCAAAGAGAGGAGGTTGAACAGGCTGATCGTCGGGATGAGCGGCCGGGAAATAGTGGTCCGGGTCCATCACTGCGAGGTCAGTTTCTGGAGTGGACGGCTGCTGTTGAACTGGCTCGAAAGGCGGCGCTTCAGGGTTGAACAGCTGTTGTTCGGCTGGCTCGAAGGCTGGCGCTTCAGAATTCAACAGCTGCTGTCTGACACGGTCATGAGTCGCTGCAGTGCGGGAGCTGGGTTGTGGACGCAGTCGTGGTCCCAAATCCTGGTTGATCGAGGGAAGCGCTCAGTTCAGAGGAGTTGACTGGTCCTCAAAACTGGACAGGCCCTGTTCGGCTGTCCCAAACCCGTCGGTGGACTCAGGGCTGCGCGGCAGAAGCGAGCCTTGTATCCCGCGATATAATGCTTGGGCCGGGGGCGATAACTGAGGCCCGAGGCCGAACCTGTCCTCTTCGACCGGCTTGGGTGTCGGCGGCGGAGACGGCGCTGAAGGGTGAAAGAAAAGGTGGCCAACCTCCTGATATGGTGAGAGCAGCTCTGGGTTCACGGGCGGTGAACGGCATGCGAAAGTGTGCGGGTCCTCATTGAAGTCCTCTTCGACTAGCTCGGGATAGGGGATCTGGCTGACTAGCCTGACTAGGTCAGGAAACCTTGCTTCAAGCTCAGCGTTCGTGGGCCAATTATCAGTCTCGGGCGTGGACGGGCGTGCAGTCTCCCTAGTATGATGTGTGAGAAATGCTCGATTCGAGGATTACGGTCGCTTGCTAAGGATTGGATGTGGTAAACAAAGGATTGTTGGGTCTGAGTGTGTTATGCTTGTTTTGGCGATGGCAAGTGGGAAGAGAAGCAGCAGCCAAGTCACGGGCAGATCAGGGAAAGAAGACAGGAGTATTCACCGAGGCCTGATGACTTGTTCCGCTTGAAGGGCTCCATAACGGCCCCAGTTATGACGCTCGAAGCCAGGGTGCGGAGAAAAGCTTTCACAAGAGAAGGAAACATGGCCGCTGCTGTTTTCTGTGAAAATGGAGAAATGGTTTGTAGATGAGGATGGGGAAAGCTCAAGGGGAGTGGGAGTCCATGTATTTGTGGGAAGCCACGACGCGACGAGCGCAGGCTAGATCAGTAGCGTCAACACGCGTTCATATCATCATATGCAGACGCCAGAAAACCTAAGAATCAACGGGAAGGAAAAATGATATACATGTATGCAATGCGCGGTGGCAGGTGTGAACTCATTATGGGGTCAATACAGGTTCGACCCAGCGCAGCTGAAGCCACTAAACTGCCCTTGACCGACCTTGGGCGGATAATCACTTGGCCGGCACCTGCATCATCGCGGTCCACGGGACGAGTACTGGGATCAGAGAGACACGAGGTTGATGCCCCGACAAAGCCCAGCTGCATGTGCAGCGGTGGCTGTGGAAGGAGGAGCGTGATGGCCTGCAGCCACGCATGCTTCGACGTTACGTATCTCCTGACGCAGTTATTCCGGCCGTCATCTCCACACGCTAGCGCTTTCCGTCCCGGCCTTCTTGCCTTCTTGATAGGTCGCGTCAAGGGACTTGTAAAGCGCCTTTACTCTGGCAATCTCGCCTGCCCAACGCTTCCGCTCGACCTCGTCTGAGAGATTGCTGACGAGGTCGGCCAGGCTCTTGGCGGAAAAGAACCTGTTCGTCCGGTTGTAGAGCGGCCGGGCAGCCAGGGTCTTGGGCGTATCTGACGGGGCAGGGACTCGGAAGACTTGTTCGAGGATGTCGATGTCGTAGGGGATTGAGAAGAGATCCCGGCTGTCCTCGTATGTAAAGAGGTAATAGAACTCGTTGAACCCAGCCCACGCAATGCCACTCAAGCACAGCGAGCATGGCTCGTGAGTCGAAAAGAAGATGCAGTCCTTGGTGGCCGGGCGGCCTTCGGGCGGGGACAAGAAAAAGGTCTGAATGCAATTGATTTCGCCGTGCAGCAAGGGCGAGACGCGCTCGTTGTTGGTTGAAACCGTGACTGGGGCGAGGTCGGAGCGAGCCAGAATGGCGGCGCCAAACACCTTGCTCCCGGACGAGACGCCGGCGCTGGTAAGCGGCACAATTTTGTCTTCGGTGATGCGAAGAAGCGCAGAAAGCAGGGTGTCAGCTGAGTGCAAGCGCGGCGCGGCCATGGTCAGAGGGTGATGATGGATTGGAGGCTGACGGTCGAATTTCAGTGGGATGCCGGAAGGATACAAGCAGACAAATCGAAGTTCTGGGCGAGTGGGTTGCCCGGACATCAGGTGTTGGGTGGCTGATCATTTATTCATTTCCCCTCAACGTTATTGAACCGACGAGGATCCGGACCCGGCGACGGCCGAGACCTTTGCTTGCACGTTTCGGCGGGGTCCGCATCGGCGTTCGATCTGGGGGAAGGATGTGGGGCGGGAGATATAGCATCCTCATCCCTATCTGACAGTGAGTAAATGTCATGATTGATCAATTATGTGCTTGTTTTGCGGTATGTTGTTGTCGATGATCACTGAGGTCAGTGAGCGTGTGACGACGGGATGAAGTCGAAACATTAAGGATTCTGGCAACCGTCTCACTTTTGTCACACGTCCGGAACCCTAACCCTCAATAAGCGTCCCTGCCATGATCCGATCACCAGAAATTTCAGGTTTGAGACAATGGACCACAACAGCGACAACCAGAATACTGGGACAAGCGCTCACCTTGACCACCTAACTTGCAGGTTTGCGACGCCGATTTTGTGGCTCATCTTAGGAAGAATGCACTATATCAGATTCTGCCGACCGCCCGAGGTCCATTCCGGCCGATCCCAGTCCTCGGTCAAAATCGTGCTCACCATCACCACCGACCTCAGCGACTCGTTCCTCTCACCGCGCAGCCCGGTCCAACTCGCCGTCATAGGCGCATACACCGAGCACAACGACGGGAGGTCCCAGCTCATTCCCGTTTTTTTGACGCAGAACAATCCCCCGGCATGGCGGGCTGGAATGAGGGTGCTCAAGCTGGACCTGCCGCTGCCACCGCGGCCCATCGAGACCATACAGATCCGACCATTGAGCCGGCAGCTGACAGCTCTGAGTACGGAGGATGTCCTTCCCGGAAACCAGGGATTGATTATGGCCGTCTACGCGGACATGCCCCGCCAGGGCGATGGCCGGGCGCCGTCGGTGTGTTTCCGGAGCCTGCGCCTGTCCGCTGGCGATGTAGCTGCCGGCCAAACCCTGCAGATAGAAGAAGACCTGGGCGAAAGCATCGCGCGCCACATCTGGGACTCCGGCATTGTCATGGTCTCTTTGCTTGCAGATATTTGCTTGGATTCCACCGATGCAAGTCATGGGAAGCCGTTGCCCCTGTTTCGCGGCATCCTTCTGAGCGACAGCAGGTCACTCAACGTACTGGAACTTGGGTGCGGAGTTGGCGTCATGGGCATCGGTCTGGCACGGATCTTGTCCCTCAGGCGGGCAAAACATACGCCGCATATCCTCATGACAGACCTGCCCGAAGCAGAGGAGAAGGCACGTGCGAACATCGCCCGCCAAGGCGAGAGTTTGGCGGGCGGCTCGGCCAATCTGAATTTTGAGCCTCTAGATTGGCACGACGGGGAAAAGGGAGTCCTTGGCGAGAAGGCAGCTTCACGCGCGTGGGACCTCGTCGTGCTGTGTGACTGCACCTACAACACCGACACGCTCCCGCCGCTCGTCAAAACACTCTCGGCCCTTCACAGTCACTCCGCCCGGCGAAGTGCCGACGGTCGGTGCCACGTCAGAACCGAAGTTCTTGTCGCTACCAAACCGAGGCACTCATCCGAGATGATCTTTTTCGACTTGATGTCCGACGATGGATGGACCGTCCGGGAACAGACAGCCCTGTCGCTGCCTCTTCTAGATGGTGAAGGACAGACCGTCGAAGTTTATATGTTTGGGAAGGAGGGGTGAGGAGATGTCATCTCAAGCCATCGAAATGCAACCGGCATGAGAACCTCTTTGACTAAACCGGTCACATCCAATGCCCAGTTTCCACTCCCATCATCTCTGACAGGAACCTAGTCAGCTCTGCTCGGAAACTGCTTAAGATACATGGATTTGGGTGGGCATTGTTCTTGTCTCAACCGGCCATGTTGGCAGTTTCCTCGACTCACGCTGCGACGTGCTGCGGCGTGAACGGACTCAAACGAAGGTACTTGTACTTTCGCCGCGCAAGAAGCTCGTGAACACATGCGACTGCAGTGCCATGACAGACGAGTCAGTTAAGCTGAGGTCAACCACCAACAGAACCAAGAAAGCACCTCCTCATTGCTCGCATCTGACTGATTCCCAGCGGCTTATGCAAAGTGTACAGGTAAAAATAATTAAGATGACTTGTATGCAAGCGTAAGCTTTGGGTAAGTGATCAAGAAGGAATGCGATCATGGATATATGCCGCTCTAACAAAGAAATTAAAGTTGGATTATCCATAGAGCCTTGGACTTTGGCAGGATCGACATCGACCTCCATGTTTTTGGCCATTGGCCACGGCTGGGCAGCTTGGGAGTGCTTGAAGTCGTCTGGTCAAAGGTGGATGCAACCCCTGCGGCAGATCAGTGATGGATGTGAAATACCTCGCCTCGCATTGGCTTCCTGCTCTTGAATTCAGCCAATCAAAGAGCGTGCGATGACCGGATCCGGTTGTGCTGGGCCTTGGAAGGCGTTGGGACCCACAGTGTCAGCTTGCAGCTCCGCCGCCAACAGCCTGCGACATCAGACCTCAAACGGGTATAAGTTGCCCTTGACCGCACATGCTCTCTGCTCAACTTTACATCGGAACCAGCAACTTGAACCTCATATCCCACGATTTCCTGACACTTCCTCCCTCTCTGTTGATCCGGCCCTCCACCACAACCTATTCCAAAACAATTATCGCCTCTCGACTTGACCACGTCGCTCTCATCCTTCACTTCAAGGAACACTCAACGACACACACATTCATTTGCAATGTCGTCCCAGGCTTCCAACTGCTGCGGCGGCAAGAGCGGCGCCGACTGCGTCTGCGGTAAGTCGACTTCACAAGCCCACGCCCAAAACCTGGAAGTTGCCCTAAGCTCGAGCGAAGCTAACTTTCGGGGCCTCGTTCCCCCACTCCCCCCACACAGCCCAGCAAGCTACCTGCTCGTGCGGAAAGCAGTCGGCGCTTCAATGCAACTGTGAAAAGGCCGGCTCCGAGAACTCGACCGAGGGCGCCCGCTGCTCGTGCCGCGCCCGGCCCGAGGGGCAGTGCAACTGCGCACGCGCCGAGGCCGAGAACCAGAAGGCCAAGACCGGTGCGTGCGGTGCTGAGGGGTGCGATTGCGGGTGCCGTGAGTCTGGTACGTTATTTACTCCCTTCCTATCTCTCTCTTTTTCTCTGCGGTTGGTAAAAGTCGGTGATTGGAAGTCAGGACACCGTGGCTAATATGGGACAGGGGTGTGCAACTGCTCCAAGAAGGCAGATGCTGGCTACAACCCGTCGGAGAACGAGACCGACTTCACGACCAAGGCTTGAGTCTGCGGCTGTGTTTGGGGACTTGAGCGGAGTACCGGAGGGGTTGCGTGGATATAGGGTCTGGCGGGACGGTTGGCGTTGCGGCGTTATTGGGTTGACAGCCGGAGAGGTCCTTGGGGGAAACGCCGCGCTCTAGAGGTGATAAGCATAATGGCGACCTACGTAGGGAAATTGATCGAGGCGGAAATTTGTCCTGGTCCAAGATTTGCCTGCAAATTTGTTGGTGTGTGAGTCTGAACAATTTGGCAAAGGTGGATGCAATGATGCAACCCTGAGAGACAAATCCACGACCGGGCGGGTGGGGGTCTGGTAGCAACGCAGCCAGTGTTGGCGGTGAAAGTCGATGAGGAAGGTGACCGGTAGCGACGTATCCGATACGTCTCCAGGACCCCGACTCCGAGTTGGATTTAGGCTTCGACTTCGACTTCGACGCGATCCGTCCTCGCCTCCCTATCCGACGACACTTACCTGGACGTCAGATTTCGGGCGGCTTGTCTTACCGTCCGTGCAGTTTGAGGCAAGTTCAACAGCAGCAAATATTGTCTAGCGGGGAGCGCTGGCTGACGGGTCACCTCGGCTGAACCCCCTTTGCAGACATGTTGTGCAGGCAGATATTCGGGGCCGAGATGCCGTTCGCGTGCGTTGTTTCCGCAGAGCCCCATGGAACCAGTCGATCACAGCGATAACGAAGACAGGGAATAAGAGAGTTCGGTTCGTATACGCGTCTGATGGTGCCCTAGAGGGAAAAACATGTAAACCACCCTGGTCTTCAGTCCCTGGGCAACGCACAACCGCATACGCACTGACGCACCATGCAGGCCGCTCCCACTATTTGTATTAGGTCCACATCCTACCTCATAATGCACCTTCTAACGGGTCAAATGGCCTGGTTAGAAGGATGGGACGTGGCCTCCTTCTCCGGGAAGGGTCACCCTTTTGACTCGCAGCTGCAGCGGCGATTTTCGGAGGGGACGTAGCCACCCCCTCTCTGGGGGAAGTACGCCTCAGCGAAGTAGATCTGTGGTCCTAGGATTTCGTATCCATCCACCTCCTTCGGAATTTGGGTGGTGAGCGTTTTGAGCTTTTTTGGTCAGTTCTAGCCAAAGCAGCGTGCACCAGCCCTGCCATGACCTTGACCAGCCGCAACGTCTACTTCCCCAAATTGAGATAGACCTTCACTCCACCTCGTTCGCCTTACTACTTTTAAGGCCATTTCGGGAAGAGGGAGAGGAGGTCCTAAGCTGCAAATTGGATTCGAGTCTGTTACTTATTCCCAATTCTAGGTACCTGGAAGTAAAAAGGGATCTGCTGTCACCTTCTTTTGCAACCTACACTCAGGTACTCATCGGTTGGCGGACTCCTAGGAGGATCGTCGATTTTGGAGATCCAACCAGTATCATGTAAAAAGGTTGTTCACGACCCTGCAGATCGGTCCAGAAAATTTGTTGATGTTATGAGGTTTGTACAGAGGAATGCGAGGCAGTTCTTTGCAAATCATGGCCAGCGAGCTGGTGCTGCGCCAACACACGACGTTTTCTTTGTGGCGGGACAGGGGTGGTTGAGCTGTTGCTAAATCCGGAATCAATACGACACCGCCCGGCAGAATTTGAATTTAGGGTCTAGCAGGGGGAAACGGGTACCTGCGGCGCATGGGCCGTCTGAGCTCTTTGACGACAAGTCGGTGCCGCGAGTCGATTTAAAGTTGAGTTGATCTTAATTCCATTGTTAACAAAGCGCATCAATTGAAGAACACGGGACTTATTGAGTGTTGTTTGATCTCTAATCTGCTAACGTGGAAGCTGCAGGTCATGGCACCTGACTGTGAGGTACTTGGCATTGTATGCTGAGCAAAGAATCGAATCGCCGGATGCAGCTATTGTGGGCCCGCGTTGCCAGTTAAGCGCTGCGCTGATGCCCCAAAGCCAAACAAAAACTTGTTCGGAGCCCAAAATTGGTCGCGCCTTTCACAGTCGAAATGCCTCGACTGTTTCTTCAACTCGCGCCCCAACAACGATTGAATCAACACAACATTGCACCTTCGCGCAAGTAACAGCTACTCTTTAGTTTGCTTTCATTTCTGACTTTGTGCATTGCGTCTTCCACTCGAGGAAACGCCCTTTGCACACATTACATCGTGTCCTGCCTCACATTCCTGCGCATCCAAGCTCTGCCGCGATGCCTCCCAAGAGAGCTGCCGGTACGGCGAGCGAGGCGGCGGGAGCCGCTAAGAAGACCAGAACCGCTGCTGCGAGCAAGAAGACAGTTGCCGCCACCAAGGATGAAGCACCAAAGAAGCCTCTGCCAGCGAAGAAAGACGCGCCGGCCAAGAAGACACCCGCCGCGAAGAAGACCGCGAGTACTGCCAAGAAGCCTGTAGTCAAGAAAGCTTCCGCACAGCCTGCGAAGAAGGGCCCCAAGTCTGCCGAGGAATCGGACAAGGAAAACCAAGACGCCATCCCAAAGGTCAATGGCGTGAAGCGCACACGCGAAGATGAAGAGACCGGCGAGGCCGAGGCCGATGATCAGACGCGCACCAAACGCGCGAAGAAGGACGAAGCCCCGGCCGCTGCGCCGAAGAAGAGGAAGGTCGCTGCTCCAAAGCCCGCGGGGAAGCGCGTCCCGCGCGAGCTCAAAGCCATCAATGAGCCGCCTACACAGGTCATGGACATCTTCGTCTTTGGCGAGGGCTCTGCGGGCGAGCTCGGTTTGGGTAGTGTCCGCGTCGACGGCAAGAAGCCCATTGATGTGAAGCGCCCGCGTCTGAACCACAACCTCAAGGGCATTGTGCAAGTTGCCTGCGGCGGCATGCATGTTGCCGCTCTGACCAAAGACAACAAGATCCTGACCTGGGGCGTCAACGACCAGGGCGCACTCGGTCGCGATACCACCTGGGCCGGCGGTCTGAGAGACGTTGAAGACGAGGATGACTCCGATTCCGATGGCGAGGACACCGGAATGAATCCAAAGGAGAGCACGCCTGCCGAGATTGACACATCCGACGTCCCAGACGACGTCAAATGGGTGCAGGTCGTGGCGAGCGACAGTGCGACTTTTGCCTTGACCACGACCGGCCAGGTTTGGGGATGGGGCACATTTAGAGTAAGCTCTGTTCAACGCGTTCCCCCGATTCTACGCCTGCTAACAATCGTTCCGTAGAGCAACGAAGGCATTCTCGGCTTTAGCAGGAGAGTCATGGTCCAGCGCACTCCGACCCTCGTCCCTGAGCTTTCCAAAATCAAGCAGCTCGCCGCCGGCTTGAACCACATCCTCGCGCTCGACGAAAAGAACAAGATTTACGCGTGGGGCGCCGGCCAGCAAGCCCAGCTCGCCCGCCGGCTGCTTGAGCGCGACGACCACGCGGCCCTGTACCCGACCGGCATCGGCTCGCTTCCCGGGCGCGCCAAGCCGGTCAAGCTCGCCTGCGGCTCGTACCACTCCTTCGTGATCGACAGCAACGCGCGCGTCATCGGCTGGGGCCTGAACAATTACGCCGAGCTCGGCGTCGAGGACGAGGCCGGCCAGGACGGCGGCTTCGTCATGCGCCCGCAGCTCATCAAGTCGCTCGCGCCGTATCAAATCATCAACATCGCCGGCGGCGAGCACCACTCGCTGGCGTGCACGGCCAAGGGTGAGCTGCTCACGTGGGGCCGCATCGACGGGCACCAGGTCGGCCAGCCGGCCGGGTCCTTTTCCGAGGACAACACCATCTGGGACGAGCGCAACAAGCCGCGCATCCTGGTGGTGCCCACCATTGTGCCGGACATCAAGGACGTGGTGAGCGTCGCCGCAGGGACGGACCACTCGTTTGCCATTACTAGGGACGGCAAGGTCTACTCGTGGGGGTTCTCGGCCAATTACCAGACGGGGCAGGGCACCACGGACGATATCGAGGCGCCCACGCGCATCGAGAATACTGCGATTCGCGACAGAAAGATTGTGTTTGCTGGCGCTGGGGGGCAGTATGGAATTGTCGGGGCGTTGCCGGAAGGGGATGAGGACGAGATGGATACTGCCTGAGGTGTATGAGTATTTCTCGAGAGTTGGAGTAGGGCATGCTGACCTGAGGGTTGATGTTGTCTCTTATCCCACCGGGTTGGGTGATGGTCATTGCCATGGCGGGTGGTTTGGGAGTTGCTTGGATGGTAGGAGATCGTGCAGTACTTGCTCGTCTTGATATGTCAGCTAGGTGGTCTTATCTCAGACCTTGGCTGTTTATTATAGAGGGGTTTTGTCTTTCAGATACTTGCTTCCTTTTGCTCAATCTTGTTATCTGGGCCGATTGGGCTGCTTTTAGATATCTCTAGCCTGGGGCAGGCAGGGCTGCTTTCATATAGCGTTTTCGGTCTGTATACTAGTGGCCATGCTTCTGGTTTCGTTTGCACATGGCAATGGCTGCTTTGCTCGGCGTATGGGATTGGCCTGGAGTGGTTTTGGTAGCCATGGACTGGGAATCAACCGAATATTGGTGAGTTTCCAATGTGATACTGATGAGGTGAACAACAGCCGGCTGGGCATATCTCTGGTGGAAGATAGTTGCTGAAATCAGCTTTGTGTTCTGCGAAATGTATCCAACATGGGACAGACGAGCCAGAACACTTCACATTGTTTACCGGTACCCTCCCCAACCCTTCTCCCGGTTAATTGCCGGGCCTCTGACAGCTCTTGGAGGTTTGCCTCCTCTTCGTGTTCCTCACTTCCATCCCAGGAGGGGACAGTCCAGATCACGTATTATGATGTAGATTCATTTCCTTTCATCATCCGGGACGTCACAGTACGTGGCCCTACCAGTTTTCTGTCTGCAAACCGCAAAGTATATTGCAATCCACCTCTTTTCCCAGACCTTTTCACACCCCCCCAAATCCCATCCCTTAACCCCGCCCCCCTTTTTTTTCCATCTTACAACGCCCCGGACGCACCCGCCACCTTGGCAAACGACCCACTCCCGCGACTGCTAAACACGGCGATGATGCCGAACCCGACATAGAACAGCGCCAGCGGGTACGCGACCAGCGCCCTCATGCCGCGCATGCCACCCACAGCGCAAAAGATGCCGCTTGCGCTCCACGTGCACCACATGATGGCCGCCGTGCTCAGCGTGATGCCCACGGGCTTGTCCATGGGCATGAAGATGCCCACCAGGCTAGTCGCGACCAGCGGGAGCAAGCAGTACCCCAGCACCGATGCCGAGCGGGCAAAGGTCAGGCCGCTTGCGGTAGCGGCGGCGTTGGATATGGAGGCCGACGCGTCGGCGGGGTGGGCGGAGGAGGGTACGCCTGGGTAGGAAGGGGTGGAGGAGACGGCGGCGCTGGGATCGGTGGGCGAGGGCGCCATTAGCGAGAGGATGCCGTGGAGGAGGAGGGAGCCGACCACGGCGAGGCCGTAGATGTAGCCGAAGTGGACTCGCCCCGAGAGGAGGAGGAAGGTGCCGTAGAGGAGGAAGGAGAGAAGGGGCCCTGCGAGGTCGCTGTCGTCCATGAGGTGCTGGTCGATGCGGCTGAAGGGGTTGAGCACGGCGAGGGTCTGGGCAGAGGATGTTAGTGCCTTAGCTGAGCCCAGCGGGACGTGATAGGGAGGTGAGTGGTTGACATACTTTTGCGCGGATGTGAGAGATATTGACGCCCAGCTCCTCTAGCAATGGCGGCTCGCCGGGGTAGCCCTCTGTTGAGAAGGCGGCCAGCCAGCCTGTTCGGAGCCCTCCCTGCTCGCCCATCCGCCCTGACACGTCTGAAGTGTCGCCGAAGCCGGAATTGAACGAGGCGGATGCGCCGTAGGCTCCTGATGAAGGCCCGCCGTAGCCGTAGGATGCTTGTGATGGGGTCGCATGGCCAGATACTGGTTGGGCGTAATTAGACGAGTAAAACTGGAGATTCTGGGCACCCGAGGGGGTGTAGCCCTGGTTCGGCGGTGCGCCATAGTATTGTGACATTGTGAGAGTAAGGAATCAAGATTATCGAAGTGTCCTGCACTGCCGTCGGAGGGTCGGTTATCAGGTTGGAGTGGCCTGTGATCCGCACAGTAGAGTTATGGTCGAGAAAAAAAGTAAATATCTGAGAAATGATGCGTGTGGTCGTCGTTGATGCAGCTGGCAGCTTGTTCGTGTCGTTCGTGCAAGTTGCGATCTTGCGTCAACAGAGTTCGCAACTGTCAGAAGCTCACCAGCTCCCTTCAAGGCAGCCAGATCGCCGTGAATAGCTGGCAGCTGTACGGTGGCTGCCAAGTAAACCTGCCACCTGGCTGCTACCCGGGCCGCATGGGTCCCGGCAATCGGCGGCGCAGGACCGGTTTGGCCGACGATTTTTTGAGCAAGGCGAGAAAGACGCTCTGGTGGTCATGCCATTCGCTGTTCTGCCGCCTTCGAGAAACATCACAACGTCAACAATACAGCAGACCTCTAGGCCCTACCAAGCGCTCTCCAACTCTCGGCAAGAAGGCTGGCCAAGACGGCCAACGCTTGCACACAGAACATCATGGTAGGTTTGCCATCGCATTCTTCAAGCAGCACATCCTTTTCCTTGGCTCCCCATGATGCGCAGAAACCACCTACCAGACTTCGCGCCAGATATCCCAGCCAAAGACCGACTGACACACAACCCCCCTCCTTGCAGGCCTACCGCTACATAACCCAAGCCGTCATCGTCGGCACGCGCGTCATCGGCCGCGCCTTCGCCGAAGCGTACAAGCAAGCGTCGGCATCGAGCCAGTACCAACGGGCGCAGGCCAAGAACGGCGGCGGCGGCGTGTCGGGGCGGGCGAGCTTGAACACTGGCATGACGCTGGACGAGGCGTGCAAGATTCTCAATGTGAAGCCGCCGCAGAACGGCAAGGGCGACCTGGACGAGGTCATGGAACGCTTCAAGCGCCTGTTTGACAATAACGACCCCAAGAAGGGCGGTTCCTTTTACCTCCAGAGCAAGATTCTGCGCGCGCGGGAGCGCCTCGAGGCCGAGATAAAACCGGCCATGGAGAAGGCGGCGCAGGAAGCGGAGGTGAAAGAGGGGTGGAATCCGAAGCTCTATAAGGATAGGTAGCTGGGTGAGGAAACCATGCGGCCGTTGCGGCCAGGGTAAACGGGCGGTATACCCTTCCATCTGCTACTTCCTTCGCTGGTTGTCTCAAGATCGGAGGCCTACCCTCGGCGGAACACAGCAGACGAAATGGGATAAAGACGGGGGGTTGCGGTGGCGGTTATATCGACGACGCGAACCCGACAGCAATTGGGAACTTACACCCGACAACATATCCGCTGGATGAGCGATAGTGGCTTCCATGTAACACACATCTTCACTCGACTTTGGGCAGGCCTGGCGTTACGCGGTTGGGATTTAGGGCGGGAGATGTTGGGAATGCATTGGGCTGAACCGCCTCACGACGCCTGCTCTTCGCCAATCTTGTTTTACTACCTCTACATGTACAATATTCATCCGGTGGATGGATGTGCGGGATTGGGGCGGTCTCACTTTGCCCGGGGGACGGTGCATCTAGACGGACAGAAGGAGTTGTGGTTTTTCTAGTATATCTAGATGGAGATGCAAGAGGAACGATATATGAAACTGGCTAAGGTTGGTCATCATGCTCCTCTGTGGTACATTGGCCGGAACGGAGTCAACACCAACATGGGCTGTGAAGCGATTTTACCTACCGATACCAGCAGCTTGGCTCGCTAATGATCGCCTTGTCGGCCGAGAGCCTTCTCCCATTTCGCTGCGCCAACCACTACTGCGGCAGTGTCATTCTTCTTTCCGCCGGCGAGGTGCAAGACATCTCTTTGCTTGTGTCAATGGGAAGACTGACGTTTCACTGAATGACTATAGGCGGTAGTGATCTCGGCACGGTTCAATATCCGGAAGATCCATCAGCATGCTGTGCTCCATGTCACTGAGTTGTTCTCGCGCGGTCAGGATGCAGGTGCACAGGAATAGCCGCATCACATATTAGTTCATCTACCCGGGTCCGGGGACGCCTTTATATTCAACGAGAATCTTGCTGGCCACAGTAACTGCTGGTCATGACATTTGTTCCCTGCTCCGTCCAAGGCAGCGCTGCAGTGTCATGTTCAAATGAAGGCTAATTCCCCGGAACGGTTTGACAACGACCAGCAGACATAGATTCTGAGAGACAAATACCGGCAGGCTGCAGTGTGTGACGAGTATAACAATGCGGGCTGCCGCCAACCGCAACAGGCATCTTGGTTTCTCGCGTTTCGAAACGGGTTGAAAGTGTGCCGGGTCGGCGCTGAACAATGCATGGTCGTTCGACCTGTTGGCCTGCCCATTCCACAACCTGCCGAGTCACGAGCCATGGAGCGCTCGCCGCTCGACTCCAGTTGTCGCTCCCCGCATCCGCTCATCGTAGGCATATAAAGCTTGTGTCCTGCTTCCAGGATCACCAGTATCGATGTCTGAGTCCGGCCCGTGTCTTGTTTCACATGAACCTGGTTGGTAGTAGTCACATCCGCACCTCGTTCCTCCTCGGCCACCGGACGTTCTCCACTTGCTCGGGATCGCATCACTTACCCTATATGCTGGATAACTGTCCGATATCCAGCCCCAAACTACCTCTGGGACACATGAAAATGACCTACCGACCAACCGTCTCCATCCCCGCCACCTTCACCAACGCAACAGCAACCGCTCCCTCCTCGTCAAGCATTTTGGCTACCGGCTCCGCACCCGAAACCCGCACCCTCCTCACGTTCCCTACTGAGGGCCTCCCATCCCCGTGGATCCTCTCCGAAGCCGACCTCCGCGCAATTCCCGTGCGTTACCCAACCGGCTCTGCTCCCGCACAAGCGCAGATCAACCGCTGGCTGTGCTGCCGCTGCGCCGAGGAGGGCTATTTCGATCCCGTCGGCATGGTCCACTGCCCTTCCCCTTCCCCTCCACCCCGGCCACTCCCCGCCCAACCCCAACACCGCCGCCATCACTGTCACCAACATCCTGATCACTCCAACATCAGCCATCAAGCCCACGATCCGCACCAGCATGATCACCGCAGCAATAATTCCACCGCCACCGCCACCGGCGGCGTCAGCGGCAGCAGCAGCAGCAGCAGCGAGGAAGGCTTCGGCGTCTGCTGGCGCGCGAGCTGCCGGCACCGCAAGTGCGTCAACTGCGCGCTCTACGCCGGCCCGCTGGTTGGGGGCGGCGGCGGCGGCGGCGGCGCCAAGGCAAAGTTGCTGATCCGGACGGTGGGCGGGCTGCATGCGTCGCCGCGCTTCGTCGACCCCGTGTACTGGGAGTGCGCCGGGTGCGGCGAGTGGATGCGGAACCGGTTCGACTCGCGGTGCACTCTCGGCCTGACGGGGTGTCGGAACGGGGCGTGTCCGTTCGCGTGGAAGGCGCTGCAGCTGCAGCTCGGTTTAGTGGGCGGGGGAGATGCGGGAGGCCCGCCGCTTGGGGCTGGGGTGCTGATGGCGGAGAGCTTGGTCATGAATCGATATGGGCAGCGGCTGGGCACGGCGGATCAGAGGGTTGCGGTGGCAGATGGCCCGTGGGATTGGCAGCGGCGCGCGTTGGGGGATGCGAGGTGTGCGGTTGTTGCTGGGCTGAGGGCGGCCATGAGGAGGACGGGGGACGGGATGCGGTTTGGTAGCAGCGCTAATGAGAACGGTAGGAGTATGAGTGATAGGGAGAGGCTGTGGAAAGACGGGGGGCCGGTGCCGCACTATCCATATCGAAGACCGCCGCCCCTGGATGAGAATGACGCCGAGGAAAACAATGAATATGAGGGTTCGTATCTGGCGGGGATGTCGACGGAGCCGCTGGACAAGGGGAAAGGTGCGGAGCAGCAGTACACTGCTCCCAGTCGAAGTCCTCGGTTCTGCTCCACCCCGAGTCTTGTGGGCGCCAACCCGGTCCCCCTGGGTTTCTTTCCAGGATGGAATCGCATTCAAATGTAACATGAAGAAAAGAAATTGTTCGCTCGGGGCGGCATGCGGTACAGGACTTTAGTTCTCCATACTTGGGATGCGACCTACAGTTAGCTATCTCTGTGACCAAGCACTGCGCCAAGCGGCGATGTCCTTTGATTTGAAGGTGCCTCCACATGAATGCTTCAACGGGACCTACTCGATTTCAAGCCATCTGACAGCCTAGACTGGTTCAACAACCTCGTTGGGAAGAAGGTCACCGGCACCTACAGCAGTCCTTTAAACTTCGTTTGCCAGTCAAACTAACGGACCAGAGAACTCCTGAGTCACATCAATTCCATCTCACTCCAAGGTTGCCGCTCAGACAAAACAGGTCCGGGGACATGATGGCCCGTATTCGATCTGTGCATGTACAATACCTCCATGTACATACATTGAAGTATGAGTCCGAAATGCGGATCATCTTGAATCGTTGCTGGCTTTATTGAGCTCCTTCTCCGCATTGATATTGAGTGTCGAATAGTAAGGATATCGTCTGACAACTTGAAGGTCGTTAACAATACACCCCTGATTGGTATTCTTAGCATACCCGATCATTTTGACTTGAAAGAGATCCCTTGCAAGCATAGAACAGGGAAATCAAGGGCCTGGAAATAAAGAGAGGTTAGAGGAGCCACAAGCTAAAGGGAACTGAGGAGAGGTAGAAAAGAAAATTTGAGAACGCTGAATACGGACACCGCAGCGAAAACCTATACAGTCACAAACACCAGCGAGGCATGTCGGAGTCTGACATGAAGAAATAATTGACGTGCTGGGGAAAGATGGTCGAGAAATACAGTAAAGAGTTGATTCCCGGGCGAGCCCCATGCACAGAAAGTGTGCGGGGAGTGGTAAGACGTACTAGCATAGGTATTTGTCTTCCATTCGACCGTTGATGTGGGCGTGATGATGTTGTGTTTGGTTTGCCGAACCTTTGTCCGCTGTGAACTTCTTTCTGACGGATGGCGTCGGATGCTGCGTCCCATCGGCAAGCCCAGCGCACGGACCAACAATAGGACCAGGATCAAACGAACTCCCAGCCCTGCTACCTTTTCGTCCAATCAAAGCCTGGCATTCTCTTTTTTTTTTTTTCTCCGGTGCTTAAGCGGGGGAGCAAGATTTTGGCTTCGTCGTCCGGATCCCAATTCGGGCGATAAACTTTCTTCCTGCTTGCGCTTGATGAGCCCGCGTTCACTGGCGTCAAACAACCACACAAGACGCAAGCGGATTCCCTGTCGACCGCCAACCTCTTGATTGCCGCTGGTCTGCCACGCCCCAGTGCAGACAATCGGGGCAACGGTATTTCGTTCTCTGACTGTGCTGCAAGCAGCTGTCGCTTGCTAACCGGGCATCGCAACCAAAAGCGTCAGCCAGGCTGCGTGTCGCACAGGTCAAGCTCTGGGGGAACATCCCAGTGGTTGGCTATCGGACCCAACTTTACCAGCTCTTCTTCCTCGACCGCTCCTTCTCGACACTGGCCTCCCGCGCTCTCGCCCCCCTTTCCGTCTCGAGCGCCTGGCACTCCATCGCCGATAACTGCTTGATTCACTGGCGCCTTGACCAGCAATCATGGCGACTGTTAACGGAACCGTGGGCAATACAAGCAAGCCCGTCGCTCGGCTTCCCAGCAAACCCGTCGTCCCTGTTCTGCCGCTCAACTTCCCCCAGCGTCCAGCGAACAAGAAACCGTCTGGCCCGCCGGCCAGCTCATCCCCGAAGAAAGGCGAGAACGGTGTCCGACCTGCTGGGAAGGAAAAGGCCGGGCCGCAAACGCTGAATTCAAATCAAGCGCCGATAAATGGGAGCTCAACCGAGCTCGGCATTATCTCCAAGAACAACATTGACAACACGGCGTCCTCTACTCGTCGCGCTCAGGCTGAAGCTGTTATCAAGACGGAGACAAATGGCCTGGTTTCAACCTTAGATGGTGAGAAAGGTATGCCAGTCTCCCAATTTTCTTTCTCACGATCCAAGTACCCCACCTATCTCTACTGCTCCTGGCCCTGCTGCCGCTGTCACCCGCCCCTCCCCAATTGGCCTTCTGTTGACCTTCTACTTGACCCCATCAACCCTGTCACAAGTAAGAACATTTGCTTACAAGGTTCATTGCAGCCTCACCTACAGTCTCTACCGTCGTCCCCGACCGGCGGATTGTATCACCTGCCCACCGTCGACCGCCGGGCTTTGCCAACCCCGCCCCGGAAATCATGGCTACATCCGGCGCGCTCCCTGACGGCCCGGTTCCTGCGCCACATCCTGTCACGATCAATCGACCGGCTGCTTTCCACCAACCTCACCTCAGCAACGGGAGCTTGATTCTGGGTCCGTTTCATGATTCAAACGCATCGTCGCCTGCTCCTCGGTCGGGCGGTGGCGTATTCCATTTTCCTCCTGGACTGCTCCCATACCCGCCGCCTGCGCTGGATGCCTATGGGCGCCCCTTGCTGGTGTCTCCGGCTGTCGATGGTTTTGCCCCCACTGTTGGTAATCATCATACACCGCCCACTCCCCATAGCTTTCACGGTTCACAAACGTCGACACAGGCAGAGGAACTTGGCTTCAACCCGTATTCCGTTGCCAACGGTCATGCCGGACCCAATGGATCAGCGTCACGCCAGGGTCCGATGCCTCCGCCGGGCATGAATCCGCCAATGATTGGCACCGCCCACCATGTCCCAGGTTCGGGCCCGGGTTACCAAGGCCTGCGAGACCAAGAAGAGGCTCTGGCGTTTCTGCGGCATGGCATATCCGACAACACGTTCAACGACTGCGTGCTCGAGGTACGCTTCTCCGATAGCCCAGAGTTTCAGGACCATCCCGGTTATCGACAACTCCATTCCGTGCTAAGAACTCACGGTCACCGTTATATCTTCTCTCGCAGCCCTATGCTTGCCGCAACCATGAAGACCCAGGGAACCATGCCGGGCGGCGTCATTTTCCTTGAGGCCAACGACGAGTATATGCGATCTGATGTTTTCTGGTACGCCCTTCGCACGCTCTATGGCTGGAGTCTCGCCGACAGCATCCTTCCTCATGAGCTGGCCCTCCGTGACGTTAGAGATGACCTCAAGACAGCCCTCAGCTACATCGCCACTGCCCGGTACTTGCAACTTCCATGGGTGCAGTCAGTTGCTGTTCACCGGGCCAGCCGCCTTTTGTTCTGGAACACCATCGAAGTGGCGGTCAAGTTCGTCTCGCAGGTTGTGGCCGTGTCGCCCCGGACTGATGGCTTTGGCGTCTCCGAGCTGCTAGACCAGGTCCTCACCTTCATTGTCCACAACTTCCCCGCCGATTTCATTCTCGATCTCAGTGCAGGTGACTATGGACTTCCTCGTCTTCCTCCTTCGAGCACCACTCCGAGCAACCAGGACAACCCCACGGTTGCCAACGGCACGTCTGTCGGGCTGCATAGCCGTCAGCCTTCCAAGACCCAGGCACAGATGCCGCGGAATCCGCATGTTTCTTCCCACGTCCGGTTGTCCCAGATCAAGTTTGGGGACATTTCGCCGTCCAAGAACGGGCGGTCCGCGCGCGGACCGACCCCGAACGACACCATCCTCTCGCGCATCTTGCTTAACCTCCCCTTCGAGCTGTTGAAGCAGATTCTTGAGCACCCGCACCTGGCCAAGTTGTCCGGCGAGCTCAACCCGACCGCTAGGCAGTCCATCATTACCGATATCATTGGCGAGCGTGAGTCAAGGCGACTGCGCGTCCTGGAAAAAGCAGACTCCCAGCTTCGTTTTTACCAGGAGAGGGTTGAGAACGCTACTGGACCTTCGGTGGTCGGCAGCATGGACGATTTCTGGGTCAACAACATGGGCTTTAAGGAAGAGGTGTTCCCCGGGGATCTCCCGTACCTCGTCCACACTTGGTCGCAACCGATTCCGTCCAGCGTTAGCAGCTGAAAGGCCTTCGCCATTCTGATGTGGCCAGGTCAATTCTTACGACTTGATGATGTTTGGGGGTTTGGGTTGGGCGGCCGTCTGGGTTTGGGCATTCGGATCTGCATTTATTGGTCGCGCGGGGTATCGTTTCCTGCTGCTCGGTTGGCTGATACACCTTTTTCCTTGCTGGTTGGGACTGTTTCTGCATTGCGTCTGGAGTCATTCGGTTACACAAAATCGCCTGCCCTTGTGGTGTTGGGCGGGCTAGAGGGATGAGCATGATATGGCTTTCTAATCTCTTTCCCATGTTTCATGCTTGGGAGTTTCCGTTATTCATACGCGCTGACCGTTGGGGTCTGCCGGTCTTTTCGAGCTGCTGGTTTGTTATTTTGGGCAAAACATTTGTGGTAGCCGATGCGCGGGGCCTGGGGGGGGTCTTCTTGTTATTGCTGATCGAGACGGATGATGCAGACTGTCAGATTTAGGCGCTGACTGGTCGTCCCTCTGGATCTTGCACGCTGAAGCCGCCACTCTGCACATATCCCCCGGCCAAAGGGCCACGAAAGGGCTCGCACCTGCTTTGATCAGCATCCCTGCGAACATGGATGTTGTCAGGGTGCCTGGGATTGGGTGAGGGGGAACAGGAGTTAATATGTTTGATGATAGAGTTTTGTCAAGGGTATAAACTTCCGCATGGGGCTGAAAGGGCAAGGCTATGCTATGCCTTATGGTACGAAAACATAAACTCAGGTTGAACTCTCAAGACCTATAAATATCCAGGCATGAAGGCGGCGTTGGTTGGGCGTGATGGGCTGTATCTGGGTTAATATTGGTAGTGTATGATCTTGATATGCCTCTTGTAGAGTGACAGGGTAATGTGCTTTGTTCGAATATTCCGGAATTGCCGTGGTGCAAAGGAACTTTGGAGCATCTTGCATCCTGTCCGTACAGAGGAGTGACTCCTCCTTGCCTAGTGCTTTGTACTTGCACAGTACCTTACCTGCTGGGCACTGTTGTGAGCCGTGAGCCTGGTTCTGTGCGTCATTGACAGGGGCACTGCACCCTGAATTGTGGGGTGTGGGGAAGCCCTTCATCCAACTCTTGGCAAACCTCGGAACCGAGGCATGTGCACGTCGCGCAATTAAACTTTGGTCAACGCACCGGATCCTGGTCCCGTCAACATCAACCACCGACATTTTCATTCCTTGTTGTTCGGCAAGGACCATCTCCTATAAATAAGCCCGCCTGCCTGCGCGTGGCTTGCTCTCATAGTCTACCGAAACCGCTCCTGGACGGGCTGCGACGCGCGTAATAAGAATACTCAAGGGTCTGAGCTGGATTTGCATTCATCCGAGCACATCCAAGGGGTGGAATTCTACATAGTAGTCGTCACGGCTTAACGTCTTGGCCATCCATCGTCTGGACACGTCATCGACAACACACGCACGAGCATACGGAACAACATGGCTTCGCGGGCTGGCGGGCCATGCTCCAAGAGCTCAGGCTCGAGCACCTCTCCATCCGTGACCGCGAGGTCGACATCAGACCCCATCCTCCGCAACGCGCTCCGCTACACCATCTCGGCACGAGAATATGCAACGCTTCACAAATACGTTATCTCCCGATCGCGAGCACTCAAGAACCGGGCGCCAACTGTGGACTCGGTGGAGAGGATGATAGGGCCCCCTAAGCCAGCTCAGTTACCGGACACGGCGGGTCCCGGAAGGAAAAAGGGTAAAGCAGGCAAGCAGGAGATGGCCGCTGCCGTGCGTCGTGACGACGACTACAATGCGCGGGCAATCCGGCACTCGATCCGCGTGTTCGTCGCGACTGGCGCGCTGATGAAGCTCTGGGGGGTGGCGTCGGCGAGGTTGATGTGGAAGAAGCAGGAGTATGTTGAAACCACCCTTTCTCTTTGGGTTTCTCGGATTGGGCCAGACAAGCTGATATGATTGCTTCCAGTGCCGCATCAACCACTGAAAAGAAGCAACCCCTGCACAAGTCACCGACCCTCCGCCTCTCCCTGTCCCTCAGCACTATCCTGCTCCTGTACCGCATCCTCTTCCGCTTCTTCAACCGCCTGCGCGCCCACCTCCTCGACCCATCGGCCGCCCCTTTCCGGCTGCGCAACCCCAAGACGGCCGGCGCCCTGACGTCACCCTACGCGCCCGCTGTCGGCGCTTCCCTGGCCGGCCTCGCCTTGGGCGTATACCCAAGTCGGCCGCTGCGCGTGACCATCGCCCTGTACACCATTTTTCGTGCCCTCGAGTTCGGGTGGAACTGCGCTGAGGAAAACGGCATGGTGTGGGGATGGATCAAGGGCGTCAGCGGCAGGCCGGATACGAAGAGGCCGCGGCCGTCGTGGTGGGGCAGCTGGATGCTGCAGCCGTTTGCGTTTGGGCAGCTGCTGCATGCGCTGGTGTTTGATAGGGATATCTTGCCCTCGGTGAGTTGATTTTGCGAGATTCTGAAGCGAGGAACACCGTTACTAATTCTTGCGTTGTCCAGTTCTGGAGCAACTTGGTCCTCAACAACTCAGCTGCTTATCTGCAGGGCAGGCCAGAGGATTATCCGTCCGGTCTGAGGTGGCCGCAACCTGGCGACATCGTTGATAGTCTCGCCCAGATGGCGCGTCTCAACTGGCCGTGAGTCTCCCTCCCCCCTAACCACCTTCATTCCGCCCCGTATCCAGACCGCTAATGGTTCTGCAATACAGAGCCTTCATCCCTCCCGTGCTGTTCCCCACAAAAGAGGACATCCTCCCGGCTTCTCTTTCCCCAATCTCCCCGATCACCTCGGGCGCCCACCCGCTCATCACGGCTCTCTCGTGCGCGACGCTCCACCCGGCCGACCCCTCGTGCACCCGCACGTTCCTCACCTTTTGGCTGCACTCCTTCCCGCCCCTCACGCGCCTGCTCGTCGTCGTCTACTCAGCCATGCTCCTGCCCAGGTTCTCGGCGCTGTACCACTTCCCCGTGTCGACGCTGCGCAACCTGGTCTCGTCGGCCCTGCGCACGGCCGGGTTCCTGACGGGCTCGCTCGCCACGGCCTGGTCGTCCATCTGCTTCTTCCAGGCGTGGTTCCCGCGCACCTTTTTGCCAACGCAGCGGTTCTTTTTGGGTGGGTTCGCTGCGGGCTTGTGGGCGCTGCTTCAGCAGGGCCGGCCGGGGAGTAGGGGGGTGTTCTTGGCGAGTGCCAAGGTCAGTGTCGAGACCTTGTGGAAGGTTGGGGTCAAGAGGAGGTGGTGGCGGGCTATGAAGGGCGGGGACGTGTGGGTGTTTGCTGCGGCGCTGATGCTGACGGGCGTGGTGTACGAGAGGGATGCGAAGGCGGTGCGGGAGGGAGCGTGGAGGAAGGGGATCAGTTGGGTGCGCGGAGAGGGGTGGCGGGATTGGGCGATGGAGGACGAGGAGGAAGGTGACGAGGGGGAGGATGGTGAGGGACGAGTCAAAGTGGAGTGATCGGTAGCGATTGTGTGCTGGCCCGGTGGGAGTGATCAAGTTATTGCAGGCGGTGATGGCACGTTTGATGAGACTATGATGTATGATTAACTACTAATTTCTGGGGTGGCCGCAGTCAGGAGTTTGAGGAGTTACACAAACGGCGCAACAAGCAAGCTGAAAGAGAAGAAGGAAAGAAAACGAAGAAGTGCTTATTAGCTCTGGTCTGTGCATCAACTTACCCCGAGGCCCATCAATCCATCCCGGTCGCCTTGTCACACAGAAGCTCTGCAGTCAGCGGGCATCTCGTATTAACACAAGCCAGCGTGAAGGGCGTCCTGCGCTCCCTGTCCGTTGCGTTGACATCAGCCCCGTGCTCAATCAACATCTGGGCAACAAAAGGGTCAACCTCCTTGTTGGTAACCCAGAAAAACGCGGTGTTCTTTGAGTTCACATGTTCACCTGCGCCCCTTTCCAACACAGCTCAGCGGATCTCCGATCTCTCCAACCACCGGCGGCATAAGAGAGTGCTGTTCTCCATAGTCCTCACGGTCGATTTTTACACCCTGGTCGAAGAAAAGCTCGACATTCTCTCTGCTCCCGGAGCTCACAATCGCCCTGAGTGCAGGGCAGTCATCCCATTCCGGCATCTACCTGTAGCGGCCCCAGAGAGTATATCAAAAGCCGCACGATTGCGTTGACCCACCTAAGAACGTATCTCCGATACCGACCTTCTGCACCGTGGCCGACGAGGAATCGGGCTATAGCTCCGTGACGGTTCACCCAAGCCTCATCTACGGCGGACATTCCGGATGCATCCTTTGAATTGACATCGAGCGGAAGTTTGACAACGTCCAGACGGCCCTTTTAATAGGCGATCCAAAACCCGGTGCGTCCATTCGTAGTTTTGAGATGAACGTCGGCACCGTACGCGAGCAACAGCTGCCCATGTGGATGGTGGTCGCCGGTCCATACTCAACCGCGACCATCAGTGGCGTTTCGTCGTCAGAACTTTTCCGGCTGTCCACATTGGCGCAGTTCTGAAGTAGAAGAGCCGCCATATTACCGGCATGGTGCTGGCAAGCTTTGAACAGCCGTGTCCCCGCCACCCTCCCCCACCGGCCCGTTCATTCTTCGCATCTGTTATATTGGCTTCTCTGTCCAAAAGAAGTTGAGCTATGGCTTCGCAGTCATGACCCGATCGACGCATGCCACGCGGCGTGCATAATGGGGGTTTCCCCATTGTTATCCGGAGCCTCAGCGGTGCTCGATTTCCAGAGTCCTCGCCAGCCTAGATATCTGAGCACGCCAAGCTGAGAATCGATGAATATCCTGGCTACCTCGTGGTGGCCATACATTGCAGCCCAGGACAATGCGGTCGATTCCCGATTGTCCGTAGCTAGCAGGTCGCCACTGCGGCCGGTCTTGATGAGAGCCTCCACGACAGGGACAATGCCAAACGGTGAGACAATCATGAGCAAGGTTCTCTCTGGTTCATCCGCCATGAGATTATAGGTAAAGGAAGGCCTGTAATGTTGATTCTTGACCCGGTGTGTGTTCCGTAATCCGGTAGGAATCGGAACCAAAATAGACAATATCGATCACATTGAAGGTAGAGGTCCAGTATCGCCTCTGTCATCTGCTCGTCAATTGTCACATGTGGTGTACCCAGGTGGCAACCCAAATGTAGTATAGATTATTCGAGGAACTGGTAGTCCTTCACATATCGCAGACGTCGGGTGAAAGAGCCCGGTATGTCCTTGTGTACTTCAGGAAACTGCAGGTTCCAGAGACGGATTTCGCCCAGGATGCGGTGTGATTCGGACGTCTCCGAAATATGGCTCCAATTCAGATTTAGGGCGTTCCCTCTCTCTTCTTTGCATGTTTCGAGGGGTTTGTGGTTTGTGTCGTCCCTAACTAGGAATTTTTTGGCAGTTTGGTGAAGCAGATCGATCATCGAATCGATGGATGACTCTCACAAAGAGACCGCAGATATCCCGCAGCCGTTCGCGAAGCCACTCATCGGAAGCGAGGTCAACGTCTGCGTATGACCGATGTGACGGCCGAATCGAACAGATCTCGGCGTCTGCGAAGTAGCCTTTCGTATCCTACCCTTGTTGATGTTCTCCGAGGTCATCATTCTCGACTAAATTGAGAGTGAGATACACCCACAGATAGGTTCGGTGCGGGACACTCAAGAAACCGCGATTGAGGAGTTCTTGCTCTTTCTCACCGAGCATCAGTCAGGCTCCGATGCTCCGAACCCTGCCTTTGATGAATATATCAATATCCTTAGCTATCTGTTCCATTTCCGCTTCGTTCTCTCCACTTAGATGAATAACAGCGAGGTCTGGGGCGTCTGGAAGTTGAAAACTCCGTCGGATAGTCCCATACGGCCTTTGAGCGGAAACTTTAGAGTCGGTGCCTTGGTCATGTGTCATTGGTCAATCAAGGCATTGGTGAGCTTTGAATTGTCCTCCAATCGGCACTCGTCGAGAGTATCGAGAATGCAGAGAATTTCCCCGGCACCTTCGTCGTCCTTGAAGAAAAAAAGAAGCACGTCGTCCTCCTTTCACTGGTCGAGAAAACATCGTCGACAAGGTACCTGGCTAGCACCGACTTCCTGCATCTAGGATCTGCAGATACCCAGAGAGCCCTGTGCTGGCTTCCGAAACCTTCCAACCAGCCGCGGAAGATGCCGTGCCCGACGAACCACTCGCAAGCAAGTGCCCGGAACTCAGCGTGGGTTTCGATCTTTCCAATCTGAATGATCATGGCAATGCTTTGAGTTTGTTCAGCACTCTGAATTCTTTGGCAGTCAATGGTGGCCTCCTGCTCTTCGGTGGTCTTCGTCTGAAATAGAGAGGCTGCAGGCCCAGGGATCAGTAGGCAGGCCTTACACAGAGCTTAGCAGCATTCATAGACAGGCAAATGGCAAAAGCAAGATATATCCAGTGCCAGAGAGGCTTGGGGAAAGAAGAAGCTAATGAAATAAATATCCGCGGTAGATCACCGCCCAGGCTCACTTACATGCAGTCCAACTCTCGAGAAGAGCCTTGGCTGAAGCCGCTGCCACCGCAGCAGCATAACCTTGGAACATCTTGTTCATATGGCTATCCAAGTAGTCGCACACGCTCTTGACAATCAGACGTGAAGAAGCACGCAGCATCTTCCACATACCCGCGCCCTCCATTTCGAAAGCCAAGATGCCGTTTTGGTCAGCGATGTCGTCGCGGTCTCTCCCAGAACGCATGACGGTGTCGCAGAGCCAAAAAAAAACCAAAGTCCATAACAGGGTCCAGCATATATATGGTCCGGTCGGCGGCGAGGGGAAATACCCAATGGTTGCTGACTGCATCCGAGCCCCTCATAGCCCTTCTCAATGGCCTGGTAGCAAACGGCCGTCACGTCTCGGGCACACTCGAAAGACAGGGCAGCGTCGTGGTGCTTGTGAAGGTAGTCTGGCCTAAAGAGCCTATCATTGCTCCGGCCGGGATGGGCCGCTCTGGAGCCAAGCCGTGCCCGGACGGCAGCAAGATGTCGAGACACACCCTGACAAAGTTCCTCCCTGGCTTGGTACGTGCGCAGCTTGGCCGACACAGATTCGGCTTCGACAGACAGCCTTGAAAGATTGTCTTGGGGTGTATCCTTGCGAACGAAGCGGTTGGGAAAGCGGCGTCCAAGGTCATGCTGAATAGGAGCAAGGGCAAGACCTTTCTCATAGAAGGCGGTAGTAATTATACTGTGACGGGTCTACCCAAAGTCTGGCTAACTCGTATAGATTGATATTGCTTTGACAAGAGTAAGAGCTAGATTACATGAATGGGCGTGCAACTAGACCTTAATTACTAGAGCAGAGGCGTATAATATAAGTATAACCATAGGCATATGATATAATCATAAGGACAGTGACCATAAGCGTATAATATATCTATGAGAATAGGAATGGGAATTTCGTGAAAACTTCATTTTGTTATAACTACGGTAGCTAACTGTTGGATTTGACAGGTGGTCAGGGAGGGTAGTTCAGGGGTGACAAATGGCTTGGCACCATGATTCCGAGGGTTAGGCAGAGGCCTGCAACAAATTTGGGAACAACGCAGACACCAGGATTATTATCAATTGAGTTGTTGCCCGTCTTTTGGTACCTACTACAGTGCGGTGCATTCATGGCTGTTGCCTTTCTAACAGGTGTTGTGAGGATTGCCTATAGGCGTTTGCCTACGTCAAGGCACTCTGCAGACCGTCCTGCCTTTGAGGCAGTTTGCATCTACATCTATATGTGGCTGCTTGCCCAGGTCTTCCAACCCAGTAGGCTTTTCCATCTTCATCTACCGCCTTCAACACCGTATTCATCTGCACCTGCATCACCAGTTTCCTCTGCCTGTACAACAGTAGTTGACCGTGAACCCACTTCACAACCGGCAATGGTGACAACGACGGTCGAAGTATCCTCTCTGGGTCTTAAAGCTCACAGGAAGAGCGACTAAATGGTTCAGATTGGTCATTCTGTAGGGATTCTATAGTTCCCGATTAGCGATAGTGGATCGGCCGGCTTGGGAAGAGGCTTTGCCGGCTTAGTGCAGGTCATTGGCACAATGACACTCATGCATGCAACCTTAGCGGTTTGATTCAAGTCCGGGAGCTCAAAGCGTCCCAAGCAGAAGTTACCGGCCCCGACCATCCTCAAGAAGACCTGAGTACTGGTGGTAGGCTGCTTGGCCTGGAGATCCATGCCACGATGCACAAACTGAATACCTAAGAGACAATGATCTATTAGACCCGTAAGGCAGCTACATCCTCGGGTGCGAACCTCCTCCAATCCATTGTCTACATTATAAGACCGAAACACATGACCGTTCTAAGCATCCGCAAGAATGGCCTCACTGCCCTTCTGGCCAACCATAAAAGTTGGCAAGACAGGGAACCCACCCGGCGCAACAGGAAAAACGCTCGCATCGACAACGCGCAGCCCCTTAACCCCAAAGACCCTAAACTTGCCGTCCACAACAGCCATCCTATCCCCCGCCTTCCCAATCTTGCATGTGCCGACGGGGTGATGTCCAAAAGTCTGCTCGTACACAAATTTCCTGTCCTCCTCCGGGTCCTTGCAGTAACCCCTCGCGTCCAGCCCGGCGTTGCACGGCGGCTCGGTCGGCACGACAGGCCCGTAGGGTGCGGGTAGCGACATCATATTGCGGCGCACCCAGGCCACGGCGTCGACCATGGCGCCCAGGTCGACGTCGCCCGTCTGGGGCGACTCGTACTGCCGGATATTAATCTCGGGCGGGTCGGTCGGGTCGGTCGACTTGATGCGCACGTAGCCGGCCGTGTTCTGAACGTTCATGCGCGCCAGGCTGCGCCAGAGGGTCTGCGGTCCGTCGGCGAAGGGGAAGTTGCTGGCTGGCGGGGAAAAGCCGCGGAAGACGCCGGGGGGGCTGGGGGAGTTTGGGGGTTAGCTTTGCCTTGATGTTTGTCCCAGAATCCAATAAGTCAGGGTGGTTGGCTTACGCAAAGGTGATGACGTCGCGGTTTCCATCAGGGCTGTGGTCCGTCTTCAGGAAAGAGCACTCGGAGTTGCCGCTGGGCAGAGTGTAGGGACCCGTGCCCTGCTCAAACTGGGCGAGGCACGGGTCACCAGGGGCGCCAAAGGTGCAGCTGGCCCAACCGGGATCGCCGGGCAGGGAGGTGATGTTCACGGGACTGAGGCCGGCGACGGGGAGTTCTTGGTTGTCGCGCAGGCCCTCGCCGACGCCGGGGAGATCCGAGACCACGGGGATGCCTAGAGAGCGCAGGAGCTTCTTGTCGCCGATGCCGCTGAGCTGGAGAAGCTGGGGCGTGTTGAAGACACCGCCGCTGATAATAACCTCCTTGCGGGCAAAAGCGAGCTTCTTGGTGCCCTTCGGGGCCGTGGCCTTGTTGTACTGCCACGAAGCCCCGTACACGCCGGCTCCCTCGAGGTACTCGACGCCCTTGGCCTTGGGGGTGCCGTTTTTCTTGTCGAACAGAATTTTGGTTGCCAGGGACTCGAGGGCCAGCTTGAGCTTGGGGGTCTTGGCCACGGTGTCCTTGACAAGATCGCGCGAAGTCCAGCGACGGCCCTTGTTGTTGTTGTGGTTGGGGAGACCGTACGGCTGGGTCGACTTATCACGAGAGGCGCCGAGGAAGTTGGCATCGCGCTCGAGGAGGTCGAGTGCCGTGGCCTCGTCCACAGCGTGACCGACGAGGTCCTCTGCGAGGTGAGACAACAAGGCAAGACGGCCTGGCTCCTGCAGATAGTAGCTCGAATCGCCCTGGCCCATTTTCAGGTAGCCATCGAAGCCATGGCCCTCTTTGGACTCGTTGGCCCGCAGGTAGAGATTCTTCTCGATCTTGACAAAAATCTTCCTCATGCTCTCAGCTCTGTTTTATCATGTTAGCTGCCAAGTGCAGGTGGACTGGGCTTTGGATCAAAACCCAGGGTGCTGAGCCATTTACTTACGACCAAGAAGAATCACCAGCCAGCTCGGCAATCTTGTTCCAGTCCGCGTCGTTGGGAAGCACAGATGCCATGGCATTGACAATGGCACTGCCGCCTAGGGTAGCGCCACGAGGGTACCTTGCATCTTCTTGTTAGCCGTCATACAACACACATGATAACTCCTGCTTAGCACGTACCAGACACCCTTGAGGGTCGCGCCGGCGGGCGCCTGAAACTTGGGCCCAATCCAGAACGAGCCGTCGGGCAGCGTCCAGGTCAGCAGGCGGTAGCGGCCCTCGGCCTCGGGATCCTCATGATGCTTCACCCAGAACGACCACTGCAAGTCCAGGGATTGGGGGTAGTAGAGAGCATTGACATAGGTCGAGACATCGTCGCTGGCGTCGCGGCCGGCTTCAATCAGCAGGACGCTGTGGCCGGCCTGGGCGAGGTTGCTGGCGACGATGCCGCCTCCGGGCCCACTGCCGACGACCACATAGTCGTAAATGCTACCGTTGCACCGGTCGGCCGAAGAAGCAGACACAAAACTGAAAGCGGAAAGGAACGTGAGGGCCAAACCGGCCAAGAAGGAGCGACTGCGGTGAGAGAACGACGCCATCATGTTGGAGTTGGACCGCCACACCAGAACAATGTGTGTGTGCAGGTCAGAGAGGGAGGGTGGGAGGGGATCGCAGCCGAGAACCGAGAAACCGAGTGGCCCTTTTTGAGGTTCTGCTTGGCCGTACGGATAGGATGGGCCGGTAGGATCCGAACCCACGTGTGTTGGCGGTCCACTCTCGGGGTGAAATGAGGCTGCTCAGGGGTCATGAACATGATCAATGGATGGCGTGGGGACAGGTGAAAAGGAAAGGCGATAACAAAGAGGCAGTCGGCCGGATCGGACAGGGGTTATTCGGCTACGTTAAACCGGAGAATACTAGTGTATCATATAGCCTATGCACGTCCACAATGTCCTAATTTCGGCCCATAGAACCCGAGGGCCCGGAGGAGCTGCAGGAGCTTGTGGCCTGCTAGCGTATCTCGGAATGATTACACTGTAGGGACAAGTACACGTCTCTTTCCCCGGTAACGTTGTGACCTGTGGGTATGGAGACGACGACAACTGTCAAGTTGTTCCTATGGCCTGGGAAGTGTTCAAGTCGCGATGATCCCAAAGCGAGCCACGGCTTGTACTGCATGAGCCGATCTCTCAGAATTTGAACTCCGTCCCCTGCCTGCCATCCGTGTAATGTAGTATGAGTGCGGAGATTCCCCGCTAAGGGAGCGGCCCGATAGGTCAAACCATAAGGAGGACCTTTGCGCTGCATTAGTGCGGCGCAGTCCTGGTGGATAAACTCCGATTCCCTAGCCTGCATCCTCTCAGAGACTAGGAGAGAAGGTATTATACCTATGGTGAGCACAGTCGAATGCCACTGCATAGTCGTCGGAACCTTGTCTGCCACGCTTCCCCTATTGAGCAACTACCTGCCTTGTTTCACAGAAAGTCGTCTCCAGCCTCGGCTGGTATGCTCTGTTTGATGTGTCTGTTTGAACAAGTCTTGTTTCGAGCCCGGTCCGACCCCTGACAGCCAAGATCGAGGAGGATTTTCTGGTCTTCTTGGCAGAGTCAGCAACGTCGTAGAAACAACTCCAATAGGAAGGCGAACCGGAGGGTTGTTGCAAGTGGTGCGGTTCGGGAGGGCGGCTCGGGAGACTCCTCAGCACTCAGGTACACGTACCGGATGTGGCTGCAAGAGAAGCGAAATGGAAAATCCCGTGTCTCTCTTCTGAGCACACGGGTAATCGTTCGACGTTTTGGCCACCGGAGAGCTGAGACATGCAGGTCATTGCAGGATGCAGCTGTTGGGAGAGGCCGTGCGATGGACGTCAGGTTGGATTTAACTCACAGCTTGTTCGTCTCCAATCGCAGATCTAGTTTCTTTGATTTTCACAGTCATCGATGATCTGCCCCGGATCTGCCCTCGATCTGCTGCACCCATGGCCCAGCTGATCCCTGGGGGGCTGCTGCTGGCCCGACAGGCCGGAAACGCCACCGTTCCCCTTGTGCTACCGCAACAATCACTGGACCTCTCCAGCTACCCGACGACAGGCCTTCAACAGTTTGGCCTGTTTATTATCATCTTCTTCCCGGTCGTGTCACTGCTGCTCGTGGGGCTGCGCGTCTACGACCGCGCAAAGACAAAGACGTTCGGGCTGGACGATGGCTTCATCATTGTGGCCACAGTACGTCGCCCGCCGGAAGTCGCAAACTAGACGATCATGGCCTAACTAACCCACCCTCTGTTTCTGTAGCTTTTGGCAGCGGCCGAAGCCGTCTTCTCGTACGCCATGATGAAGCTGCAGTACATCGGTGTCCACGTTTGGCAGCTCCCGACGACCCCATACGATCCCAGACTCGGCTTGATCCTGAACTACATAGTGGTCATGCTCTACAACCCGGAGTTGGGCCTCGTCAAATCATCCGTCCTCTTCTTCTTGCTTAGACTTGGTGGTCACCAGCCTCTGCTACGGCGGTTAATACACGTTCTCAACTGGTCCAACATTGCCCTCCTGATCGCGGTTCTGTTCGCCTCCATCTTCACCTGCGTGCCGGTCCACAAGTACTGGGACAGGACCGTCCCGGGAGTGTGTAACGTTGAGAGTTACCAGTATCTGATCACGTCAGGCCTGACCGTCCTCACCGATGTTCTCGTGCTGGCCATCCCGGTCAAGATCGTCATTGGGCTTCAAATCCCCAGAAAGCTCAAGATTATCCTCATTTGCCTCTTGTGCTCCGGCATCATGTAAGCTCCTCCAGCCTCACTCTTTCCATCCAAAGTCAGACATCCACTTACGAAATCCTGCAATCCAGCGTCACAATCTTCAGCATCCTCCGCATGCGCGCCCTCTACCTAATGTATTACCCGCCCCCGAATCCGGGCCCAGACCCGACCTACGACATCAGCTTCGTCTACTCGACCGTCGAGTGCAACCTGGCCATCATCACGGCGACCATCCCACCCCTGCACGGGCTAATGCGCCGGTGGTTCCCGCGCTTCTTTCACATCACGTCGCTCCAGAACTCGGCCTACCACAACAACAACGGCTACAGCGGCGGATCCCGAGGCGCCGTGCGCACCATCGGCGGCTCGAGCATGGCGCTCAAGGACCTCAAGAGTCCCACGTCCCCGTCCCAGCGCGCGAGGCTCAACAGCCTGTCCAACAGCGAGGAGGACATCCTGGGCAAGGATCGGATTACGCGTACGACGTCAGTGCAGATCACGTTTGAGAACGGCACGGAGAGCATGACCGGGGCCCAACCTCCCTCCTATGCTGCCAAGTACTAGCAAAAATTATGAGGAAAACACAGAGACCAAAGACTGGGTTCAGTGCTAGAAATGCATCAGAGCCGGGATTGGGATCGGCTGCTGGATGGTGGAAGGAGTGTTCTGGTGTAAACAAAATAAATAAAAAGAAAAAAATATAAATAAAAAAGCGGGAGTGATGTATTGTATTGTACCTTGGTCGATCCCCAACGCGGGGGATGCCTTCGTTGCGTTCATGTTTGTCTACGCCACTGGCAGTCTGGCACTGTGACTGTAATCAGCCACACGGTCCTGACGCTGGCGGCTGTTGCGATTGTGAATAACTAGGTGTTTCCCGTGACGAGGACAGCATTTGTGACGAGTATGGGGCTTGACTGAGGGGGTTTGTGAGCCGACTGGTCATTGATTCTTGATGGCGGCGGGTGAAGCTTGGGTGTCATGGAAATGATTGTGACCGGGGCTGCTACCGCTGTTTGTGGGCGTTGCTGCTTGAAGGTGAGGTAGTTGCCCAGACGATAGATAGCAGAAAGTCCGCGTCAGTATGCTATCCGTTCCAAACACGCAGCAGTCGTCTAAGGCCCGAGGGAAGCGCTGCCCTGCGGCCCGATTCCGGAAATCGATTTTGTCCTTGACGGAAACGAAGTTTCAGCGTGGCTTCTACTTGGGACTCGGCTTCTTTATGGTTTCAACTCGGCGGTGGCTTGGCCCCCTCCAAGTGATGCTGGGGTCATAGACTGCGATGCGCTCTGGAGCATTCTTTCAGCCAGATGGCTCGGGAAACGCTTCATGGTGACGGCCTGGGCGGTGGTTGGGGGGTTCTGGCCAAGGCTAGGAGCCCACTCGAGAGGTGCAAACAGGTCGGCACTATGGGCGACAGGAGCCATGATAATTTGGAAGACACGGTGCATGTTCTGTTCCGCTATGGGGCCAGCCGAGTACAGCATGCTCATGTATGTACCGAAGGGTGAAGCCTCCCACAGCTGCTGTCGGCCCTGGGGTGGATGAGTCGATGAAACCTTTCCGACAAAGCTGCCGGTATAACGAGCTCCCTGCATTTGGGTCCGCACCACGGTCAAGAAGGTACACGACGACACTATGCTGCCGCTCTAGAGCGCCCTCGAAGTCGGCGAGCGCAGCCCACAACAGCTGAACCTGCTTGCGCGGGATCTCAACCCGCCATTGCTCCAACGCGTCGTAATCCATCTCCTTCAAAAATTCCAGCAGACCATAAATGCATACGTATGTTTCAAGCATGCTTAGGCCGTCATCATTACTAGGAAAGGCCAGACCGCGCTTTCTCAGAATAGCTGCGCTATTCACACCCTTGAAGAGCTCAATGATGGCACTGACTAAGGTAGGTTGGTGTCATCAAGCGCCTTCTCGCCGAAGTGCATAAACTCGCGCAGAAATTCATTTAGCTGGGGCGAGTCTTGGGCCGTGATTTCGAAACAGACTAAGTCTAGTATCGTATTCTCCGACCAGGCCCGGGTCGAGAGCCACGGGGCATATCTGGCCTCAGCCAGGATACCTCGACACACGAGGAGCCAGATTTTGCCGAGGTCTTCCTGTCCCTTAGTCAAGAAGCACTGCACCTTGGTGGATGACCGTAAGAAATCCATCGCGGTGCGGTGCAGGAAATCAACCCGAGGGCCGAGGTACGAATTGCTGGTCGGGGACGGATTGATCAACGACCTCGAGGAGCCCCTTTGTCCGTCCCTCCAGTTGGCGTCGCATACGCTCATGTCTGAATGCCAGCTCGGAGTTTTAGAGTGGCAACTGAGGCCTCAAAAGTCCGGATCCGCTTCGATGTCGTCCAAGGAGGAGTGAAGAATCAAGAACAGAGGGCGAGGCGCCTCCATGGCGATAAGAGATGTCCGCGCAGCCTGGCGTCGATACAACGGCGGAATACACTCAATCATGTGGAGAAAGAAGTCTTTGGAGGTACTCGGGGGATTGGTCGAGCTGCCGCAGCATTGTTTCCACGGAGTCGTCATAGGTGAGCCCATCCAGAAGGTTGTTCATGACGAAGTAGACGCCAAGGAACACACCTTGCGCTCGCATGGCTATTTCTTCGATAAGATTCTCGTAGCCGGGATCATGGTTCATGAGCAGCGTGAGCTGGTCGTGTTCCTGCAGCTTGTCCGAAACGTAGCAGCGGATATCTCCCCGAGTAAGGTCCTCAAGTTTCAGATAGTAGGCCCGATGTAGACCTGAAAGCATCCATGAAGACGGCCCACGGCCTACTCGATGCACAACTCTTGACGCTTGGGAATTTTGCGATGCGGTTCAGCGTGTTAGTCAGGTTCCGATAACTATGCCTTATTATTATCCGGTTTAAACTCGTCCAATCCGTCAATGAGGAAGCGAAAAGCGGCCGAAATTCTCACATTGATCAAGTCTTCGAGCGTCAACATCAACTCCTCAAAAGACCAGGAAGCTGATGCCGCGAAGGGTGGTGATTCCATCTCGCCGGGATTGGTATGCAAGCCACGGTATTGGGACCGCGTCTGAAGAGAACGTGTTCGACCAGTTCGGGGCACTGTCGATGAGTCTCAAACAAGAGTGACCGCAGCAGACCCTCTTGAGATTTCTGCAGCTTTTGGAACCGGCATTCTAGAAGAAATACTTGGCTATGACCAACTTCGGGGTTTTGTTTGTGCTTAGTCCGCCCCCACCCTGCTGGCCGTAATGAGCTTCCATCAGGTCTGCTTCGTACCTGAGTTTCTCATCGACCTCAGGTTGCGGAACCAGGCGGCGGCCGCCATTTGCATCGTCCTTGTTTTCTTCAAACGGCCTAAATTGAAGCTCCTCTAGAGACATTGGGTGACGCGCGATCCAGGCTCCTGAGGTGTGCTCGTGTCTCTTCATGGTTGCAGATGACCTTCATCAGGGTCGACTTTCCGCATCCTGACTTGTCGTGAATGCAAGAAAGATGCCATCGCCGTGCTCGAGCCACTGGACAAATCGGGTTCTTGTACCATCCGGCAGGGCATCAGAGTAAGTCCATCATACGTGACGGCGTGTGCCTTCTCGATCTTTTCGTGCCGAGCCTCAATCGTGACAGAGTGAAGGCTGCTCAGAAGATCCTGCTCATGGGCCATGGTTTGGCCCTGGGCACTAAGGCCCGATGAGACCTGCAAGTGGTCGTGAGCCCTGCGCCCGTGTCCTTCACCTGAATGCGACTCCTTGGTGGCTTGCAGTATGTCATTGATCGTTCTGTCCATGGCTAGCACCTTTTTCACGTCCAACCTGAAGATCGTTTGTGTGGACGAGAGAGTAGATAGCGACGGAGAGTTCGGACAGCTTGTTCCTGAAAGACGCCGTGTCGTGCTAGTCTGAGGAGCACGTAGAAATGGAAGAACGACCGCCTCACCCCATCAGATGCTGTACGTGGGCGGTGATTTGGACTGCACTTCGACGGTCTCTGCTCGAGGCCGTTGATCTCACTGCGACTCTAGGCATCCTTCAGGGCCGCCTTCAACGACCTCAACCGACCATTGGCGCCCTTGACCTTCAGCTTTTCGAGAGCCACGAGCATCTGTTCGGTCAGTCGTTTGTTCTCCAAGGCAAGAGAGCGAAGGGTCTCGGATTGCGCCTGTTCCACCAGGACAGCTTCGCCCAGGGAGCTGACGTCGCGTGCAATGATCTGGAGAAGCGCGTTCACCATCGCTGGTGCCCGTGTGTGACTGGTAAATGGCGTGTGCGCCCAGAAACACCCCCCAAGTAAAATCGACAAACATAATGATGTTGCCTGCCATGCCCAGCGCGAAGGGGGGGCAGCCATTATCGACTATCGGGATGGATCTGTGCGGAATTGGGGAGATTCCCACACATCACCCTGAAAGCCCGCTGCAGATGCGCAGCCTCTTGCGGCTGAGCATGTTGCCTTGCCTTGACCGATTTGTCGGTTTCGGAAACCATTCACGTGCGAGGCAGGCAGGCCCCTCGCCCCACATCCTCCTCGTCAGTTGTGCCTGCCAAGCAGAATCTGAAATCCCCCCCGGGTGAGTCGCCGGAGACACGGAAAGGACCCACCCACAAGTTCCAAGCCTGGTGTTAATTAAGATTGCCTACCTTACCCTTGGCGACCCAAAAAGGGGCACACAGCAGGTGCGAGGGAATGCACCACAGCACTTTCGTGGAATAAAAACTGATCGCACAGCACTTACTCCATGCTGCTAGCCTGTTCAGTTCAACCATAGCAAGCATGGAGGATAAGCCGCCGGAATATGTTTCCCCGCCGGAGACGTGGAAGTCCAAGACGGCTCTTCGAGCGGCGTCGCTCGTGTTTTTAGTCGTCATTGCAGGAATCGGGGGGTCGCTGTCGACCATGCCACGTCTCGATATCGCCTGGTTGATATTGATTATGGTGGTTCCCGGCGTACGCCTGCCGTTTTCACCTGATTAGATTAACATACTAGAGTAAAATCGCTGACTTGTCTCTCATAGCTTGCCGTCACATTCATCTGGGACATCGCCGAAGTTCTCTGCATTCTCAAACGGGGCGGAAACCGGGGCATCCATCCCGGCGCCGTCGTCGCTATCGACCTGATACTTTGGCTCGGCTGGCTCACCGTCGGCTTCATGCTGGGCGTGCTAGGTCTCATGAGCCATGCAGGTTCTTACATCCTGGATTATAGTGGCTCCTCTTATACCCAGTACGGGACTCGATACAACTACAACCCGTCCAAAGCCACGCCTGAGGATGCGGCTCTGGAGAGAGAGGTCTTGGGGAAGGGCCGGGCCCTCGTTGCCTTTGTCGGGCTTACAGTGTAGGTTTGACGTACTCTTCCCAGGGATGCCAACCAGACGTTGCTGACGAAATGTAATCTCAGAATCGTGCACTTCGTGCTCTTCGTCATCGCCTGCCGCGAAACCCACACACGGAACAGCATGCCGAGGACCATATATGTCATGCAGCCCGTTTCTGTGATACCGGCTGGATACCAGCAGCTCGAGTTCGTCCTGCCAAAGCAGATGCAGAACCAAGTGTTCATGCAAATGCCGCCTGGCCAACCACCTATTCAGCCTGCTGCAGCCGTTCCCAGACACTGAGAGAGGGGGCCAGCCTTCCAATCCCTCCTCAGATGGACATGTCGAAGGCTCCATGCTCACATCCTTCTTCGGCTACCTTTTCATTCAGGAGGGAGTAAAGTTAAGACCCCATCCGACCGGTGAGCTGGGATCCTTGCTCTTCGTCATCAATTTGGTGCTTGGATATTGTTGTACAGAATTCTCAAGGCGTTTCTCGGATTATTCATGACGCCTACAGACGAAAACGTATTATGTATACACAATTTTGCATTATGATATCCCGACAACCTGCCATTGAGTAACCAGAGAGAACTTCCTAACCGCCTTCGTAATGACAGAGTCACGAACCTATGATACCTTCAGTCTCCTTAGTTGCCCCCCTCCGACCCAGAAGCCCGCTCATAGTACCAAACAGCCCCATCCGCCTTGGCACAGCTGCTAACGCTGCCGCCGTTGATGTCGGCCTCGACAGGCTTGCCCTTGCCCGCCTGCACCGGGCCATAGACATGGTAGTAGTACCACACCTCGGTCAGCACCGTCCTGCCGTTGTCGAGCGAACCCTTACCGGCCTCGGTCTGGTTGTACCGGGGGCCAGAGCAGCCGATGTAGGGCTTGGCACCGTGCTCGGCCGCCAGTGCCGACTGGATGTCGGCGAGCGTGTAGCCCGTAGAGTTGCTGGGCTTGATGGACTTTGCGGCGAGCCAGTCGTAGGTGGGCAGCCGCTTGAAGAAGTCGGCCGAGGCCGAGAAGTAGTCCAGCAGGTCGCTGTGCTTGTCGAGGGCCTCCGGAGAAAAACACGAGGGCGCGAAGGTGCTGAAGCAGGTGGCGTGCTTGGAGAACTCGTGGGCCCAGAGAACGGCGTTGGGCTCGTTCTGGGAGATCCAAAACTTGTTCATCCAGTCGAGAAGGGCGCGGCCCGGCTTACCGAGGGCGGTCAGGAACGTGTCCACGGTCGGGCCGTTGTAGGGCGGAACGGGGGTGCCGTCGGGAGTGCCAGTCGTGGTGTTGGGCGACGGGTGGGGGTCGTACTGCCGGTTGAGGTCGCAGTATTGCGTCCACGAGCCGTTGCAGAAGTCGGGCCACAGGCCGTGCAGGGTCCACGACTTCCGGGGGAGCAGCTGCCCTTCGGACTCAAGCCCCGTGTATGTGTCCCAGAACTGGGTGGAGAGGACCAGACCGCCGAAAGTCTCGACCTCGCACGAGTTTACCAAGCCCGACTGTGCCTCGGCGGAGCAAGAGAGCACTTTCTGGTTGGGGTTGCATCTAGCGGCGACCGAGCCGGCCACAGCCAGGCTGAGCAGAAGTAATCGTGCCATTACCTCCGGAGATAGGGACCGAAGATAAGATACCTTTATGTAAGGTAGGTACGAGAGTAGGCTGAGTTCCAAGACTTCAGGCGGAGGAGGTCAAGCACTCGGGATGCAACTTAATATATTCCATTAATTCCTTTCCCTGGCTAAAACCCTCTTCTTGTTCGTTTTTGCAACATTGCTAGCGGTCCGCTTCCCTGCCACGTGCGGTTCTATTCTCAACAATTCGTCCACCATCATACCGGAACTTCCTAACAATTATTCCCGACCCATCGGTACCTGATTAGGAAGCTGCAAAATCTGGATGGCAGGACAGTACCGCCAAAAAAGGGAGGACCGAGCACCTGCTCGCAACGCGGTGTCCCATTCGCTCAAAATCTAATGTGCAATGAAGAACGGAATATCTCCAACCTGGGGATAATGGTAATCTCGACACCTCTCGGACAGCCAGCAAGATCTTGCAGTCGCCAAATGAGGTTATAGTACATGCGGTTAGCCGCAGCTTCTCTCAAATCTTTTTCTTGGTGGAGTTTTCCATCATGATTTCTTTTGCTTTCTAATCGCCATCATGATTGAACGGAGGGCATTGGAGGATTGCTTAATGGGGACAGAGCCCTTTTTTGGGAGGAACAGCTGCAGCATGAATTATTGAGATAAACTTGTTAAGGTACAGAATGCGCCGCTACCAGCACGTACAAGTTTCAATACATTTAATAACCGGCCAGGCCGACCTGAAATATCATGCCAAGGTACTGGACCTGTACTTTAGCCCACTCAATGTGATGCAGTACACCAATGATCTCTGATTGGGGTATCAACAGTTCACTCTTCAATCATACCAACCACATTATTCTTTGAGTTACCCTCTGCGATTCCTCACTTATCCCCGGCTACCTCCGCCCACTCCAAATCCCGAACCAGGCAACTCTACGGGCGTCCTGCACGGGTACCGTGACCCGACCCCAAACTGCCAATTTCCTCCACTGGGATCATACGCGGCCGAGTCGCGGCCAGACAACTCGGCGACTTCATGTTGGTACGTCGCGGACTTGTATAAGGGGGGCGGCGCCGACGGGTCATGGCCGGAATCGTCCTGTGTGTCCCTGCCGCTGTTGGAGGTCTTGGATAACAGAGTCTTTGGCGTCTTGGAGCCCACATTCCTGGCGTTGCGGTGGCGGATCCAAAAGATGACGACTATGCAGCTGCATAGGAGGGCGAGACAGCCGAATGTGCCGCCTATTATGGCGCCCGTGTTGTTGGGGCTGCTGGCGCTGGTGGCTTCGTTGGAGGAGGCGGGTGCTGGGGATGCGGTGTTGCTTGGGGAGCTGGATTGATTTGAGGACTGGGCCGTCGATGACGCCGTGTGCGTCGAAGCGGTTTCTCGGGGACTGCTAGAAGTTGTTGTGGAAGTTGAAGGGGTGGGCTTGGCTGATGAAGATGATGGCTTTGCGGTGGTGGTGAAGGCGAAGTATCGGTCTGTACTGGGGCCTGCGCCACAGGCGAGGTAGGTGAACGGGCCGACGTTGTTGGAGAGAGTTAGAAGAGCGGTCGAGCAGAAAGGAGCGCCGGATTCGGAGCTGACCGCTGTTACTCAGTCCCTGCGCTCAGTGCCGCTTGGGATCATAGTTGTCGGCACTTACCAGGTGAAGGTGGTCAAAGGGGAGTTGGTAAACCCGCATCCCTTGGAACAGCTGAAGCTGTCGACGCAACTCCCTGCCAAGCCACAATCGGTTGCCGCAATGACTGAGCTGGGACAGAAGCCCCAAAGGTCGTGCAAGATGTCCACGCGACAGTCAAATCCTGGGTTGGCCGTCCGGGTTTTAGAAGCGTCGCCGGTGAAAAAGATGGTCGAGAACCTAGTAATACTAGCAAGGACCGTTCCCTGCCGTCTATCGAGGGGCAATGTCGTGTTCGGTTGCCGGCCGAAGAGCGCAAGGGCGGAGGTATGCTCGATGCCTCCAAACAGGAGCAACACTTGAGGGAAGAAAGGGGGCATTGAATGGCGATGATGTTTAATCCGAATCGCGGAGACTTTGAGCAGTGACTGATGGGTCAGCGCTTTGCAGAGCTGCCTCGACACAGCAAGGAAAGACAAATATGAACAACACAAAAGTGACAGGAAGCCAGCAGACAAAATGAGGAAGAAATAACATCATCCGGAGTTGGCCAGAGCAAACATTCCCTTATTATGGGTGTCGACGAGCAATCAGCCTTCATGGCTGAAGCGCCTCGAGTCCTTAGGCCTCGCTTCTGCAGAGGTTCTTCATGTACCGAAACACGCACGGTACAATGCGCACCTCTTTCACCATTCAGGAGGCAACGCTGCGCCTCACGAAGTTCCGCGCGCTTGTAGGCGTGGGTGGCTTGCAGCTAGATCTAATTCTGCTCACGGGTTTGAGATGTTGGGCGAATCAAGACCCGTCTCAACCCCTGGCTCGCGGGTGATGGGCGCTTAACTGGCTGATCACGACCCCCCAGACCAACCAGCCAAGAGAAATGACGCCGCCAAGTTTGATCAATCTGAACGTCATCTCTTCAAAAGTCAACATCACCGCCGGAGAGCTCAGCAAGTCTTGTCACGTTTCCCTTTTTTTGACCTTGGACGAAATAGGATGCTTTAAGGAAAGTTCAAGAACCACTTCGAAAGCCTCACAGCGGTCAAGCCGAGGCGCGTCCGGCCCGCATCCGCTGGCCGGGTTTGTCACGTGTATCCGCGATGCGCAGAGCGTTTCTCTTCTGGCCAGCGACGTCCCTGCTCCTCCTGGTCTTGACCCTCTATGTCCGCCGGGACCAGCTCGGCTTTCTCCCACAGCATGGTTTGCTCCAGCCACAGGACAAGGTGCAGACGGCGCCACCACCACCAGACGCAGGGGCTGTTGCCTCAACGGCAACTACAACACATCCAGGTCAGTGATTTGTCTGCCACAGTATTTGCATGCCTTCTAACATCGACCGCCAGCAACTCTTCCCAAAGAAACGATGGAAGCCCACGTCAAAGCCATCATGAGCCCAGAGGCAACCCACCTACCTCATCTTGAGTGTCCCAAGCTGGACACATCCCGGTACCAGCATCTGCAGATAGCTAGCCAGCAACCTCCCAACCCAGCCATCCGCTACTTCTTTGCCCTCGACCTCCGCCAATGCCTCACTCTCCTCCCCCGGCTCATCGGCAGCGTGGTCGAAGTAATGCGCTTCCTCGGCCCTCCAAACTGCGCCCTCTCCATTGTCGAAGGCAACTCAGACGACGGCACCGGTGAGGTTCTGGCCGCCCTTCGCCCGGAGCTCGAAGCCCTCGGCATAACCTACTACTTCAGCACCACGCCCACCGACCCAAAACAAGGCGACCGTATCGCAGCTCTCGCCCAACTGCGCAACCTCGCCGTCCAACCCCTCCTCGACGCCCACCGCTCCACCTCCATGTTTCCTAATGAATCCACCACGACCAAATCCAGCTCCACCACGATAACCTTCCTCAACGACGTCGCCATCTGCCCCGAAGACATCCTCGAACTCCTGCACCAGCGCCTCACCCTGCAAGCCGACATGGTCTGCGCCATGGACTGGACCTACGTCGGCCGCGACCCGACCTTTTACGACGTGTGGATCGCGCGCGGCATGAGCGGCGACTCCTTCTTTGAGATACCGCCCGACGGCAGCTGGGACTCGGCGTGGAACCTGTTCTGGAACGACGCGGCGACGCGCGAGCGGTTTGCCGCAAGGCAGCCGTTTCAGGTTTTCTCGTGCTGGAATGGCGCGGCGGTCTTCTCCGCTGCGCCGGTGGTTGAAAGGGGGGTGAGGTTTAGGACTGTTCGGGAAGGGGAGTGTGTGCAGGGTGAGCCGCAGTTGTTTTGTAAGGATTTGTGGTGGGAGGGGTATGGGAAAATTGCGGTCGTGCCGGTGGTGAATTTGGAATATTCGGATGAGGCGGGGAGGAGGATCAAGGAGGAGAAGGGATATACGTCGCGGTGGGTGGGCGCGCCTGGGTGGAGGGATGAGCGCATCGAGTGGCAGGCGAGGCCGCCTGACAAGGTCAAGTGCATGGGGAGGTATGATGATCAGTTCTTTGAGGCGTGGAATAAGTCGCAGCCAGGGACTTGAGTGAGACGATGAAAAAGCAAGGCGCCGTCAATGTGACTGTGGCCGCTGCGAACAGCGCTTCAAGTTTGTTCCTGTTGGCCCTATGTCAAGCGCTTTCAACGCTTGGGATGACCGGTATAGACGGGATACAGTGATCCTAAAAGACGAGCGCTGAACTGATTGACTTTTGTCCTTTGGAAATAACGTACATCATTAGCGCACCGGCCATATAAGCAAGCCAGCCATTTTTCCGCGCGCGACGCGTACTTTCTATGTTCAACATTAGAGTTTTCCGTAAGTAAGCTCGAGTTCCTCTATGCCCTTCCACAAGGCCTACTTCGCCTCTATGACGGAGAAGACTATATAGGGTGGCTTTACATGTACTGGCCTTGTACCGTATAATCCAGCGAGGGTGCTTTCCAAGCTGGATATGAAGCTTCGTACGCCGATATCCCCGAACTCGCCACCCAGCACTATTTAGCCCAGGTCTTCCAGATACCCTACAAACCCCGAGAGCTGATTCACACCCAACACTTATCAAGACTCACATTGCTGACCATCGGGACAGATTCTTGACGTCAGTGTTGGCTACTATAGACCAGCTTACTAAGGGTACGATAGCTGTGATGCACGAGGTAGCTTTCCTCCATATGGAGAACGCTTCACTTCGAACGGCCAACGAGGTATTAAGCAAGCGCCGGAGAGTCGAGAAAACACGTGTGCAGCTTGGGGGATCACTTACTGCGTAAGATGAAAAGGATCCACTAGACTATCAAGCCGTGGGTTGGGAGGAAATTCACAAAACATAGGAGGATGGTGCTGGTGCAGGGGAAGCTCGTACGAAAGTTCGGTGCTGCGTTGTGTGCGGCAAGTCCGGCCATAACGCACGCACGTGCCAGGAGGCCGCAGAATCATCTGACTCAGCTGTTTCTAATATAACTGTAGTTCGTACCTAGTGTTGATGTGTTACAATTGACGATAGTTGTTGTTGAGCGGTGGAAGAGTGGCCGGCTCGCTTATCATGTACGTTATTCCAATGGGCTCGGTCAAACAAGGCGTGATTCAAAGTCCTAGATGTGACTGGACCGGCGGTTGAATCTGGAATCGAGAAGCGGCTTAACGGCTATGGCATCTAGAGTTGTTAGAAATGGCGAAGGGGGACAAAATACACCGTCGGTGGCATCGGGAACGGCGGCTCGCAGAGCTGGCTGGGAGGTTACACGTTGAGATAAAACTCCACAGGTTTGGAGCAGCTGGTGGAAAGGATACCAAGGTACCTAGTTAAGGCAAAATTACCTGTAATTGAGTGCTTGGGGCCCGGGGCGAAGGGGGGCGTGACGAATCTCACTCCAGTCGCTAATCTTTGAAGAGTTGCTTAGAATGTGAGAGAAGTCCGCAAAAATGGAAGAGAGACGAGTACTGCTGACTGCTGGGGTACGATGGGGCTCCGTCTTGGCCAAATGCTTTGACAAAGGCCAGGCTACGATAATACTAGAGCCCAGCAGGCTTGTCCTCTGTGAGAATGGCTTCATATAGAGAATAGGAGGAGCAAAGCTTTTCCAGTGGTGTTCGCAGGCAGGCCGTATGGGCTGGACGCCGAGGAACCTTGATATGTCCAATTGCCAAGTCCGGAAGCGCTCGCACCCCTTGATCCCAACAGCATGCTCGTATGTACCGAGACACGCTCTTAGGATAGCCCACAATAGTATGGAAAAACACCCTCTCAACTACCCGTTTTAGCAACGTGGTCAGTCAGTGTACACCGATTGGAACTGCATTGAGCGCGTTTCAGGGTTAGCGGGTTGTCGTCTGGTTTCAAGTCCCATCAGTACTCTCCTGTGCTGTGAAGAAGTGCAGGATAACGGAGATATCGAGAATTGATTGGCTACGGTACGAGGGATTCCTCGTCCAGCTGCCTTCCACTATGAGACTATGTGCATACAGGCGGAGGGAATGGTGGTGTCATCCATAGGGTTCGTTTGTTGGATCATTGATAACAGTTGTATGCACAACTGCCCATTACTATGCAAGAGCGGAACAAAGCTGAAGCTGGGGTAGCTGGCGAGGGTAGCAGTGCTGGGGAGAAGGTTGGAAACAAGGCCCGGCGGTTGATTATCCATAGACCGAGCAAGTTCCTCCCGGACTCTGTCTTTCTCTCTCGCCCTCTTATTATCCATCCCTCAGTGACTCGCGAAGCCATCATCCCTCAGACCGGCTCCATGAGTGTTACAAAATGGCTCCTGCAGAGGGCGACTTTGACGGCAATGATTTTGCTTACAGCCTTTTCAGTGACCTGGTTCCCCTCTTGACCTTGTTCGGAGAGCAAGTCACCAAGCAGTTCCTCTCATTGAGCATGGGCTGGGCAGGCAACATTCTGCTGGCTATGGGGCCTCTTAGGATTTTGACCATCGACGTCGGCGTCATTCGAGTTGGTGGAGTGACAGGGCTCAAGGCCATCATCGGAAGGTAAATCGGCACCTAACATACCTTACCAGAGTGCTGGGTGTGGCCACTGTTTGGAAAGCATATCGGTGTCTGACATTGACTGCAGGGCCAGAGAAGAGGCCCACTGCTGAAATGGAATTGCTTTCGTCAACATCCTTGGAAGTATGCGAGCTCTGGACGGGGAGAGAGATCGTGCGGCTACGCGGGCAGCCCCAGATGTCCCTACCGATCATCATCACTGCCGATGCGAGGATTCTACCTTTTGACGAGGGGCCGAGCGCTTGGAAATATCTGAGGTTGAAACGAAGAACCCCAGATGGCGCGTGCCGCGGCTTTCTGATCTCAAGAGAGCCGCGCCGAACCTCACTCTAAACATCAGCAAATCGACCGCTTCCCACAACGGAACAGTGATTTGGGCCCTTGGTGGGATGCCTTCTCCAGCTGGTGTCGCCAGTGTGCAGCGGCTTAGCCACCTATTATTGGAACTGGGACGAAATCCCCAACCCGGGCTCAACGTACGGATATCCTTGTTACCTCGTCGGTACTATCCTTCACTGGGCTGGCGTGGCTTTCTGCGGACACGTTGTAGAGTCAGCCAGCATGGGAAACCCATTTCGTTGCACTCCGGCCATGCGCAAGAACGTGCATTATGCACGTCCAGCAAGCTTGTACCGTCGGCGATCAGCATATTTCGGATCTTTCGCCATTCTCAACTCCCTTGACAACCTTGACATTCATTTCTCGCGTCTTCAACGTTCGGGTAAAGCAAAAAGGTCTGGCGGTATTTTTTTCTCAATCAGTGCGGCAGTGCTCCTGTACTTCAACGCGTTTGGCTGACATATCCGGAACCCTACGTTTAGTTCCTTCGCCATCGTCGCGACCACACTGGCCGTCACCAGATTCGTCGTGCAGTTCACTGGCCTCAGAGGATCCCGTTGGTCTGCCGCGGTCGTGCAATTGGGGGTGACGTTGATCATGACGGGTTTTGAGCCATCGTTCGACGGGGCCTCGCAAGCAACTCTCCTTTCATTCCCCTTCGTGCGGCAGGCTATGAGTGCTCATCCAGTGTTCCTGCCGTCCACACGATCAGATACATCCGTTATAATACTCCAAGGCCAGGAGGGAAAACGACAACTTGGCCAAGGCAGGATGGGACACGTTCCTGAAGCAATGGCAACTGGGACGCGAAATTTGCGCGCGGACATGGACTCGAAGCCAGGAGGAATCCACTGGTAAACCCACAGGATGTTATCATGACTGGAATGTACTTCGGATATCAGGATGTCCCCATCATCATACTATCGCTTATGGGGAGGGAGCCAGACGGTCTTCAGATTGCCACAGCTTTGCAACAGATGCCGTCGGCCAGTGCGAAAAAAGTACCGGAGGTATGCATGCTACTCGCCATTGACGGCCTATCGCAAGCGATGTTGACATTCCGGACGTTCCAACAACGATTCGAAAACATCCAAACCAAGGCGAAGCATTTACTCGGGGGTCTGGAAGGTGCAAGCAACTACCTTTCACACACTTATGCAGTGTTGCAAAAGTCACCGTACGCATTTGACAAAAGCTTAGATCTGATAGCTTAACGGGCCGGTCTGGGGAGAGAAATTCGTTTTTAGATTCCGGACCAACCTTACCGATTGACGTGCGACCCATCGTCATAGAACTTGGTAAGTTGTCTCACGAGATGAGATACCGCGCCGAACAAGACCTGCGAGCGATATTGGGCACATGGCTATATGTCCCGAGGAATGAGCAGGAGTGGGAGCAGGGCATACTCGGGCAACATATACGCATCGTTGGCTCTGCAATGTCGCAATAGCCGCGGAAAGGGACGACTAGTGACGTTTGAGAAAGACGCTGGGACTGGTCGACATCGACTACTTCAGCTACATTTAACGTTACGGCATTTGCTTTGCATCGGTGGCCTCGAAGCAACAGTCCCACGAACCCAAGCGGTTGTCATCGGGGGGAGCCGAACAAGTGTCAGGGGTGGTCTCGAGAAGAGCTCTGATATTTCCAGATAGAAGCAGCTTGCGCAACCCACATAAGAATCCCTTGTAGGCGGTCCATGAGAGCAGAGACTAGAAACATGCAACGCTTGAGTCTTTACCAGCGGAGCTGCTTGATGTACCTGGACACAACAACCCCTTGAACCTTCATGGGGTATCAAACTAGTCTCAGGCCTACGAGGGGAAACCGTGAGTTTTATACGAGCCGTGTTGGCAAAATGACCGAGAACGCACGGCTACTATCCTCAGACCCAGAGGACCTGCGCTCACAACGCCAGATTCTCACGAGAGAAAGCAGGGATTCATTCCTCTTCCCCCAACGATGGTGCGGCCTTGGTCGGCGAGCGCGTAGATGTTGTGCCAGCCGGACAGGGTCGGGTAGGGTGGCCGGGGGCGGCGAGCTGAGGGGCTGGTTTCCATGTTTGGGTCCATGTCGGGTTCCCAGTTGGGGAGCTGGAGTGTGTGTGGGAGGGGAATGTTGTAGAGGGTGGTGAGGCCTTGGTTCTTGAGCTTGATGAGAGGATCCTTGTCGTCGCCTCTGGGGATTGTGAACAGAATCATGGGCTCGGTATGCGCCTCGCCTTTGGCGGTGGACTGGATCTCGGCAGCGTTTGCTCCGGTGGTGATTGTTGTGTGGGCGTGGGTGGTGCTGATGGAGGCAAGAATTGAGGGTCTGGCGAGTGGAACGAGGGCGGTGATGTCCACCGACAACGTGGACGCAATCACGGGGGAAGAATTGATGCGCTCTTCTGGTGCCTTTGACGTTTGGGACGAAGGGATGAGCGCCTGATTATTTGCTTTATCGAAGAGGCCGAGCAAGTCCTGCTCTTCCCGTTTCTCGGGGCTGTCGGGGCAGCTGCCAACCTCCGTGGGAGCGATGCGGATCCCATTGTCAGCAGAGTCAGAACCGGACGCAGAGAGTTGCTGCTCGGCGTAGAAAACCAGCAAGTTTTCGGACTGGGCGGAGAAGGAGGAAGCGGCATCATGGAACATGTCATCATCTCCAACGGGACAGGCCTCGATGTCTCTCAGCAGGCAGTTAGGGCTGCTGGAGGGACTATCCTTCAGCACAACATCGCTGAGCAGGGTTATGTCGCCACTGGTCCGGAATGGAGTGTCGCTGGCCAAAGTTCCGGCAAACACACGTGAGCCGCGCTGTTGGATGGCCTGGAAGTTCTTTCTGAAGTTAAATTCGCTCACTGTTCGGATGATACAGAATCAGTCGGGAGTTCTTGTCGCAACCGTGCACCAGATGGCAGACTTTGGCGGCCACTAAGAAAGAATATGAAAGAGCCATGAAACTCACCTGTGCCCAGCTGCACTTCGCCGCCCTTGGAGGATTCCCTCCCGGCGCGCTTCTTGAACTCGGCCTCTGCCTCAGAGTGGCCCTGCTTCTTGCCCTCCTCAAGGGCTTTTCTGTAACCAAGTGAAAAGCCGGCTTTGAATCCTTCCTCGAATCCCTTGACGAAATAGTCCTCGTCACAGCCGCCGTACGAGTCGGCGGAGTTGCCCAGCATGACTCGGGCCATGCTGACGATGTGGATGTCAGGAGTGCCTGGGTGTAAATTTGGTGTAAGTTTGCGCGTAAGTTGTTGGTGACCGGAGGGGAGGAGGGTTGCGAGAAATAACCTTCAAATACAAGAGAGAAGGAATGGAAGGCACCTCACTTACTTGGACGGCTGCTGTCCTGGTCCACAGTCGATTCCATGTCGACCCTGTCCGTCATTTTTCTCGCTCTGGCCTTGCTGGTAGATGGTTGTTTGTGGCTTTGTTGTCCTGCTGAAGGAATGGTATGAATGCTCCGAACGAAAATGAAATTCGGAGTGAAGAGGGGCATGTACCTTTTGGAGCTTCAACACCCCATCACGGCTGAACACCATCGCGGCTTGACACCATCGCGGCTCGGTAAGCGGGCCCCGGCTTAAGCACACTGTTGAGGCCTGTCCCTCGCGTCTAGAACACCCTTCAAGGCCTAAGCACAATTTTGAGATCGGACATCTTGCATATCAGTTCGTCACAGCCGTGGCCGTCGGCGTTGAACATCCAGGACTAGCGCGAGATAGGACAGTCTTGACATAGATGCTCTTAACGGCTAGTGAGACGTGGGAAGACAATATTGTTAGCTAACAAACTTGGCAATGCAGTCAAGAATACTAGCTGTAATCCTACATCAATAACCTTTTCTGCCTCCCCCTTAGGGCCGAACCGTCACCCCTAATTATGTAGTGTTCCTGCTTCTGGCGTGAAGGTGTCCTGCAGTTTTAGCACCTCAGCTTCCAGGTTGCTATGGCCGTTATATCTAGCAGCTCATATAGAGGCATACCCTTGTCCTTCCAGTCATTAAAAGTATCAGTCATTTTACGTTGTAACTTAGCTGTAGAGTCGGAACCGCTTTATGCAGAGCACCTTTTGTCGCACAAGAATGGTCCGAAACTAGAAGTCAGTCCGTGACAACTTCCTTGTACATACATTCTAGTACTTAAAGGTGACTTTGCTCTAAGTGCTTCTTGATATACTAAGTGAGTGATCCTAGAATCGATTTTCAAGGACCGGCCAAATTCGAGGGAAGATGTTTACGAAGTTAGGTTTCCATTCTCCGATGCAACCCTTTCCAGCAGAGGTACTAAAATGCTAGGACGTTACAGATAGTCATGATCCCAGTAAAGATGAGCAACCCTGGAGGAACTGTGACAGTTGTAGCACATCTAGGCTCTCAAACCCCTTTCCTGCCCTTCAGTTGCCGGCACGGGTTCTCGCTTACACTCGCACACACGGCCGAGTTGTGAGGAAGTTCTCATACCAAGGGGCAAATTGGACACAAGATTGAGGCTTGATAGAAACAACTATACTAATATCTCGAATGCCGATTTTGTGCGAGATCCCATACGTTCAACGGATAGAGGGTTATGACCCAGTGACGTCAGATGCTACTATTGGCTTCATTGCGACTTTCAGGATACAGATATCTTAGAGGATCGTCAAGCCACCACAGGGCACGAAGAGCTTGCGGACGGTCACTGATTTACAATTCCTCCGTCGGGATGTGGACAAAAAGGGTCAACAAGACTCAGCAGGGCTGGCCAATGCTTGCCACTCCTTGAGCTCCTCTCCAGAGTCCAGACCAACTTCTCGCCCTTGCTTTCATCCACAGCCCTGCCTTGATGAACACGAGATATGCCCCGACAGCAACCCACGTGGCAGAGATGGCAACCATGCCCCCAGCAACCCGCACATCGGCCACCCTGGCTTGTACGGTGGCGGTCGGCAGCAGCCACTCTGAGATGGGGGTTGTCTTCAACAACGGCGTCCTCTCTTCGGCCTGCGCTTCATATCGCCGGAGCAGCCTTTCACGTCTCGCTCGCAGCTCGGCTCTCTCCCTCTCGCTTTGCTCGATAGCCTCGACCATGCGCCAGGCCACCCGATTGTTGATCCTCTCCCATGTCGCCTCCTCGGCCTGTCTGCGCGCGTTCTCACCCATCTGCTTGCGGAGAGCATCATCGGTCGCCAGGACCATGACCTTGTCGACAAACCCCGCCACGTCTTCTGGCGGCGTTAAGTATCCCGTCACGCCGTCCCGCACAATATCACTCGGCCCGCCCTCATCCCTCGCCACGACGGGCACGCCGCTCGCCATCGACTCGAGTACGACGAGACCGAAAGTCTCGGTCACAGAGCAATGCAGAAACACATCGGCCGACGCATACGCCTCAGCCAGCTTCTCGCCCGCGCAAAACCCGGCAAACACCACCCTCCCTGCCTCCCTCAATCTCGCATCAAACAGCGCTTTGATCTCCTCTTCGACGGCCGCATTCCTGTTCCCGCCCACAACATACAGCACAAACCTCAACCCGCGCCGATCCAACTCCCTCACGGCCCCGGCCAGGAACCCAAACCCCTTCTCCCCAGCCAGCCGCGATACACAAATCAGCACGATTTCCCCATTCGGCGCAATGCGCCCTCTCAACCCCTTTCTCCGCCGCGAAGGATGAAACAGGGCCGTATCCACCCCGCGCTGCAGCAGGCTCAACTTTCTGCTTTCAACCCGCCACCCCTCTAGAATGCGCCTGACAAACCGGCTCGGGTAGAACACAGTCCTCACACTTGCATGGTTGAACAGATAACTCTGCACAAACGCCAGCGCGGCCACCGCCACCGTGCTGAAGGGTGCCGGGAAGAGGATGGCGCAGTAGCCGGCGAGGTCGGTCTGGAAGTTTGCGAGCAGCGGCGGGCGGTGGGCGGAAGGGTGGTTCCTCAGCTGGAGCATCACTTGGAACCCGAGCGAGGCGGGCGAGGCGAGATAGATCAGGTCTGGCGGGGGCGCGCGGGGGCCGAAGGCTCGGCTGTAAAGGGTTGAGAGGCGGACCGGGTAGGCGATTGTGAGCTCGGGGTTGTAGGGTAGCGGGAAGCCGCTGATGCGGAGGGTGGTGTTTTTTGTCCGGGCGAGATCGTGTTGCTGTTGTTGGAGTGGGGCCTGTTCTGGGGTGAAGGTTGTTTCGCGGGTGTGAGGGGCCACGACGGCGACGTCGACGCCATTTGACCGGAGGTGGTTGACGAGCATAAGAGTGGTGCGGGACACACCGTTGACCGGGCCGAAGGACTCGGTACAGAGTAGGATCCGCTTGCCGCGGAGGGCATCCGGGAAGATAGAGTATGGGGTCGGTGCCGTGTCCATGGTGTCTTGTCAGCTGTGGTATCTGTTTTCAATTCTTAGACATCGAACTGATGACGAAACTTTGAGACTGGCGCTCACTGACACAGTTCGTGTGTACGACTAAGATGGAGATGGATATCTAGTTATCCGTTCTCATGGTGGGTAAAGACCCAAAGTGCCTGCCTCAATGTCGGAATGCAGGATTGTGGCGGGCATTTTGAACGGTGTTGCGTCAACATGCTTTCTGTTGGTTGCACCGACCTTGCATGCGAGCGGCGGCGGCGAGCGGCGGGGTGCATCATGGAAACGCGCAGGAAGCCAAGATGAAGGAACGTGTACCGATTGCTGGACCGGAGTCGAGTTGGAGTTGCCAAGACTTTGGACGGGTGTCATTCTTGAAAGCACGCCTAGCCCCGATAAGCTATCGACCCCACGAGACGACGCGCGAATAAGCGGGCGCCATTCCCCCAACGTGGACCTTCTCATTCGCCAGGCTTTCTCTTCCGCTCAACAACCTTCCCGCCATCACCCAACTAGAGAACTCGATGGTACATGCCCACCGAGCCCGGCTGGTCTTTGAAAGGCTCCCGTTCTGCTGACCAGAGAGGGGACTTTCAGCATATAAGAACGAGTCAGATGTACTGCCTTGTACATACACACATGTGTCCCTGCAGCAAGAGGTGCCTCGCCAGCGGTTGTGAGTGCAGGCATGTGAGGATTGAGGATGATCTTCCGGGGGCAAGGTAACACGGGGAGGCGACACAGCGGCCCGGCGGCTGCTGCTCTTTCGAATATAGGACCGGCCAATGTCGGAAGGTGCGCATTTGTCATGTCGTCTCATGTCTCCTCCTCGAATGTTCCGCTTGCGTGACCCGAGTCTCATGCGGAGTTCATCTTGACCTCAAAGGTCCTCACCGGATCGTTGCAACCGGCGTAGACTTCTTTACCTCCTCGAGCCTCGGTTCGCCTATTTCGGTCGCACCAGTCTGTGCCAGAGAGTCAATTACCCACCGAGCCAAACGATGGATCCCCTTTCGCCATCCCCCCTTGAGGCGGATGAGTTTGTGACCTTGGACGACTCTACCGCGCCCACCACACCGGACGGCAGCTTGTCCTTTAGCCCTCAACTCCAGCCCCAAGACGTCGGGGGCTATGTCGACGGCACGTCGATGATCAACCGAGGGTCTTTATCGTCTGATGTGCTAGTTGCTGCCGCTCAAGCCCCTCTTGTTCGAAACATCTGCTGCGTTGGTGCTGGCTTTGTTGGTGAGCTCTTGATTTTCCCCCACCCCCAAACCCCAGATATCAACAAATGTAACGGGTACTGACTGTACATAGGTGGACCGACCGCTGCCGTCATTGCGCTCCACAATCCTCAAATCCGAGTGACCGTCGTCGACAGGGACGAGAAGCGCATCCGCAGATGGAACTCAAGACACCCTCCCATCTACGAGCCTAGCTTGGATGATATTCTGCGCATTACTCGGGACGGCTCACGAGAGTGTGCCTTTATTAGTGGTCGGGCCGGTTGCGTGTCTGGCTGCCCCAGCCAATGCGAGGGGCAAACCCGCGTGGCTGCCAGAGAGCCAAACTTGGTTTTCACAACTGACCTGGCAAAGTGCGTCAGTGAGGCTGATATCGTCCTCATCGCCGTCAACACCCCGACCAAGACCCGCGGCAACGGAGCCGGCGCTGCTACCGACATGGCCGCGTTCGAGGCCGCGACGGCTCTCATCGCCCAGCATGCCCGCCCAAACACCATCATTGTCGAAAAATCGACAGTTCCCTGCCGGACAGCGCAACTCGTGCAGGACACGGCAAGTCAACCATCCCTCACCCCAGAGCCGCTGACCTTCTAACCCAATCCCAGCTCGCTCTCCACCGCCCAGACATTCCCTTCCCCGTGCTCAGCAACCCCGAATTCCTCGCCGCCGGTACCGCTGTCCACGACCTCCTTCACGCCGATCGCATCCTGATCGGCTCATCCCCCACCCCCGCCGGCTCCCGCGCTGCAGCTGCCCTGGCCTCCGTCTACGCGAGCTGGATTCCCGCCTCCCGCATCATCACGACCCACGTCTTCAGTTCCGAACTCGCCAAGCTCGTCTCCAACGCCATGCTCGCCCAGCGCATCAGCAGCATCAATTCCATCGCAGCCGTCTGCGACGCGACAGGCGCCGACGTCGACGAGGTCGCACGGGCTATCGGCGCTGATCCGCGCATCGGGGGGCAGTTCCTCCGCGCCGGCATCGGTTTTGGCGGGAGCTGTTTCAAGAAGGACGTGTTGAGTCTTGTGTACCTCGCCGAGACGCTTATTCTGCCCGAGGTGGCGGCGTATTGGCGGGCGGTGGTCGAGATGAATGAGTTTGCCAGGGAGCGGTTTGTTGCGAGGGTGATGAGGAAGTTGAATAATACCCTAGCGGGGAAGAAGGTGGCTGTTCTGGGGTATGCGTTCAAAAAGGACACGAATGATACGCGCGAGTCGCCGGCGCTGGGGATCATTCATGCGCTGCTCGAGGAGGGACCCAGGGAGCTTGCTGTGTTTGACCCGCTCTGCGTGCCGGCGCAGATGACGCATGAGATTGGGCGTTTTGCCGGCGAGGGTGTGCTGCAGAGGTATGGCGGGCCGGTGGCGGTCCATGAAGACGTGTATGCGGCATGCCGGGGAGCGGATGCCGTGCTCATCACTACCGAATTTGATGAGTTTCGGAACGGGCCGGTGAAGGGAGGGAAGGGCGGCGAGGCTGCGTCGCCAGCAGATCCACGGCCATTTGAGCGGGCCGAGCCGCACGAGACTGATCTCCTCGCGCTGCAGTCCTATCTCAGGCAGACGACGCCGGGCACGGAGGACCCTTTGAACCGCTTCAACCCGACGCCGCCTTGCATCGAGGAATGTCCTGATTGTCAACTGGAACGGAGCGTCGGCGTGACCGGGGAGAGCAAAGACCAACGGCGCAAGGAACGGGTGGACTGGCGAAAGATCTACCAGCATATGAGTCCGTTGCACTGGGTCTTTGACGGACGCGGAGTTCTCGATGTTTCCGCCATGGAGAAGATCGGGTTCCGGGTTGAAAGTGTCGGTCGACGGAGTTGGACCATGGACAACACATACAGTTCACGGTGTATATAAGGTAGTCGGCTGCCAGATAAGGTACCATACCTTTGGATTGCATTTCCATTGATCGTCCCAGTCGGTGGTCCACACAATTTCACTCCTCAGAAGTCTATATTTCCTAGCATGGATGCTTAGACCGCGGCCGTTTTTCCAAAGGCCTGAGCACAGAATATTCGCTGCACCACGCCGTCGACCTCTGGTGATTATATTACCTGGGAGCCTCCGCATCACCCGTAAAGCTAGAGTTCTCCCGCAAGTTGTCATCTTGGGTGGGTTTCATTGGCCGAAGCACTCTTGCTGTCTTCTGATTGATGGCCCGGGTTCTGTCTCTTCATTGGCCTGCGACTCCGGCAAGTAAATCGAGGGTGTTATGAGATCCCCGAACAGGTTTCCCGCAGGCGCCGAGTGCGTCTCGTTGGTCTCGAAGGCCGGGCTCTCCTCGCCGTAGGCAGCAGACCGTACCACGCAAAAGCGGGGATTTCGAGAGCCCGTGCCTCATCTTTAGGTGAAGTGATCTCGGCTTCCACGACGATGTTGGCAAGCTCTTCAAAGACAGGGTGCTCCCATATCCGCGGGAAATCCTGGTCAGACACACCCTCAAGCGGATCCCCCCGTTTACCTGCCGCTCCTCTAATCTGCTCGATGTTCTCAACGACAGCCAATATGAAGAGGGAGAAAAACTCCTTCACGCATCGGTCAATGGAGGTTTGCCAGTCAAAGTCGACTATGGCAACTGAGGTAGCATTGCCACCACTGAGATTGGTGTTGTGGTTGGCTTCAAATGCTGTTGCATGCCGCGGAGGGGATTTCTTGTGGAATAATCGATGTTAATATTCACGCTCTCGTACTGTTCCTCGCGGGTTCTCGTAGTGTTCAAAAGGCTGGAGAGGCCAGATCTGGAGACTGGGGGTACGGATAGGTACATGTATGGTGATGTAATCACCTAACTTGCAATAGGAGAAAGGTACAAACCAAAGCAAACCCTTGAGTAAGAGCGAGCGAGGTTGTAAGTGTCGGTCATGTTCAATAACTTCACTTTAGCTTCAGTAACCTTCAAACCTAATCTTCTTGCCAATGTCGAGAAGGGCGAAGTTTCCGATGTGCTGAGACCATAGGTCACAATTTGGCAATACTGCCTTTGACTGATTCGGTGAGAGGCCGGGACTGTATACCCAGACCCGACTCTTGATCACACGTGTTCGGTGTCCTCTGCCCATTGCTCCACAGCCTCCTCTCCGGAGATCAAACGCTCCATATTCAACCTAACACTGATCCTCACATAAGGAGTCATCTCCGTCTCTTTGTTCACGAACCCGCCGCCAGGCGCCATGATGTCTGACGCAGCCCCCTTTCCATAATGGTGGCTGAACAGCGGGGGTTGAACCGTCACACACACCGGCGTCTTTATCCTTCCGCTTCCCCATGTGTCCTCGTTCGTGCTTGGATCCATCGGACGGGTATACAAGCCGTCGCACCAGTCGCGCAACATCAGATCCCAGCCCGTCGTCAGTGTCTGCAACCCAAACCGCCACAATAGCTTTCTTGCACCTCGCTGGCTGACGGCGTACGCCTGGGTGCAAGTAGTGCCACTCGATGCGTGAACGACGCGCGTGTAGGGAGGATATTCTTGGGCCAAGTTGTCCTGTAGAGCAAAAGGATGTGCTCTGAGGTGCGACGGCGACGGGACGGTCATGTCGTTCGGAATAATCACTCGCAGTGGGGAAGGTTTGTACGGCTCCGTTGTGGCAGGGAACTCTGTACCGCAATGTCCGAGCCAGAGGACGTCCCAGCCGTCACCATACGGAGTATCGCGGGCCCGTGTCATGAGTGGCAACTGGGTGACCAGGAACTCAGGATGGGGTTTGTCCCGGTACTTCTCTGCTAGAGTGTGCTTATTCGATGGCTGTGTGAACACCATTGCCGCCTGGGCGAATGCTTGCATCTGGAGCTTCAACCGCACGTCCCAGTCGGCGTCATCCTCGAGGATGAGGGCGCTGGTTACGTTCTCTCGGACGATGCTGGGGCCTCCGGGTTAGCGACTGCCGTCACAACCGACGAGCAGCGTTGATCTCCTTCTGTGTACCCACCGTTGCAACACGTTCATATGAGCCCTCCAAGACCCTTTGTTTCCCAAGCCAAAAGCGCCTTGTCGCGTGGTCGGGTCACCCGGCAGGGCATTGTCTGGGACATCCTTTCCCGCAACGCCGTCGACCCATGTGATCTTAAGCTCGCTCAGGGCAGCAGACAGGGTCATGGCATCTCGGCGTTCGGTACGTGTGGAAAGGTTGATGACGAATATGTGCTGGAACTATGTACCAATCAGGGGATTAGCATACTGCCGTCGCTGGGCGAAGATGGCGGTGTCTGCAGACCCCCAAGGTGACATTGAGGATCTCTAGATCTACTCTGTTATGTACGGATGGCCATTTTGGGGCCCTCGGCCACAGAAATAGGGAAGCGACGACGGCGATGACTAGGTAAATAGCCAGGTTCCTGTGGCGGAGGAACATATTGGGGCGGAGGCGGCATTGGCGCTGCGCTTGGAGCAACGCATATGATGGGGTGTCTTGATTTGAATCTTGGATGGTTCAATCGCGAAAAGAAAACGGCAGGTGAAGATTCCCGACAGTCGGGACTCGGGAAGCAGGGCGCGACTTAGAGTTATTATGTTAGGTCGAGGTTCCTCCTGTCTTGGATAAATGCGGGTAAAGATGGGGTTGCTGATCCGTTCCTTGTTCCACACGCAGGTGCAGAGGAAGAAGCCATCTAAACTCCTCTGAACAGCTTGACCTCAGTTTTGCTAGGTGCAATTCGTTCAAGCACTGTAGGAGTGTGTTGCATGAACATTCAGGACTCAACCGAGTGTTGCCATCAAGCCTGAGGTCGCAACGATCCCCATGAGTAGGCCGTGGCTGTATCAAAACTATGGGACAAGCACAAGTAACTACCTCTATCTCCGTTTTCTTGCCTACGTTGGTGTTGTTCTTACCTTATACAGTAAGAAACGCACTTGAATAACTGAATACCTATGATGCTTGGACTATAGTGTATGATATGATAACGAGAACCAAGTTGTGAACTTAAAACAGATTGCATCATATCCTGACACCTAGTTATAGACTTCTTAAATGACGGGAACTTCTGCCGCAACGTTGGAATCTTCGACCCCTATCCTTTTTCAGTGAGAAAAGCTTAGCGCCTCCTCGCGGTTGTACCTCATCTCCATCGTGAGTTCATGATACCGCGACTGCAATCCGAGTTCCTGTCTCTGGTGCCCAACGTGGCACTACTGGTATCTGTCCGATGCTGTGTAACCGCACGCAACGAGATGGAACCGTTTCTTTTCCGCCCTGGGTGCTCTGATTACATCATCCTGGTGCGGCACATGCAGGAGATGCAGGATCGGGGATTAGCGTACCATGCAGGTACCGTGGCGGCGCAGCTCCCAGGTATGTAGAGTACCTTATGTGTTACAAAGGGGTAGGGATCCAATCTGAGGTGCACAAGCTGCTGCAGGTGACGCCTGGTCAATGACGGGGCCTGACATCGAAGCCTTGGATCTGTACAGTCAGTTCGTTCGAATGCCACCGAGAGCTTGGTGCCAAATGAGTTGGTAGAAGGTTGCGCAAACGCGAGTGCACCTCCAGGGATCTGTCAGCCATCTTTGAGAACGACAACTCGGAGGAATCATGGCTCAGTGCCAGAGAAACCGCCATGCAGCCGGATCCAACATGTTCCGAAATCCCGAAGGAAGGCAAGGGTGGTCGGGTTTCGGTTGGAGAAATGGATGATCTGCCGGATAGGTGCTTGAAGCGTTTTGCAGTTCCCAGCAGCACCAATGCCACGAACGCTCCCAATTTACATACCTTACCATACTCCGTCGTCCGGATCTCGGAACGGAAAGTTGGCTTGTTTTGGAGGGGGGGGGGGGAGGGGGTGCACTGACTTTACTTGTCCATTGCAGACATTCGGCTCGGCAAACCAACGGGTTGCCAATGGCTGGCATCTGACTCTACTTGATGAGAGTTGTGCCTCGAGATAACCTGGAACGCTAACACAAGTGCTTGTCGGCTGTCTGGTTTCGGAATGGCCCATTCTCATGTGGAAGGTGTGTCGAGGTGTCATAGACTTCTCAGTGACGGCTTGAAACTCGAAACGAATCGTGTTTGGAACCAAGCACCTGGCGAAGCCCATGTCACCGCGTGCATTGTGCAGGACAACTGCCAATAATGATATCACCGAGAACGCCTGTTTCGGCAGACAGTTTGGAGGCGCGGGTTGTTGCACATCCGCATCTGGTCGATTCCGTCAACAGAATGCTGCCCTGAACCCGAATCTTCTCAGCCCGCCCCCCCGAGAACTTTTGTGGGTTTGTAATGTTCGTACGAACCCGTACTTTTATAACTCGAAACCCTGACACTGCATTGTGCCCCGCTCCCGAGATCCTCGAAGAGTACAGCTGCCACCCCGATGTATTTGTTAATCGCTAGTGGGGATTGTCACCTCTGTTAGGAAGCGCTAGGGTTAACGTTCACCTTGCAGAATCTCCTGTGAATATATCGAGGACCCGCACGCATCTTTGCAGCAGGCATGGTCGATTTGGGATACGGCGGTTCCCGCTGGCTACCATGGTACGGAGTACCCCCAGGTAGCCACTACGCAACGCCCTACCCATCCATCTTGTGTGTCTCTGGCGTATGACGAAGAGAAAAGAACAACCTGGGAAAGGGCTTTTGAAGTACCAGACATTATTGAACCGGAACGGACACCCGTTTTCGGGAATTATTGTTTACACCCAAGATCCGATGGTACTCAATATCCGGGCAGCAATATGTATGGTACATGGACTAACATTGAAGCGATGAAAGTTACGGAGGTACAGATTACGCGTCGACCCACCAATGTTGTGGGGCTCATCGATTTCGAACACAATTCATGAAGAACCTTGACGCTTCCTTTGCTTCATCAGAAATCGGGGGTATCCGATTAAAGATGCCTCGCGCTTGGACGTATAATAAACCTTACCAATCCTCAACATAATATAAATCTGTGGTTACCAGTTCAATGCGCATATTGTGTCCTCGAGGATGACAGTGCCAACGACGCACACATCTTGATGACACCATAGCACAGACACAGACCTTCGCAGCGTACAGCAGCTGGCTACAACTGACTCAAAAGAAACCGGCGCACTGGGCCCAAGCCTCCCTCTTCTGCTCGGCCCCTTTCCCATGCCCCTTTTGATAGACCGAGAAAAGCCCCTGTCGGTCCACAGCACGACATCAGTTGACCAATCGACCCGGCACTTTTCCTGACATTAAAAAAGTCAACGTTATGTGCCATCATCATCGAATCGAATCGTCCGCCGTGGTAACCCGAGTTGCACCCCTCCCTGTTCACCGTAGTTCCTCGGTGAGGCCGACATTTGAGGCATCAACCTATCACTTTCTTGACTGGCAGGCTGGCCATCCCGATCATTGCACTGGCGCCGGTCCTGCGACTACGAAGACGCTTGTCTAGGCGGTGGAGCAATTATTGGAGGAGACGATAAATTGAGGCCGAGCTAGCGGCTGCAGCGCAGGGCACCGGCCAACAGCAGGCCCGGAGCGATCATCACACACCACTGGTGACTGCTCGGCTGATTGCCCCGACTCCCTGCGCCCGCCGTCACACGAACCCACGCACCCACGCACCCACGCACCCACGCACCCACGCACCATTTGGCTGGCTGTCTCGGTTTTTCCCCTGGGGGGCGTTCCTGTCTCAATCCGGCTGGCTGCTTCTCTGGTGACCCTGAACAGGCCAAGGGCACCGCACCAGTTCAATTGGAGCCGCCCCCTCCGGGGGACACTCCCGCAATGTCCTCGTTCCGCCCCGCCGTTACACCTACGACCTCATCATACCCATTGTCCGACGACATCTTCTGGAGCACGCCGCCGCCGCCCCAAAACACATTTGTTGGCGCCGGGTTCTACACATCGCCGTCTCCACGATCCCGCCGCCCTGACAACAGCCGAGACGAGGGCAACCCGGCCTTGAGGAGCCACTTCCCCGACTACGACGCGATCGACAGCGGTCCCCACCGCCCTGGAGCCCAAGACAGGCCCTCGGCCCCCGCCTCCCATTACGTTGGACCACCAGCCGGACCGTACTTGACCTTCCCCTCCAACCCGCCGCGGTCCTCGTCCCTTGCCGCCAGCAACCCCCCACGTACATCGTCACTCTTGCCGCCCGCGAGAATTGCGGTAGATCCGGGCTCACCACAGGTCACCGACCCCCTCCTCCGGGAAACCTTTAATGACCCCCGACCGGCGCCCCCGGTCCCCGATTCGGTCAAAGAAGGTGAACCGAGACACAAAAGGGGGCATTCGCGGTCGGGAAGCGCTGGCGGCCTGAGCGACACTCTGCGCAACCTTAACCGCTGGTCGGCTTCGACAACATCGAGCCGAGCATCCCACCTCGCCGACTTTACTCGCCGCGTAAGTGCCGAGATCCTGGGGGTAGCGCTCAACTCGTCGCCGGGGAGGAGACTACACAGGCGCAGACCGTCGACGTCAGAGAGTTCACCGCGATCGTCGACTCAGTCCAGAACCGGGACCGAACTGGCCGCAATAACAACCATCCCACCGCTCCAAAGTTTGCCGCGCATCTCGACCGGACCCTCTCTGGCGCATGAAGTCTTGGAATCCAATGTGCTAAGCCGGTTTTCGGAAACTGAACAAGCTCGACCTCGCCCGCAACTATCTGGAGATATCGAGAGGTCTTGGGATGGTCGACCGGGACGGGAGGAACAAGGAGAAGCATCGCAGCAGGTCAATCTCGCCGAACCGCCGCACTTGCCAGGTATGATCACACACGAGCCCACCATGCCATACACGCAAAATGGCCAGGCTAGGGGCCACTCGCGCAGCCGATCCACCGGGGCGAAGGGCAGCGCAGACACCACCGTATCCACAAGAAGCCGGGATAAGGACCGCGACCGGGATAGGGAGCGCGAACGCCAGAGCAAGCCCCCATCTCAGAAGGCAATGCTATCAAAAGCCCTTCAAAAGGCAAACACGGCAGTTCAGTTGGACAATGCGCAAAATTTTGAGGGTGCTCGGAGGGCCTATGCCGAGGCCTGTGCTGTGCTCCAGCAGGTACTGTTGCGTACCTCTGGGGAAGAGGACCGGCGAAAGCTCGAGGCCATCGTAAGTCTGCGTAACTTGACATCCTGTACCCCGTGTAGCATTGCGTTCTGACATGTACCCGCCTGCCGCAGCACGAAACCTACTTGGGCCGAGTCATGGAACTTGACGAGCAGCTTGTTGATATAGAGCCCGAAGGGAAAGCGCTGCCCCAACGTCCGGAAAGCGACGCGCTGAGCGCGCAGATAGCAGTCAACGAATACTCGGGACCATTGACAGGTGTGCAAGAGCGTCGCCAGGATGAGTTTGACACGCAGCACAATCACTATGCTCAGGAGTTAGCCAAAAACGCTGCCGCGTCCCAAGCATCACCACTTCTCACAGCGCAAGCCTCTAATAGGGATGAATCTTCATCCTATCTGACCCAACAGTACTCGTTGCAGTCGGCCTTCTCGAGGGCGAGGTACAACGACGGGTCGACATTACGGCCCCCCACAATGGATAACACCTATATGCCGCCACCCTTGTCTCCCCGAAGAGCGCTATCGCCTGCCAGACGCTCTTCTTCCCCGCCTATCCATGAGAGCCCGCAGCGGCCCCCTCCCGATATCCCCGTCTCCAACGGCAAGCTGGCACCACATACGGCGCACTCGGGCCATCAGCGTGTCAATAGCCATGAGTCTGTCTCGTGGCTCGACCCAATTGACGAATCAGAGCGGTCCGACACGGCATCGGTGCACTCGCGGTCGTCCTCGAGGATCAGGAGAAAGCATATCCGAGCTGCAAGCGGGGCTACCGAAGCCGAGTTTGATGCTGCTCTGGACGATGCGATTGAAGCTGCATATGACGATGGATACGAGCCGGAGCCGGAGCCGGAATACCTTGGACACCGTTACCGCGACACCCCAGAGGACTCGGTCGCAAAAACGCTACGACGGGTTGAGATGGCTAGGGAATTGGTTAGAGAATCCGAGAGAGAGGCACTCGAGCTGGCCAACGAGAGGGAGAAGAGGCTACGACTTCAGCAGGAGTTGGAGGACGAGGAATATCGGAGGCAAGAGGGAATGGGCGAGGACTTCTTCGACGGCGCTGACTCGGAAGAGGAGGAGCGCCTCTTGGAGGAGATGACGAAGGGCGGTGCCATCGAGGACTTCGCACTCGGCGGCTTGTCAAGACGACCGGTCCCGCGGGAGTCTGACTCGAGCGGGATGACTGGACGAACCTGGCACAGTTCCATGGGCTCCAACCCACCGACCGGCACGACCCTCCTCACCCCGGTCAGCGAGGACAACGTTCTTCCCGGGCCCACGGGTCCATTACCGGCCCTACCACCTCACGCCACTGCGCAAATGCCTCCGCAACCGCAGTCTGCGGGCTCTCAGAGCTTGGGGCAGAGTGTCCGAAATCGTCGTCTTTCCGGACAGAACGCCAAAGAACTCAAAATTGAGACCACCAAGCTGGCCCCGACAGCGCCGGCAACGGCCGGGCCATCCATCCCAGGCCATACCAAAGCGGGCAATTACATTGTACAGCAACGCCAGGCCCTCTCAGCGGGCACAAACCGCACCACTGGTCCATTCTCGGCGAGGCCAGGCCCGTCGCCTGTTCCAAAGCCGCTGGAAGAGGAACCGGAAGACGAGTCGGTACCGCCAATCCCTCCTCAAGATGACTACCCGCGTGTTGGCACCCCATCTGTCATCCGCCCAAATCTTCGAAAGAACTACTCGTCGTCCAGCCTAAAGAGCCTCAAGACGCGGAACCTGTCTATCTCGCACCTGGAAGAATCATCAGATCTCTCGCCCAGCACACCGTTCAGCAACCAATTTGGAGCCCGCCTCCCCGCCGTCCCGTCCCTGCCCGCGGGCGTCGTCAAGGACCGCGCAAACAGCGCCACCGCCCAGGGGCTTCACCTCTTCGAAAGCCACTTCCACGCGCCCGAAACCCCCGGCTCGCCCAACTCAACGACGCCAGACGCCCCCGCGCCGCTCGAGCCCTGCCCCAACGACGTCATGCTCCGGCCGTTCTGGCTCATGCGCGCCCTCTACCAAACCCTCTGCCACCCGCGCGGCGGCTACCTCAGCAACAAGCTGTTTGTCCCGCGCGACGTGTGGCGCGTCAAGGGCGTCAAGCTGCGCAACGTCGAGGACAAGATTGCTAACTGCGACCTGCTCACGGCCGCGCTGCAGAAGCTGGCGAGGGTGGATAACTGCGACGCCGACGCCGTGCTCGAGGAGATGCAGGCGCTGGAGGGCGTGCTGGAGCAGGTACAGGCGACGCTGGCGAGGAAGTTGGGGAGCGAGGTCGGCGTGCAGGGCGCCGGGGTCATGTTCAAGGATGCTGTTGTTGTGGGGGTTGGGGCGGATGCCGCGGATGCGGCGTCTATGCCGAGGTCTGCGAGCGTCGCTGGGAAGGGGAGTAGTTTCTCGTGGCGGAGGCTGAGGAGCAAGAATAGCTCGGCCAATTTGCCAGCGTTGGCGACGGCATATGGTGGGAAGGGAGGGAGTGGCGGTGCTGCGGGTGTCGGTGGCGGGGCCAGCTCGACGAATGTGGGTGATGGTGCCGGCAAGGATACGGTGTTGCCGAGCTTGCCCATGACGAGTCATCCGACCAGCAGGCCGACCAAGAGGGATGTGGGCAGCGTGTCATTTGCGGGTCCCAACGCGAATTATATGTCTTCGCTGGCGAAGCTGTTTGATGCCGCGCAGACAGTGGGTGAGTTCCTTCCATGATCCTGAACCTGCTCCGGAAAAGATGACCCCAGAGAGCCTGACGATTGCTTTTTTCAGATCAAATCGCCCGGCAGGTGGATGACCCCGGCCTGCGGCACGCCGACAAGACGCAGGTCGGCCTCGAGCTGTGCACGCGGCATGCGGCCGAATTCTTTGCCTTTTATATATGCCGGTTCGTGCTATCAGACTTGACGATGTTGTTGGACAAGTTCATCAAGCGCGGGACCGAATGGGTGATCACGTAACGCCGGCTCCCCTGATCGATGACATTCTATAATACGGCGGTTCCAGTTATGGCAGCGCTGGATGCAACAGTGTGGTAGATGGTGTCAATGATGGAGACTGGTTAGAGAAGTGTCTAGCATGCGATTCAAGGCGGCGTGGTGACCGGCATGAGCAACGCACCGTCACGCAGATATGGATGATCAAGCATGGGGTTCCTGTATAATGCATTGATGGAGAAGAGGATTGTGTCATGATGAGAAGGATGCACAATGGTTGGGAAGTTGGAAGAGAACGCCCTCCGACTTGAACGCTTGGGATTTTGTTCATTGCTGGAGCTTGGAGAGGTGTCTAGACAGACCATCATTGCTCGAAGTAGCTGTATATAGTTTCAGCACTGTCTATATCCAGCATGGTACACCATTTCGACCCCATGCCCGTTCTCAAGGCTACTAGTACCTCAATGGCTCCATCTCAAGTCTCCTGTTGTCCGATAAGATAATGAAAGTCCGTGGTTCCACGTGCTTGGCGTTGTCGTACCCCAATTTTGCGTACTTGGAAGCCGAATAGCGACAACCCGCCCATACCACGGCGACCACACGCCTCTGTCGCTAGCACACATTGCATGATTTGCGAGCGCCAATTGGATGCGTGGCGTGCCGGGTCGCGAGACGCGAATGGGACCATGGCTGCGGCGTCTGTGTCAGGCGCCGCCTCGGAGCCGGATGGGAGCACATGGAATCCTTCGGACCGGGGGTAGCATCACGCATTGCGTCGCCAGAAATACGCCCTGCCGGTCATATTCGACCCGGATGCCGGCCGTCAGACATGCTCCCGTCATTTCGATTCTTCCGCGAACAGTAACAATCTCACAATGCCGCCACGCCAGTTCCTCAGCCAAGGACGGCCCCGAGCAGCGCCGCGCCGCCGAGCTCGAAGAGCGCATCGCCGCCATCCCCATCGAGCGCTACCGCAACTTCTGCATCGTCGCCCACATCGACCACGGCAAGAGCACCCTGTCCGACCGCCTGCTTGAGCACACGGGCACCATCTCGGCGAGCGATGCCAACAAGCAGATCCTCGTGCGTTCTCTTCCAACCCGTTTCCCCCCCCTTCTTCCCCCACCAGCCTCCTCCCCCCTCCGCGCAAAAATTACCGCAAAAACTAACATACAGACCGCCAGGATAAGCTCGACGTCGAGCGCGAGCGCGGCATCACCGTCAAGGCCCAGACCTGCACAATGATCTACCGCCACCCGACCACCAAGCTCGACTACCTCCTGCACCTGGTCGACACGCCTGGCCACGTCGACTTCCGCGCCGAGGTCACGCGCTCATACGCCTCGTGCGGCGGCGCCCTGCTGCTTGTCGACGCTTCGCAGGGCGTGCAGGCGCAGACCGTCGCCAACTTCTATTTGGCGTTCGCCCAGGGCCTGACGCTGGTGCCGGTGGTGAATAAAATCGACTTGCCGACGGCCGACGTCGAGCGCGCGCTGGAGCAGCTTGAGAGTGTTTTTGAGCTGGACACGTCCATCGCGGTGCGGGTGAGCGCCAAGACGGGGCAGGGGGTTGGGGAGATTCTGCCGGCTGTTATTGAGCATGTGCCGGCGCCCAAGGGAGATACGGCGAAGCCGTTGAGGATGCTGCTGGTCGATTCGTGGTATGATACCTTCAAGGGGGTGGTGTTGTTGGTGAGGGTGTTTGACGGGACCGTGCGGGCGGGGGATAAGTTGGTTAGTTTGGGCACGGGGAACGAGTACACCGTTGGGGAGGTGGGCATTCAGTATCCGAATGCGGTGCCGCAGAAGGTCTTGAGGGCCGGGCAGGTCGGGTATGTGTATTTCAACCCTGGGATGAAACAGATTCAGGATGCCAAGATTGGGGATACCTTTACTACGGTTGGGTCTGAGGGCGTCGTGGAGCCGTACCCCGGGTTCGAGGAGCCCAAGCCGATGGTGTTTGTGGCGGCGTTTCCGACCGACCAGAGCGACTATCACAAGCTGGAGGACAGCATTGGGCAGCTGGTGCTCAACGACCGCAGCATAACGCTGAAGAAGGACTTTTCGGAGGCGCTCGGGGCCGGGTGGCGGTTGGGGTTCCTGGGGAGTCTGCACTGCTCCGTTTTTCAGGACCGGTTACGCCAGGAGCACGGGGCGGACATCATCATCACGGAGCCGGCCGTGCCGACAAAGATTGTCTGGTCCAACGGCGGCCCGGAGACCATCATCACCAACCCGGCCGAGTTCCCGGACAACGAAGACGTCCGCATGCGCAAGGCCACCATCTACGAGCCCTTTGTCCTTGCCACCATCACCCTGCCTGACGAGTACCTCGGCCGGGTCATCGAGATCTGCGAGAATGCCCGCGGCATACAAAAGAGCATCGAGTTCTTCCACGCCACCCAGGTCATCCTCAAGTACGAGGTGCCGATGTCGAGCCTGGTGGACGACCTGTTTGGCAAACTGAAGGGCGCCACCAAGGGGTATGCCACGCTCGACTACGAGGACGCTGGCTGGCGGCCGAGCAGTCTGGTCAAGATGAACCTGCTGGTTAACAAGAAGCCCGTCGACGCGATCGCGCGCGTGGTGCATTCCAGCCAGGTGGACCGGCTGGGCAGGCAGTGGGTGACCAAGTTCAAGGAGCATGTGGAGCGGCAGATGTTCGGTGCGTATCTGTTTCTTTCTATCTCCTCAGCCCTATCCGCCGGAGTGTATAATGCTGACTGCTTTGCAGAGGTCGTCATTCAAGCCGCCGCCGGCAAGCGCATCGTTGCGCGTGAGACGATTAAGCCTTTCCGAAAGGACGTGCTCGCCAAATTGCACGCCAGTGATATTTCCCGCCGCCGGAAGCTGTTGGAGAAACAGAAGGCTGGTCGGAAGCGGCTGAGGGCGGTCGGAAACGTTGTCATTGAGCAAGCGGCGTTCCAGAAGTTCTTGTCGAAGTGAGGGCTGCTGGGTAAGTGGTATTAGTGTTGTTGTACTGTTACATGTATTCTTGTGAGATGCATAGCTGGCGTTGGGGCGGTGTACGAACAATAGAGGCAACGAATGCTGGTGTTCGGAAGGTTTTCTGTCGGATACCATGATTTGATAGTTAATCGGAAGGGGTTGCCTTATTGTTGATTCATCGCGAGCGTCAGTCGTGTGCAAGTAAGAGGGGCGCCTGCCTATTCGATGAGTTTGAGCTTGAAGGATGGATTGAGTCTTAGGTATTCAAACATCAGCTTTAATCGATGCTTTCCCGAAGAAGAGAAATGGCGCAACTGCGGAAACATCCTGTTGTCAAGTCCGTACTGGGGCCAGGCTGGACTATCCGGCTGACAAAACAAGGTCCGTCTTGTGCCATTGAAGCCTCTTCAGGACTTGAAACTGGTCGTTCAGGTTCTGACCAGTGACCGAGTGACGTGGGCTATCTGGCGGAGAAGGGCCTGAATAATACGGACCCGGGAGACCGGATGGAGAGATGGTACGAAAACATTTGGCCACCTGTTTGATGGGCATCGTCTCTGGACATCGTGGGGTAAGAGCCTGAACGGGGATAGCCGGTGTTCTTGCTTTCTGTCTCTGACAGGACGTGGCCATAAGTGGCGAGACAATGTCATCAACCAGCCAAACAAACGGTTGCCTTGCTCCACGAGCCCCCTTTCTCCCCGTTCCTTGTTGTCACCCCCTGCCATGCTGTACTGCATCAGACCGGAGTGGATCAAGGAAATGTGAAGTCAACGAATATCTGACATAGCTAATGAAAACCATTGCTGTCCTGAAAGAGCCGGTTCGATTTGCATGTTACATAGCACACGGCTTGGAGGACATGCAAAGGAGGAGGGTCTGCCAGACTGCATGCCCAAGACGTTAGTGTGTTAATGTTGAATTCCATATCTCGTTGCTGGTCATTGAAGACGCCTTGCGGATTCCTCAAGTCCTCATTCTGCGTCTCGACAATATCGGGAGAGAATACTGTATCTCATCCCAATATAGATCCCATGTATGAAGAGACTGGCTCAGCTGAGCATTCCAATCTGCGAGCACTCGCCCCGTCCCACAGCTGCCGGTTGAAGTCCTTGTTTACGCCCGAATAGCATATGCAACCAACCAGGTCGACACGCCAAGGAGAAGGCTGTCGAGTACCACGCGGCTCTTACTACCGCCCCAATGGTGATGGCTCCAGAGCCTCCGTCAGGCATATAGGATGCACTCAAGAAACGTCCGACAGGTGTTTTATTCTTCCACCAATAGGTTGGTCTCGGACATTTTCTTTGGGGAAGTTATTGGGGCGCTTGCTTGTGATACATGGGATGCTATGTGATTGTGTAGGGATGAAGGTGTTAGAGGCAGATATTATAGGGATCTGGCAAAAAGGGGCTGCCCGTTTAACCGTTACCGCCGACGGCGCGGCTAAAGCTGAAATCTGGAGAGCATAACGCCTGATATGTTGACGTGACATCACGTCGCGGGGGTGCCGCCCTCATCTGCCGGAGCTTTACTGGTTTGGGCCTGTTTCTAGAATTCCGAGTCGTCGTTCAAGTGAAAAGTGAGTAGCAGAATCATCAGGGGAACAGAGCAAGCGGCAAGGCCTTGACCGGGCACCTGGTCACGTTTGAGTCTGTGAATACTCTAGAGCTAAGATACTGGACGCGAGATGGCAAGCTTGAATTGGGAGCTGACTGAAGCGGTTAGATATTTGGATAAAGACTAGAGCCGGGGAAGTGAGCTCTTGCGTGGGAAGCTGCGTGTATAAATGGACGTCCCCCGTCCTTAGGTCGGCAGTTGTGTTTTGGACAAGCCGCGGAATCCTCCAATTCCCATCTCAGCATCTCAGATATACTCTGCTTCGTACTTCAAGATGAAAGCCAGCTTCATGCTTCTTCTCGCTCCGCTCGTCGTCTCGGCAGCGCCCGCCCTCGACTCGCGCCAGGCGGCCCAGAGCGTCGACAAGTTGTTCAAGGCCAAGGGTAAGGAGTACTTTGGCACCTGCACCGACCAGGGCCGGCTCACGTCGGGCAAGAACGCGGCTATCATCGAGGCCAACTTCGGCCAGGTGACGCCCGAGAACAGCATGAAGTGGGCGAGCATCAACCCGTCCAAGGGCACCTACAACTGGGGCCAGGCCGATTATCTGGTCAACTGGGCAACGCAGCGCAACAAGACGATCCGCGGCCACACTTTTGTCTGGCACTCGCAGCTCGCCAGCTGGGTCAACTCCATCAGCGACCGCAACACCCTGACCCAGGCCATCCAGAACCACATCACGACCGTCATGACACGGTACAAGGGCAAGATCCACCACTATGTACGCCCCCCCTTTCTCTTGTAATTACCCCTCCCAACTGAAGAAGCAGCTGCTGACCCCAAGCATCAGGACGTGATCAACGAGATGTTCAACGAAGACGGCTCTCTTCGCAGCAGCGTCTTCTCGAGGGTCCTGGGCGAGGACTTTGTGGGCATCGCCTTCCGGGCAGCGCGGGCGGCGGACCCCAGCGCCAAGCTGTATATCAACGACTACAACCTCGACAGCCCCAACGCGGCCAAGGTGACGCGCGGCATGGTCGACCACGTCAAGAAATGGCTGGCCGCCGGCATCCCCATCGACGGCATCGGCACCCAGGGCCACCTGCAGTCCGGCGGCGGCAACGGGCTCGCCCAGGCCATCAAGACGCTCGCCGCCTCGGGCGTCAAGGAGGTGGCCGTGACGGAGCTGGATATCCAGAACAGCAATACAAACGACTATGTCGCTGTGACCCGTGGCTGCTTGGAGGAGCCCAAGTGTGTGGGCATCACCGTCTGGGGTGTCCGGGACCCTGTGAGTCTTTTTTCCCTTTAGTTCTGTTCAGACGTGAAGAAGATTCGCCAGGATGGAGAAGCTAACCTTGGCTGGACAGGACTCGTGGCGTCCGCAGGGCAACCCGCTGCTCTTTGACAGCAATTTCAACCCCAAGGCCAACTACAACGCAATAGTCCAGCTCCTGTCGCAGTAAAATGGTCACGAGCCGGCGCGACGAAGCATCAGAGGGGGCGGGGGGGGGGCGGGGGGGGGTGTGTGGGCTAGCTGTATGTCAACTTCGAGGACCTTGACTGACCTGGCGCGCCAGCGGCTCCATGAACGGATTCCTGTCTTTGTATCTACCAACTTATCCAAACCAAGACCGAACCGGCAGGTGCCTTTGCCGACCTTGTCCTGTATCTTATTATGTGTCGTAATTTTCGTTATGCATACGGAGGCGGATAGCGCTACCGACCTCGGCGTCCGTCGGGCGCCGACCAGCAGCGGACCCTAGTGAGAACATATGTCTGCTTTTAAAAGACCTGATCCATGAAACCAGCCTCCAGCATGATTATTAGACTGTCATATAATCCAAAACCCAAACCCAGAAACGCCGTCTATGCCCCACAGAAATCGCTTTGCTCTCAAAGCGCTTCTTCCTTCGAGATGATGCCCGCCTGGACGGCATGCGAAACCGCCGGAAACACGGCCCTCGCATAGTTGCTCTGCCGGGCCAGGACGTACTGGAGCGTGATGTTGCCGTCCCAGCCTTGGATCTGGTCGGCGTAGTCGTCAAATGCATGCAGCACGTACGTGGCCGAGAAGTCTATCTCCCAGCTCTCGACGCGGCCCTTCTTCTCGCGCTCGGCCAGCCACGCCAGCGCGTCCTGGCACGTGTTTCTCAGCTCGCTGGGAAGCATCGCCGCCGCCGCGCCCTCATGCCGGTCCAGCACCGCCGCGCTGCTCGTCCGTTTTGTCTCGATGTGCGGCTGGAACAGCCGCACCTGGTCCTCGAGCTCCCATGACGCCGGCGCGAACGCGCGCGGGTGCACGATGAGCACCTCGCCGGGCACCGCGTGCAGTCGGAAGGCCAGATCTGTCAGAATGTCGACCGAGATGGCCCACACGCCGTTGTAGAAGGCGTCCATGGCGGTGAAGAAAATCTCGGCCAGGTTCGAGTGCGGCCGCGACAACCACACGCCCGTGTTGACGAAGCCCGTGTATTTTGTCCGCATGGCCACGGCGCGGCCCACCACGTTGGCGAAGCCCGCGTTGCGCAACGGCGCGATGTCGCGGAGCGGGATGGCGTCTACGTCGAGGTAGATGCCGCCGTAGGTGCGCAGGGCGTCGGCGCGGATGAAGTCGGATTTGGCGCCGAAGGTGTCGATGTCGACGCCCTGCGTCGTCAAGCGCGGGTTGTCGATGAAGTTTGGCATCACGCCGGGGAGGTTGAGCACGCGCTTGGTCCAGAGGTCGCAGAGGTCTTTGCGCGCTCCCAGAGGTCTGGGGAGGCGTCGGTGTGGAAGTAGATGCGGTCGGGGCGGAAGAACAGGTGGGCAGAGTAGACGCTGACGAAGACCTTGAAGCTGAGCGAGAAGACTGGGGGATTGGCAAGCAGCCAGATGTAGTGCACGAGGTTAGGGATCGGAGCGTCGGCGGCGCGGAGAGAGGTCGGGTCGAGGTTCGCGAGGCTGTCGCAGGCGCTGGCGAGCGGAGCGGCAGGGAATTGCTGGAGATTCGGGGGCTGTCGCCGCCAAGGCACCACGGAGCTGAGGTCGATCAGGGTCGTGAAGACGAGGGCGACAGTCATGACGCCGAGGACTGTCCACGCGTGTCGACGCCAGCCACCCCGGCTGAGGCTGGCCGTCAATAGATGCATCGTCAGTCGTCCAGAGAGGGCAAATGAAGGTTGCAAACCTAATTTTCGAAGCGTTGCTAGATGTCGCGTGTCGGCTTGATGGAACTCGACAAAGGGCGGTCCCTTGAAGACGGTTCAACGGTGGAGTTCATTTAAGGTTAGTTCGTGCGCACTGCCGATGTCCGCTCAGCCCCAGATTTCGCATCGCCTCCTTTTCCGGCGAATATCGCACATCCATTTCTCGAACCAACTAACAAGCCATGGATGGCAGAACGTCATCTCGTTGGATGTCTTTTCGCCCCCATCTCATATTGCCTAAAGCGCGCCAACATACAATGGATGTTAGATCAGGGATCTCCAGGCAACCACTTCAACCCTGAAAGGTGCGTGTGGGGCCACTCGCGGGCCAATCATGCCGGCAGCTTCTGCGGCACCTACTGTATGTCAGCCTGAAACCTGCACCGTTCGCCGAATCAACGGTTTCCACTTCTGATCCCCCGCATCACAAGTGCAGCTTGCGCCGCCACAACATGCTTGGCTACCGTGGGCTCTCACGTCAGCTATCAAACTGCGATACAGGTAATCCGTACAAGAGCTGCGCTTTTGACAGCCAAGCCAGCCATACCATGGAGCTGATCGCACCGCATGTCGCCGCGAGGCATCCACCGCGTGGCTTGTGTCTTGCTATTTTCCCGCCATGACTTATTACAGGTTAAACGACATGGACAGCGACATGAACAAGGCCAAGCGCAGCTTGTACGATGAGGCATTGGCCTGCTTCCACAAGGAGGCCGCTGAGCAGCACTCGAGCCCCAAGGACCTGGAGTTGTTGGCCGAGTTCCTCCGGGAGAGAGCCACGCCCGGGCAAACAAAGCAGGCCGCCGAGGTATTGCAGTCGGACGCGGGCAAGAAATGGGGAGGCCGCAAAATCGGCGACGTCGAAATCCCAGAGTCTTGGATTGCCAACATCATGGCCAATATCGAGATCTTTGTGGCTGCCGGCGACTTCGTCACCAAGGATGCCCCCGAGAGCGTCGGGATGGCCTGGTACGCCGTCAAGCTCACCCTGACCGCCATCCACGGCAACTATGATCTGTACACATTCTTCGGCTCCGGACTGAGCGACATTAGCGAGATCATGATCATTGTGCGGCACTACGACCGCCTCTACGACGAGAGGTCAAAGCCGCACTGGAAACCTAGCCCTCTGGTAGAGAAACTCTTCCAGGACGTCATCAGAGCCTACGCCGATGTCCTGCATTTCTCCTTCGCCGTCAAACGTCACCTGACGGCTGGTGCGCTAACAAAAATCAAACATGGCTTCAAGGATTTCTTTGGCCTCTCTAAGGCCAAGTTCGAAGAGAAATTGAATACTGTCGCCGCTCAGAAGAAGAAGATTTTGGAGGAGAGCCAAGGCGCCTTCCAGGACAAGACCCTCACGCAGCTTCAGGGCGTGTCGACCGTCTTGGCCGGCATCGAGGGGACTGTCCAGCACATCCGCAACTTTCAGGAAACGCAGCAAAAGTTGCACGAGGACGCCATGGTCAAGTTTGATGCCTTGCTAAAGGGCCTCGACGACATTAAGGCTTCCACCAAGCGCAAGACACAGTGGGATTATGCTGTGCAGGATTTTCAGAGTTTCCAAGACGTGCTCAGCCCCCTCCAGGGTTCCTTCAAGGTTCTCGGAGACACTATTGATGCAGTATACCCCGGCACCTGCCAGTGGATTTTCGAGGAACGAGCGTACAGGCAGTGGGCGGACGCCGCGGGCAACGTCGTGCTTTGCATCACCGGACCAGAAGGTAAGCCACTGATTCCGCTCATCTGACTTCACTGACGCTTCTCAGGATCTGGAAAGTCGTATGTGGTGGCTTCCATCGCAAACCGTATCACACAGGTGGCGGACCCCTACAAAGTCCTGTTGTATGTCACATGCGGCGGCTCAACGGGTGGACTCGGCAACAGTCAGTCATACACGGCGGACAGCATTTGCCGAACAATTTTGAGCCAACTGTACGACTTAGCTGCCCAGGGCGAAGACAGCGTGGGCCTCCTCGAGGCTTGCAATGCAGTCTTCAAGAGGGCGAAAGCAAAGTCTCTCTCCATCCCCAACTACATGCGAACCGACAACGACGGCTTGCCAGAATTTGCTGACGGTTTCTCTCGAATCGCCGCTCTCCTCAAGAAAAATGTGGTGCTTGTGCTGGATGGGCTAGACAAAAATACTCTGGACGACAAGAACCGGGAAGAACTTGCGCGGAAGATCCGGGGCCTCATGGCAGCAGTCTCTGACGGAGCAGGCATTCGCCTTCATATACTCATCGGATATTCTTGGTCCGTCCGCTTGTTTGACGACGTCAACCTGCCTCCCGAATCGTACATCGAGTACATCGACGTGCAGCACCACAACCGGGGAGACATCGAGCTCATTCTCTCGGATGCGCTTAAAGATGTCCCCGGGCTGTCACAGGCGGAACAGGAGACTGCCAAGGCTGCGATCCTCGAGAAGGCCCGCTCTCGTTTTCTCTACGTCCAGGACACCGCGATTCCCTTCATGCGCGAGCCATTCCAGAGACCGCTGTCCAAGCGACTCGAGGGCTTGCCAGACGGGGCAAGCGACGTATACGCCAAGGCCTTGCGTAGCATGAGCCCCAATTATCTGGAACTTCTCCGCACCGCCCTTACCTGGACTCTCCTTTGTCCTGACTTCCCTGGCTATCCGCATGCCAGGGAGATAATGGACGCCTTCCAAGGGACCTACGATTACCCTTCGGAGACGGAGGAAGGAGATATTGCGGATTTTGATGCCGGATTTCCGCTCACCAATCGCCTCGAGCTTGAGCAACTTCGTGGTGCAAGCGAGCCGTTCCTGACGCTCTTTCCGGAAGAGGATGGCAGAGTCTGGGTATGGGAGTCCGACGCCGCGGCGTTGTCTGAATACTTCATCAAGTCTGGTGCCGACGCCCATGAGGAACCGGAGCACCATGAGCTGCTCTGCGCTCGCTGCGGATCTGCCCGCTCTCTAGCCAAAAACCTGTACATTGACCCAAAGAAGGTTCATCTCCAGATGGCCTTGACCTGCCTGCGTCACTTGAACAATCCTTTGTTCCAACGAAGAGCGCGATTGGCCGCCGTGGGCAGACGGCATGAGCGAGGCTCGGGCGCCGAGAACTCCCTTGATGGCACGCGAGGGGACGAAGAAGGCGATACAGAGCCTACAGGTCCCGCAACTCCGACGGATCCTGTGGATACAGATGACCGGAACGCTAATGCGCTGGACGCCTACCTCCAAGAAGCTCAGGACGGCTACCAAACTGAGGATTCCATCGATGACGAGGACATTACCAAGCCTCAAATACACGACCAAGCCATGTTCGATACCGAAAGCGACTCCGACGATGAAGAGACGGGTGAAGGCGCCACCCGCGTGCGATACGAAATCCAATACTGGCCATGGCATATGCGGAAGGCTGAAGAGCTCTGGCCGGCAGAAGAAAGGGAGGAGAACAGCGAGTGGGCAGCCCTGATGGTCGAGCTCGACAAGCTCGTTTTCGATACTCCCAGAATATTCTCTGCGTGGCAAGCCATGCACCCCGACAAGAAGAACGAGGAGAATCTGTTCGCGGTCGCCAATGGGCCGCACAAGCCGCTGCATGTGGCTGCGTATCTCGGCCTTTCCAGCTGGGTCAAGCACCTACTTGACCGCGGGGAGGAGTTGAACGGGCTGTCAGCGGGGTACAGCCCGCTGCAAGCTGCGGCATGTTCGGGAGGGCCGCTGGACACCATGAAGTTGCTCCTGGAGAAAGGGGCCGACGTCAACGCCGAGAACAACGCCGGCCGCAACTCGTTTCATCTCTTTTTAATGCGCTTCGACATCACGCTTGAAGGAGCAAAGCTACTTCTAGAACATGGTGCTGACGCTCGTGCCAGCTGCTCTCTGGTGCATTACAGCGTGATGCAGTACTTCGCCAGCCGTGGAAAAGATCCGGAAATTTTGGAGCTGTTGCTGGCTCACGGGGCAGACATCAATGCAGTTCACCCCAATAGCGTTTCAAACCTCCCAGCTCTGCATCTTTTGCTCCTCAGGCGAGAGGTACCACTGCCGTTATTGGAGGCTTTTATCAAGCACAATGCCGACACAAACGCAGAGAACGCCGTTTCCGCAAGAGCTTTGCAGATCGTCGTTTCTATGGACGGCCGGCTCGAGAGCCTCAGAATTATTCTGCAGTCTGAGGTGCTCGAGATTGACGACCCCGACCTTCACGGCACAACGGCTGTCCACGAAGCAGCTTTTTTTGGTCATGCCAAATGCGTAGCAGCCTTGCTAGAAAAGGGAGCTGACCCGGACCTCGCCGACAAGTTGAATAGAACGGCGCTGCATACTGCTGCAAGGAAGGGCCTCGTCGAGGTTGTCAGAGTACTCCTTCAGCACGCCAAGCAGATCAACCACCTTGACCATGCCGACTGGACTCCGCTGTTCTGCGCCTGTCTCAGTAAGGAAGAAGATGCGGCGTTACTCATCCTCGATGCCTTGATCAAGCGCGAGCTTCCGCTGTCAGAAATCAACAAGCTCACGCGGTCCGGCCGCACCGTCCTCCGCCAGGCCGCTGACCACGGCTTCGACAAGGTTCTCACCCAACTCATCCAGCTCGCCGCCGAGCGCAACGATGCGGCCAGCCTCGCCATCAACGCCCGAGACACCAAGAAAGGCATGACCGCGCTCCACCGCGCAGCCATGAACGGCCACACCGCCTGCGTGCAGGCCCTCCTCGCCTCAGGCGCCGACCCTTCCCTCCTCGACAACCAATCCCGCCGTCCCCTGGCGCTCGCCTACGAACAGTGGTCCATCGCCACCAAAACCTCTTCCTACGAAGACATCGTCTCCATCCTCATCACCGCAAATCCGTCCGCAGCCGCCTCCGACCCGGACCTGGTTGCAGTGTGCGCCGCCAACGGCAGCGTGCGACTCCTCACCCAGCTCTGGTGCCTCAACGCTCCGCTCAACCGCCCGGACCGTTTCGGCTGGACGCCGCTCGACCTGGCGCGGCATTTTTCCCGCAAGGAGGCCGAGGCCTTCCTCAAGCAGCAGGCTGCCTGGGCGAATCTCCTCCCGAGTAGGTGGGAGGCCAAGTTCCCGGGTACCACACCCCTCGGGGCGGCGAGTGTGTGCGAAGGCGGGAAAAAGATCCTGCACACTTCGGGCAAGAGGGTGTGTGTCTCAGCTGATCGGCCGCTACCCGCCGGGTTGGAGGAGTATTATTTTGAGGTCACCCTGCTCGATGTGCATGACGACGACAGGGGGAAACAAGGCCACCGGCCGGACAGTAGCAAGGACAAGGACAAGGACACGGAGTGGAAGGAGATGGCGATCGGATTCTGCACGCTCGGCGGCGCGGCGCTCGAGTTCCCCGGCTGGTGGGCCGCGTCCGACTCCAAAACGTCGGCGAGGTCGTGGGGGTATCACTCGGACACGGGCGACCTGTACTCGTCGGTTACTGAGGAGGAGGATGCGGTGGTGGATAGGGTTTATGAAGAGGAAAGGTACAAGGTTGGGGACACAGTTGGGTGCGGGGTGGATTTGTTGAAGGGGGAGATTTGGTTTACTAAGAACGGGGTCAGGTTGGATAGGGTGTGTAAGGGAGTTGAGGGTAGGCTGTTCCCCGTTGTTGGGCTGCATGAGGAGGTGTGTTTTGTGACAAATTTTGGGAGGGAGGGTGATGGCAAGTTCAGGTATAAGCCTGAACTTGGGGGCAAGGGGGTGGAGGAGGAGCAAAAGGACGGGACGATGGTGAAGTTCGTAGTACTTGGTGGGAAGGGGGAGAATGGGGAGAAGGCTGGGGTGACGGTCACGAGTGAGGAGGTGGTCGTTGAGGTGAACTGAGGATGTTGCGATGATGCACATGTGGTGTTTCTAAATTGGACAACGCCAGGCGCTTTCTTTGACATGACGAGGGGTGCATATTTGCCCACTGTATCTAAGGTTTGCAGGAGCTAGGGAAATCGAATCCTCAAGTCACAGCCCACAAGAATGGGGATGTGTGATGGGGACTTGAGGACCACGGGTCTATGCCAAAGAACGCATCAGCAGACCGTCAGCTTTTCACAACCCAATAGATACAGGAAACAACACTTGGTAAAGGATATGAATTCCGTGCTTTGAGCATCCGCCCCTATAATTTTACTTTTACGTGGGGGAGCTGGAACCGACACACGGAACTTGCGTGGCCCGTGGACGAAGAACGCACCACAGTAGGAAGGTTCCAGACCAGGTATCATGCATGAGCACGTCAGCCGGGGTGCCGACATGGAGTCGCGGCGGACTCTGGCGTATCCCACCACAATGCCCGACACCAAACTGCAGAACGTTGCCCAAATCCCATGCTTGATGCAGGCAACGGGTCCAGCGGCCCCAGGACGTGATTGGGCCGGTATATTTCACCGGAATGCACCCGCATGCTCGTCACTTCTCCAGGTCCCACAGCTCGTCACGTACATATTGGTGCACACCCATGCTAGGTAGGTCCCAACTACTGGGACGACAAAAATACTATTGGCAGTATTTGGAATTCAGGTGTGATATTGATACCTGGAGGCCCAGGAGCGCATGTGTCTCCCAGGGATCGATCCGGCACCGAACAATCCCGCGATCGACTGTCCACCTACCGCATGATTCCTATCTTGCCTATTGAAGCCAGGTAGACGCATTCTGGTGCAGCCTGCAGCCTGTTTAGACCTGGTTGGACAACCAGGATAGAGGCTGCCACACTCACGGCCCCGTTATCATGCACCGGATGCAGTTCCGTCGATGATGGAAGCTTCGAGGTCCCAGGATGGTGGGTGGGAAATAACTTGCCAAACTACGCAAGCAAGCTCGGTATCCTCGGGGTCAATCTGAAGGCCGTCGCATTTTAGACATTCAAGTCCACGATCAAACATCATCCCAAGTCAGCGTAACTCTGTTTCTGCTTTGAAGTTTGAATCGCCCAATCTCTCATACCTACCTAGCTAAGGTAATGAAGGGACCATCGCTTCTACAACAACGTGGGCGATTGCCGACTGATTACATCCGAGCCATCGTGTTGCTGACACCGACTGAAATTCAAGGTGCCGCAGATTCTACGGCTGGTTCTTCAAGGTGACTCGGACTAACGGACACAGATAGCTACTGAGAGGGACAGCACGCAAACACCAATACAACAGTCAACCACGAAAATAACAGAAGATAACGTTACTCGTTTCTCGAAGCAATTTCGATCCACCATCGGTGCCCATGGCAGACAAACCCTGCGCCCACTTCTCCAAACACAGCTGCATGACACTGGTGGTAAAGGATGGAGACCTCTGTGACACGTGCAAAAAGAGTGGGTGTTGATACAATACGTTCTCGAGGCGTTGGTGCCGGGCCCACCTAGACGCCGGGACCTGGGCCGAGGTTTGGGTCACAGTCTGGAAAGGCCGCACCGAAGAACCAGTCTCACGATCTCGGAGCGCTGGAAGGTTCGAGATCTCCAACTCCTTTTTAAGTACGGTAACACCAAGACGATGTCAAGTCAGGTCATGTCAGCTGATCAGAATTCCACAGCCTCTCCACAGGTGTGCTGCATGTCGGTATCCATGTCTTGCGCCATTTCATGGGTCTACGGATCTAACCATGGACAAGATTTATATTCGTCATTTCCTTGGCGTTCTTGTATGGTCTAGAAGAGTGAGTATCATTGTCGACTTAGCCGTACATGGAATCTTGAGGGAGAGAATCTTGCCGAACTTCTCGCACTCCTCCTGGACGCGAGGGACAAGGATTACCTTGCCCGCGGCAGTGCTCTTGTTATCTTGAATTGTTAATGCAGGTGCCGAGTCTGCGATCGACGCCGTTTCCGCCTCATGTCATCCAAGACAGCAGTCATTGGATGGTCAACAAATGGGCAACGTGGAAGTCAACGGTGGCTTCCAGATGCGACCCCCAGCTGGCCCCGGATTAGGTTGACTCGGACTTGACACATCAAATGCGCGTTCCTGGTACAATAGACATGCCCGGTACACTGCCGGTCCGAACAACCTGCCGAATACCGCCATCGCTGCAGCAGCCACAGACCGATCCGTCATATGACATGCACCCAACAGGAGCCTAATATTGCTAGACGGGACTGTCGTTGTCCGAAGCAATGGACAGCTCCGGCCTGCTGCCATCGTACGAGGATGCCACAACATCACCAGACTGGTTGGACCTTGTCGCGCCCTACATCCCAATACAGCAGTATGCGAGCCTCTGCGTTGTGTCGAAGCGCTTCTACCACCAGTTCGCGCGGCGCCTCTGGAATGACCCCATCACTGTTATCTGCCTGCTCAAACCCAGTCCTGGTTGGTATTCCTGACTTCACTCATTCCATCGTAGGTTCGCGGCTAGGGCTCAGTGGAACGAGCCGCAAGACCCTCAACAGACGGGCTTCAGTTATTAGCGCTCCAATGTTGCCGCTGCAGGGGCCCTGAGGTCAGCTTTGTGACATAACTCTGTTCTTTCTCGCTTATTTCTTTTTCTGGTTACCTCACGAATAACCTCACTTCCACAACTTGTGACTTTCCAGGGTCTAGAATGCAAAGACGGTATTCGACGGCAAGGCATTGTGAGCACTAGCGTCAGACCAGGAGATGATGTCGCAAGCTTGAAGTCGGACTCATATTATGCAGCTCGGGATCACTCAACCAGTACTTGAGTTAACAGGACTATTGGTGGGATTCGGGGTTAATTGAAGAAGTCCCAAGATACTCGGTATCAGCGGTCGATGTTTTGAGATTTGTCTATGGTTTTCAGTCGAGACTCTTAGGTTTGATCCTGCTCTGCAAACGCAGCAGGAACGTAATGAACTGTTAACATTGACAACAGGATCATGTTAAGTCGGGAAGGAACAAATGCTATCTCAAAGCAATTGGAAATTCAGCTAGCAAATTGTCCGGTCAACAGAAGGCATAACTATGTCATAGTCATTAAACAGCTACCTGTAACTATCTCGGGTCGGTTGGCGTGGGTGACGGTCATCCGCGCCAACCAGAACTGCCTTGAGATAACACATCGTTATATATGTACTCAAAAGACTGATAACGTTAACGTAACGCGAGAAACTAATCGCGATCAACCAAGACACGAAAAAAGACATGACTTCCAGAACTCCAACGACCCATTCTTCCCAAATGTCGCCACCATAACTCCTAAAGCAATCATAACTGACGCCAATAAGCAACAAACCCACGAAAGAAGACAAAGACGACCTGCAAAAGATTCCTGCCTCCGAAACCCAACGCCAACATTTGAACCGAGTTCACCACCTCCCAGCCGGCACCTTCGCCCCGAATCGCACCGGAAAACTATTCCCCTTCTTCCTCCGTAACCTCGGCCTCACCCCCTCCCCATCACCACCACTGTCATTGCCCGCAGCCTGACGAGCATACTCAGGCAACTTGAACGGCCTCAAGGCAGCAGTCCGCCTGGGGCTCGCGACCGACCCAGCAGCCGAGCCGGTACTTGACCCGGGCGTCGAAGGCGGGCTCAAGTTCGCACTCGACATGGACCTGTTCCTGTCCGCCCACGACATCGACCGGCCAGACGCTGCTGGGTCTCCTCCACTGGCAGATGACGAAGCCGAGGAAACCGAGCTGAGGCTGTAACCAGGCCTCGCGGCTGGGTACGGAGCGGTGGATTTGCGTGCCCGCATCCCTGAGACCGGCATGGTACTCTTCCTCCGCGGGGTCAGCACGCCCGCGACGCCCATTCTGGGGGAGGCCACGAGCGGTGAGTCGGGAACCGAGTTGCCCCTGCTGCTGCTGGCGCGGCTCGACTTTTGACTCGAGGTGCTGGACGAGTCGAGCATCCAGAAGCCGCTGTTGTTTGTGGTGGTTGTGGCTGCGCTCTGCGCCGAGTCTTGTCTTGATGGCTTTGGCCGTAACGGGACCGGATAAGGGACATCCCGAGAGTTGCGGCCGCGGCTCTTGTCGGAGTGAACGCGCGATGTGAGCATCATTTGCGCTTGCTTGGTCGGGTTCTCCAGGATGTCCTCCATGTCAAAGTGGAGGCCTTGCTCGGCGTATTCCTCGAGGAACCGAGCGGGGGCGATCTCGTCACCCCAAATCTCGAAGTAGGGAGTGTCCCATGGGATGGTGTCGGCGTCAGGCAGAACTCTGCTCCACACCTGATCGACGATGGAGGACTTGATAGGAATGACTGGCCCTCCGTCCCGAGCCAGGAGCTCCCACAGATGCGGGCTGTTGCCGACCGAGATGGCCGCCAAGATGCTGAGGGTGGCACAGAGCTTGTCGAGTAGCATCTCAGCGACCGCCGGCTGAACAACCGAGCTGCAGGAGCCAATCTCGACTTTGAACGAACCTGTGTGCGGTGTGGTCTGTACCCAGAGATCGGCAGAATCGTAGGCGGGTCCAAGAACACCCATCTCGCACTTCAGGTTCTCCCCAAGAGTGAACTCCTGGCCTTGAGCACCATCACGACCGAGCTGTTGGTGTTGAACAACGGTACTAAACCGGGCCCAATGCGGCCAGTCGGTGCAATTCTTGATCAGGCGACGGAAGCCGAGGTTTTCGTGGGGCATGGCCGCCATCTGTTGCTCCTGAACCAGGGCAAGGAGGTCGTGTAAGCTGTCCATCGCGTCGACTTTGACCCTCACCGGTATTATGTTGATGCAAGGGCCAGTAATATCCTCGATCCCGGAGACAGGCATGTTCCGGCCAAAGATTAGATTGCCAAACACAACGTCGTGTTGGCCGGACAGTTTGGCCAGCACGAGCGCCCAGGCGGCCTTCACAAGCGTGGCCTGGGACATGCCCGCGATATTGACGGGAATTGGCGGCAGGGTCCTCGTGCGAATGGTGTCGACGTGATGGCCGTGTGATGGACCTGAATGTTTGACAATCTCGGTCATGGAGGAACCTTCAAGCAGATTGCCCCAGAAGTTGATCGCGTCTCCCTCCCTGAAAGTAGCCCCCTGGATGAAGTTGCCGAACGAAGGGCGGTGCTTGGGTTCCTGCCCGTTGTAGCAATTTGCTAGATCCTGGGTGAGAAGCGGTAGACTCATGCCGTCGTACTGAGCATGGGACATGCGCATGATCAGGACGAAGTGACCATCGGCATGCAGGACCAACTTGAAGCGCACGATCGACTGAGAGAGACAGGCCGACCGTTGAGCATCCTGCTCAACGAGCCACTGAATGAAGTTGTCGTCCGCGGAATGCTCGCTGCCGTGGCGCAGGAACTCGATCTGATAGGACCGCAGTACGACCTGCATGAGCTGGCCGCGGATAGTGGTAAAGAGAGTGCGCAGAATCGGGTTTGAGGCAACCATCTTCCTGCAGGCCTGCTCCAGTCGGAAGGTGTCGAGATCACCGTGCAGTCGGAACAGGAAATAGTTGGTGTTTCCTCTGCTCCTCATCAGCCCGTGGCTGACGGCCCAGGCCTGGTAGTCAGTGGCAGGGTAGACGTCCTCGACATCGCCAGGGAAGACGGAAAGCTGCCTGCACACCGTCGCAACGACATCATCCCTCTCCAACTCAAGGAAGTCAACCACCCCAAATGCGTCGTAATCGTCGTCGAAACCCGATCCGCCCACAACGGCCTCCTGCGGAGGAGTCGTGTTAACCTGCGCGACGAACTCGCACAATTCGTCCAGGGTCGGATGCTGGAAGATGTCGGCAACGGTAATCTTGATCCGCTTGCGTTCGGCAGCAGTCACCAGCCGCATGGAGCTGATCGAGTCGCCACCAAGCTGAAAGAAGTTGTCGGTTGGGTTGACCTCCTCTGGCGCCATCCTCAGAATATCTGCCCAGAGCTTTTTCATCTCCTGCTCCAAGTCCCCTTGAGCCCTCGTTACCCCTGAGCAGGACGTGCCAGACTTGCTTAGCTCCTGCGACGAAATCTCCTCCAACATGTCCTCAATCTCTCCGTGAAGTACTCCCAACACGTCAGATCTCAAGCTCTCTTTCGCACCAGCCAGTACAATGCTCGTCTGATCCGCCACCACCTCAACCTCGTTCACGGTCTTTTTCTCTCCTCCACAGAGCTGACTCAGAACGTGGACGAACTGAGCCACCATATTCTCCACCTGAATGCCGTCCACCAAACGCTGGTCATAGCACACAGAGACCTTCATTGCGCCCTTCTCTCCGAGAATGAACTGCATTGACAGCGGATAGCTCATTGCAGGTGGTGCTCCAATATCAACAGGGTTAATTCCTAGGCCGAGATCGGTAGACGCAGACGACTCCAGCGCAATCGTAACCAAGCAGCCAAAGTTGCACGCTGCGGCCGCACTGGGGCCCACGAGCCTGATGTTCTGCAGGCCAGCATGTTGGTGAGGGATCATCTCCACCATGACGGACTGCATATCTGACAGAATGTCGTCGATGCTGCCGTCTTCCTCCAAGAAGCAGCGGACTGGAAGTGTCGTGATCATCGGCCCCTGCATCTCAGCGGCCATGTCATCAGAGCCGTTGCGGCCGCTAAGAGTCTCGCCAAACACCACGTCGTGGGTCTCGGCGTGCTTAGAAAGAACCATGGCCCATGCAACCCGGATCATCGTCGAAGCGGTGAATGTCTTGGACTTGACCGCCGGCATGGTGATGTCAGAGTTGAAGCTCGAGTCGGCAGAGGGAACATAGCCTGTAGGGATGCTGGGGAAGGTTGGAGGTTGAGCACCATGGAGGTAACGAGCCCAGAAACCCTGAGTCCCCTGAATCTGACTGTCTTGGAGCTGCTTGATAAACGCCTTGAAAAGGGGCCTTTGGGGAATCTGTCCGCCGTTGTACACAGTTTCGACGTCCTCGAAGAGCATCCGGAGCGACGTAGCGTCGTAGGCGGCGTGGTGCATCTTCAATACCAGGTACCGGGCGTAGGAGTTCTGTTCAACGATGGCAAACTCAGTCAGGGGCGCTCCGAGTGAAACCGGGCGGGATGTCGTGAACTCGTCAAGGGAGCTCGCATGATGCCAAACAAGCGGCTTGTTGACGACAACCTGGTAGAGGCCTCCGCACTTGCCAGCATCAGAGTAGTCGAGCTGTACAATATGAGTTCTCAAAATTGCGTTAGACTGGTAGACCCCGTTCCACGCAGTCCTGTATCGAGACAGATCGAGAGTGCGTGGAAGTTCATAGCAGTGGTGGGCGACGTACGTCCCGGCTTGCTTGACCGAGAGCACAAAAAGACCTTCCTGTAAGGGCGTGCATGGGTAAACGTCTTGGATAGTGTCGCTGGGGATGTCGCATTGTCTTGACACTTCCTCCTCGACCTCCGAGTTCCAACGCACCATGCTGAATGCGGTGGTTGTTGCAGGGTCGGAGATCTGGTCAACCCCCACCGTGCGCTTCGCCTTCTTTGCCATGTCAGAAAGCTTCGGTGTCTGCATGATGACTGCCACGTTCAGGGAGATGCGACAGGCTCTCGCGGCAGTCACCAGCCTCATAGCAGTGTAAGAGTCACCCCCGACTTGGAAGAAGCTGTCATCAGCCATGATCTGGGGAGGGGCGGACTTCATCACGTCCTTCCAGAGCGAAGCCAGAACAACTTCCATCTCGGTTGTGGGCAAACGACCAGCTCGCTTTTCTTGTCGTGTGGTCAAGCTTGCCGCGAGGGCTCTAATTTTCTTGCGGTCGACCTTGCCTGAAGGCATCAGCGGCAGCTGCTCCAGGGGCACAATGACTGACGGCACCATGTACGCGGGGATCTTCTGGGATAGCTTTGCCTTGATTCCAGAATCATCGAAGTTGTCGCGATTGATGTTCTTCGCCGAGAAGCAGACCATGAGGCGGGGTGATTGGCCGTTGGGCTGAGCAATCTCGGCGACGACATTTTCCGTTTGAGGGACAACGTCCCGAAAAGCCTGCTCAATGTCGCCAAATTCTAGCCTTTGGCCGCGGAGCTTGGCCTGTGTGTCTTTCCGGCCCACGTATTGGAAGGAGCCGTCCGGGTTTTGGTAGACCAGGTCGCCTGTCTTGTAGAGTCTTGTGCCACGGCCGGGCCTTGCCCACTCCGGATTGCTGATAAAGGCGGCGGCGGTCCTGGCTGGTTCATCGAGGTAGTGGCGGGCGAGAATTGCACCTTCAATGAGCAGCTCGCCGATGCTTCCAATTCGCGCCAGGCGGTTGTGGTTGCGCGGGTGGACCACCCAATAGCAACAGGAGACAGCCTTCCCGATGCAATTGGGATCGGACTGTTGCGTGACGAAGGAGTTCGCGGCGCTGCCGACACAACACTCACTGGGGCCGAAGGCGTTCACCAGACGGATCTTGCTTGACCAAATCGAGACATGTGAGGCGGTCATCGGCTCGCCACAGAGGGACAGACACCGGAGCGTCGGGACATCCTCAGGCTCCAGAAGCGATGCGACTGTCGGGGTGATGCAAGCGAAAGTAGTTCTCGAGCGGTTGATGAAGGACACGAGTTGGTTGGAGCGCTCCCTTTCGGTCGGAACACAAACGGTCGCTCCAACCATGAGGGACGCGAGGATCTCCAAAAACGAAGCGTCGAAGCTGTATGAAGCAAACTGCAGCACCCTCTCCCCGGGAACTTGTCCAATGGCTTGGTGATATCCGTATGTAGCCGTGCAGAAAGACCGGTGCTCGGTGACGGAACCCTTTGGAACCCCGGTTGATCCAGAACTGAACACGACATAGGCAGCGTCTGCGCTTGATCTTGTGGTCCTCTTTGTCATAAAAGAGCTCGGGGCCGTGCTGGAAAGACCGGATGGGCGCTTGAACATATCCTCGGAAACAACGACCGTCGGAAGGCCGAGGCGGCTCAGGCAGAGATCAGCCTGGGCAAACGAGGCCAGTATTCGTTTCGCTTTGACAGTGCCGGTTATGGACCTGAGACGCTCGAGTGGGTGTGATGGGTCCATCAAGACGATTGTCCCACCAACCTTCAGAACGGCGAGCATGGCTACAACAATCCAGACGGATTTTTCGAAGCAGAGTGGCACAACCTCTTCGCGTTCGACATCAGCGAGTAGCCCTTGAGCGACTCTGCTGGAAAAAACGTCCAGCTGTTGGTAGGAGAGGACCTCGGCAGAAGACCACAGAGCCTCCCGTTCTGGGTTCTCAGCCGTGCGTTGGGCTATCATCTCCTCGATGCGGATGTCCATGGCTGCCGGGAGAGATGCGTTCCAAGCCCAGAGCTGCTGAACGTCCTTGTCGGAAGCCACGTGAAGATCGACGGGCTTGACATCCGGGTTGTGTACAACTTGGGTGAGAATCGAAGCGAAGGTGGTTGTTATGTTGTTGGCGCGTTGGTCGGAGATCTTGTCGCACCAGTAGCTCAGGTGCACCTTCAGGGATCGTCCGTCGTCGAGGGCTTGAACCACCATGTCGAACTGCGTGTTGTCAGTACCATAACCTGACCCACGAAATGAGTATCACAACTTACCTCTGTCGGATCCTGCCCGCCCATCGGCCGAAACGACACAGTCGAAGAGTCCTGACCACCGGGCATCGCCTTCTGTAGCGTCATACCCGTGTTGAAGAGAGTGCCGGCTCCCACCTCATGAGTAATTTCGACAAGAGACGAAGTTTGATGCGCAAGGCCGTCAATGAAGTTGTCGTGAAGAACCTCCGCAATTTGCGAGACTGCTTGGTCATGCGGCAGAGCCACCCTGGAGACCAGGATATTGACCAGCGGGCCAACGATGTCGCCAATCTCTTGGACCGGCAGGTCTCGCCCGGAGGTGACGATCCCGAAGCAGCATTCCTCGCGGTCAACGTCGTTGGAATACTCTCGAAGAGTCAACGCCCAGGTCACCTGGAGCAGGGTGAACACCGAAACTCCGAGCTCCCTTGCTGCACTGATGATCTTGGCATAGTTGATCTTGTCCAAAGGCACCTCGGCCTTATGCAACACCTTCTCGGAGAGCGGCTGCTCTTCAACTGGGAGGAAGCAAGGTTCGACACCCTCGAGCGACTTTTTCCAAAAGCTGATGTCTTGGACCGCGTCCCGGGAGCGGATGTAATCGACGTAATTCTTCAGCAGCGGCTTCGCTGCATTCAGGGGGCGAGCCTCGCAAGCCGTGCTCAAGTCCCGCAGGATCACTGCCATTGAACAACCATCAGCGATTGCGTGGCTGAGGAGAAAGCTGCAAAAGACTCTGCCAGTCGACTCTTGGCGCGCAAGTCGGAGTTGGTGCTGAGGCGCCCGCCGGCAGAGCATGTCGGAGGGAATTGATCGGATTTTCAGGAACTCGGACAAGTGGGCTTCGCTCAAGGAAGCCGGGACGTCATCCTCAATGACATTCGGCTCATAGTCCCTGAGAACTAGTTGATCGGAGAAACCATCGGTCGAGTTCTGCTCCACGAAAATGGTCCGTAGGACAGGGTGGCGACGTACGACAGCCCTCCAAGCCTGCCGCAGGTTGTCAAAAGTGACGGGCGCCTCAGTGGTAAGCTCCAGCTCATAGACGGATCGGAACCAGTACACCTCGGCGTCCTTGCTCTGGCTGAGGAGCATGCCCTGCTGCGATGGAGTACAGGGGTAGCTGTCTTCGACTTTGCCGTCCTCAACGCCGAGCGCCTTGAGACCGAGATTTTGCGCAACCTGCATAGCAAGGGAGCGAGGCACGCTGACCTCAGAGGCGCCGACAGAGTCGGAACCACGAGATCCCAGGACGCGAGCCATGTGTTCAAGGCTCTTCTGGTAGTTGCTGATCCAGCGCTGGATCTCATCCCTGCGGCCGATGGCGCGATTAAAGCTGAAGGTGAAGACGAGCTGGTTGTTCTCCGACTCGGCACTGATGTCGATCAGCGCGAACTTGTTGTGCTTCTCGCTGATTTCGCAGGGATCGACATCAATGTTGCGGAAGTGGACTTGCTTGAGGAGCGCATCGGAGCGGTCGAGTTGCTGGAAGGAGCCAAAATAGTTGAACGAGACCTCGATGTTGAAAGGCTTCCGGTCGAAATCGAGGGAGCTGAAGTACGGGAAACCCTTGTGGGGCGTGGTGTGCCTGACATCCTTGACCTGCTTGACGTATTCGAGGATGTCCTTGTTGCAACGGCGACTGTCAACCCAGACAGGGGCAATGGTGGTGAACCAGCCAACGGTTCTCGAAAGGTCGATGGAAGAATCCCAAGGCTCACGGCCATGGCCCTCATTGTAAATTGGCGGAATGTCACGGTCTTGGAAGGTGGCAGCGAAGGAGTGCATCACAGCACCCAAGAACAAATCGAGAGAATCCGTCCCATGCAGCTCGTTGCATGGTCCGAGAAGTGCCTGCGAAGTGCTCGGACGGAGGGCGAATCGGTGGTGCTCGAAGTCACTGGCGTAGTTCGGTTTGCCGGCCATACCCCAGTATGCGTAGTCAGGGCTGGCAACCTCGAAAGGCACTGTCGCGGTGCTGGCCAAGGATTTGCGGTGCGTGTTGAGCAACCCACACCACCGTTCGAAGGACATGCTGCGGTAAGCAGAGATGGTTCCCTCGACGATGTAATCCTCGATGTCCTTGAGAACTATGCGCCAGCTGACGAGGTCAATAACGAGGTGATGAGCGGTCAGGAACAAATACTGATCATCGCCAACGTTGAACAAGTCGCCGGCGAAGACTGGTCCGTTTTCAAGGTTGAGGGCCTGCTGAGTTTGGGAAATTTTCTCAGCAGCATCGAGCGGGAACGAAGGCGAAGCCGGCATTTCCCAGGACTGGAAGATGTACGAGCCCTTCACCACAGGCTCGATCCACTGCTTGTGCGTGCGACCAAGCTTCTGGAAACGAGCTCTTAACATGGCGTGGCGTTTGACCACAACGTCGAGGGCCTGTCTCACAATGTCCTCGGTCAAGCGCGCTTTTTCTGTTGAGACTTTGAGTAGGAAGCTCTGGTTGAAGTGGTTTTCGCCAGGCGAGAGGCGAGTGAACATGCGCTGAATGGGTGACAAGCCAAACATCGTGATGCTGTCGCTCTCTTCCTCTTTGTCTCGTACGACTCTCATACTCGTGGACGTCACATTCGAGATCTCCGCAGTCGTGGACACCGGGGCTGTGGCCAAATCAAGCTGGTCGAAGTGCTTAGCCAGTTGCTTGACCGACTTGGCCTTCAGGAGCTGCTCAATAAGAAGTGGAATTCCCTTGCCACGGCATTGAGCGACAACTTCCATGGCGCTGATGGAGTCACCGCCCATCTTGACAAACGAGCCAGCGGAAGGGTTGATGGACTGCTCAGAGATGTTCAAAACGGTGCTCCAAACCTGGCGGATGGTCTTCTCCACGGTCGACAGGTCCTGCTCTTCAGCGGTCGAAATTCCTGGCCCCTGTCCAGTGGACAGCTGGTAAGCCTCCTGGTTCATGTTGTTGATGCAGCTCGCGAGGAAGCGACGGTCGGTCTTGCCGGAAGCCAGCAGCGGCAATTGGCTGGCCACAATCCAGCATGAGGGAACCATGAAGGACGGTAACACGCCAAAAAGGGCTCGGCTAAGGTCCGCGGTGGTGGAAGAGACAAAATCGCCAGTCATGACATCCATACCTTCTGCAAAATCGGATGGCGGCGATAACCGACCAGCGACCCTCGAGTCCACGACAGTCCTGAGCGTCATGACAGCGACAAGCTTGTTCGCGCAAACGCCCTCCTTGATCAGGAGAACGGCACACTGCTGGACGTCGGGTTGCTTGCTCAACTGCTCTTCGATTTCTCCCAGCTCCAGCCGCTGACCCCGCAGCTTGACCTGGTTGTCACGCCGACCGAGGTACTCCATGGTCCCGTCCTCTTGGTACCTGACGAGATCGCCGGTCTTGTACATGCGACGCTGTTCTCCAGACCAAGCTGGCATGACAAAGACTGCATTGGTCTTGGCCTCGTCCTCAAGGTAGCCTTGAGCAAGAATGGGCCCTTCGACCAGAAGCTCCCCGATCGCTCCGACAGGGACCAACTTGTTGTGATCACGCGGGTCACACACCCACGCAACGCTGCCAACACTCTTGCCGATGGAGCTCTTGCCAGGACGGAGGGTGTCCGGGCCCGTGACGTCGTGTCCAGCGCAGATGACGGTACACTCGGTAGGGCCGTACGCGATGAAAAGATGCCTCAATGGAGCACGCCACTTGTCGATGAGCTGATAGTTTGCCGCCTCGCCACCGAGCAGGAGAGTCGTAATGGACGGTACTCTCAGGGGGTCCATCAGTGCCAGGACGGACGGTGTGAGCAGGACATGGTTGACGCGATGCTCATTGACGAAATTCATGAGCTTCTCCTTGTCCATGCGCTGTGTCTCAGACGGAACACAGACGCAGCCCCCCATGAGGAGAGTGGTGAAGATCTCGGTAATGCAGGCGTCGAAGCCGTAAGATGCGAACTGGAGAGTGCGGGCTTGGGCGGTGTAGTTAAACGCTCTGCCATGCATGGAAGCACTGCTGCACAATGCCGCATGTTGAATTAGCACGCCCTTTGGCATCCCTGAAGAACCCGATGTCCACAGACAGTATACCACATCCGACGGGTTCCGGGAGCGAGTGAGCGGGGAGAGGCTCGCCCGGTTGAGGGTTGACGCCTTCATCGTCTCGATGCTGCGGCGTCCAACAACGAGGTAAGGAATGCTGATGTTACCGCCGATGTCGAGGCCAATGTGTTCGTTCTGCTCGGAACAGACAACAAGTGGCGCCCGAACGCGCTTTGCAATGCCAACCAAGCGATCGAGCGGATGCGTGGGGTCAAGGGGTACGAAGGCTGCGCCCGCCTTCATGATACCCAGCATCGCCACGATGGTCCAGGCGCTCTTCTCAAAACAGAACGGAACCAATGTGTTGGCGGTGATCGAGTACTTGGATACCAGGTGACGAGCGACGGTGCTCGCCAGGGTGTCCAGCTCGGAATATGTAAGTGAAAGGTCCCAGCCGGAGACGGCAGGCTTGTCAGCCTTGCTCGCGAGATGAAGGCTGATGAGATGGTCACACTGAGCCGAGACAGGCACCGGGCTGGCGATGCTGTTCCAACCGAGGATTTGTTGGTAGTCCTCTAGGGCAAGGAAATTGACATCCCGGAGCGACTTGGAGATCGAGTCCAAAACACTGTCAATGGCCAGACTGAATGTGGATGCAAGCCTCTTTGCCTGATCTGTAGAAATAATGTTGCTGCTGTATGTCAAACTGATGTCGACGAAATCCGGGGCGTCGCCGATGTTCAATGCGATATCGAACTATGAGTTGTCAGCTATCAACTCAAATTGGAAGTGGGCAAAGGCAGGCATACTTCACTAGGATCCTCAACATGAACCGGCCTGAACTCAACCGCTGAAGCACTGGTGCCGGGCGGCGACAGCCTCTGGACCGACATGACAGTGTTGAACAGGCGGTCACCACCCAACCCCAGACTGCGCTGAATCTCCGCCAGAGAGCACAGCTGATGAGACAGGCAGTTGGCATAGTCAGTATGCGCCGACTTGAGGGCCATTTCAACCTTCCTGCCATTGTCTTCCAGCGGGATCATGCAGACCAGCATATTGATGAAGGGTCCGACGGCTTCAGTGATGCCCTGGATAGGAAGGTCACGGCCTGACGCCAGATAGCCGAAACAAGGGGAGTTGTTGCCGGTGTAAGCTCGCAACAGCAATGCCCAGGCAAGCTTGTAGACGCTAGCGGCAGTAGTCTCGGTATTGGCGCAGAGGCTATGAAGTTTCGTTGGGTTGGGGTAGGTGAAATCGAGGTACTCAAGCTGTCGCGTCCGAGAAGTATTACCAGCCATCTTTAGCCTAGGAAAGTGACAAGGCTCGGCACCGCTCAGGTAAGTCTTCCAAAATTGGCGAGATGAATCCAGGTCCTGCTGGCTGAGGTAGCCGATGTAGTTGCCGTAGGCGTCATGAGCGGCCGCTGTTACCGGAGCCCCGTCGTAGGCCGTGACAAAAGAATCCAGCAGGGTGTTGACAGATGAACCGTCAATCAGGGTGTGGCTGACGTCCAGCTGGACAAGCACCTTGCCCGACGCCTGCTGGGAGAGCACCATCTGGTGTGGAGGACCGTTGGAGATGTGATGTTCGGGGCGGCCGACAGGTAATGCAGTATCATCCTCGCAGATGAGGATATTCGGCTCAAACTCCTTGAGAACCACCTGATTGTAAGTCGAAGTAGTCTTGCCATCAATGGACGACGTCGACTGGACGAAGACGGTTCGCAGCAGTGGGTGCTGCTTGACCACGTCTTTCCAAGCCATGACAAGCCTGTCCACAGAGACTGCCTCGGAAGCCTTTGGGACAACCTCCCACACATATCGAACAGCATATAGGGTAGGATCCATGGATTGGCTGACAAGGAGAGCTGTTTGCATCGGTGAGCAGGGGTACATGTCCTGGACATTGGCGGCAGCCACCCCAACGCTTGGTAGGGTGGTATCGAGGAGCATCGACAGCTCATCGTAGGTGGACCGGAGGTGAGGAAGGTCGGAGAGCGTGAGCGATGTGTTGCTCTGCTGGCTTGTTACCTTGACCAAGTCCCGCAAGGTGTCTGCGCAAGCCTCAATCCACTGGTGCACGAGGTGCCGGTGCCTGATCTTGCTGTTAAACGCGAAGTTCATGGTCAGAGCCCCTTTCTCCACTCCAGCCGAGATGTCGAAAATCGAGAACCGCGGCACATCAGCCGCAGAGTCTGAGGGCGCGTGAAACGGCGCCCAGCTCATCCGGTTGAGAAGTGCACCCTGGCGCTCAAGAGACTGGAAGAGACCATGGTAGTTGAAGGTGATCTCAACCCCAGTGGTGGTGTGCTGCGTGAATGATGCGAAGAAAGACAGTCCCTTCTCCGGAATTTGACGTCGTATATCCTTCACCTCCTTGAGCGAGCGGAGCACATCGCCTTTATGATCCGAAAGCAGGATAGGGCACATCGACGTGAACCACCCGACGGTGGACGAGAGGTCAACATCAGATCTCCAAGGCTCGCGCCCGTGACCTTCGTTGAATATGGCGACCGGGGGGCGGACGGAGCGGAAGAGTTGGTTGAAGGAGTGGGCGATGGCAGTCAGGAGCAGATCCAGGGGTTCCGTGTTAAAGGCCTCATTGGACCGACTGGTGAGCAGCTCCGTTGTCGCGTTATCAAGGGAGAAGCATTCCTCAACAACTTGGGCAGCAGTGTTGTCAGAGCTGCTGATTCCCCAGAAGCCAAAGTCCTGAAGCGGGACCTCGACGCCTCCTGGAACAGCAGCATGCTCCTCCAACAGGCGGCGCCAAGTACGGAAGCTGAGAGGCTTGTGTGTGGCGGCCAGACTCCCTGTGAGCAGGATGTCTTCCAGCTCCTGAAGCACAATCCGCCAAGACACAAGGTCGATCACCAGGTGATGACAAGTGATGAAGAGAACATACCCTCCATCACTCATCTCACACAGGTCGGCTGCCACGAGAGGACCCTTCGTAATATCGAGGCAGGACTGGGAGTCGGATGCGCACTCAATGACCTTCTGCATCGTCCAAACAGACCGGAATTGGCGGCATCGCAGTGAGCCACCGGCATCGGAGGAGATGTACTGTTGCCAGCTTCCGTTGGCCTGCTGGAATCGTGCGCGGAGCATCGGGTGCCGCTCTATGATGGTCAGAAGGGCGCTCCGGAGTTTGCCAAAATCGACTGCCTGGGTGAACCGCAAGAGGTGGCTCTGGTTGAAGTGACTGGGAGCATTGGGAGCTAGAGCCATGAACCACTTCTGAATAGGCGACAGAGCGAACGGTGTCTCGGATTCAGGTTCCTCGACAAGGGTGGTGAGTGTCGCCTGCTTTACCGTCGTGGCTTTCTCGCAGAAATCAGCGATTGTCTTGGACTTCAGGAGATCCTGGACGGTGACCATTATCCCCTCGTTCCTACACCGCGTGACGACCTGCATAGCTGAGATGGAGTCACCACCAACTCTGAGAAAAGAAGTGTTCTGTCCGATGGTCTGGGGCGCGACGTTGAGGATGTCGCTCCAGATGATGCGCACCTGCTCCTCCAGGGTAGTCCTCATGGCAGGAGCATTATCAGAGCTGCTGCCGCCGGCTGAGAGCCTCGCAATCTGCTCGTAAGTCGCCTGGTCCATAGTCTTTGCCCACTCGTTCACCATCTTCTTGTTAACTTTCTGAGATGCTGGCATGAGCGGGATTGCGTTGAGGACGATCCAAATGACAGGAATCATGTAGACCGGAACCTGTTGGGATAACCGATCCTGGATATCCGCCACCAGGACCCAGTCCTCAAAATTGGCGAGGGCGATATCTGCTGAGGAGGCCAGATCGGACGTAGGCTTATCGCGGACCATGGAAAGAATGCCGACGAGGTGGTTGGCACAGGGACCTGAGCGAGGGTAAAGGACGAGCGCCTGACGCACACGCTCATCCTTGCGAAGGTGATACTCAATGTCAGAAAGTTCAACACGCTGGCCACGAATTTTGACCTGGTCATCCCTGCGTCCCAGGCAACTGATCGTTCCGTCGGAGTTGACGCGGCCGAGGTCACCCGTATAATAGACACGCGAGCTGCGGCCGTTGGCCCACTTGACAGGCATCGGCCGGAATGATGATGCCATCTTGCCTGGGTCCTTCAGATAACCGCGGCCGAGAATACTGCCTTCAATGACAATCTCGCCGACCGCGCCGATAGGGGCGAGCTCGGTGGGACGACCCAGGTCAGCAATCCACATAATGCCTCCGATGGAATGGCCAATGCTGCCATCGATCTGCGGGCCATTGACGCTGTTCTTGGCGCAGTAGATGCAGCTCTCGGCCGGGCCGTAAGTAACGATGAGCTCGAGGCCCAATTTTCCCGACCAGCGCTCAATATTGTCCTTTCCGGGCGCCTCTCCTCCGAGGACAATCGTTTTGAGTCCCGGGACGGAGGCTGGGTCCATGAGCCGAGCAAAAGATGGGACGAAGAAGCTCCAGTTGATACGCTTTTCTCTCATGAAGTTGGCAATACCGTTAAGACGCGTGAAGTCGTCAGGGATACAAACACAACCACCGAAGACAAGGGTGGTCAGGAGCTCCGACACGCTGACGTCGAAGGTGTGGCTCGAAAACTGCAAGACTCGGGACTCGGTGGCGTAGTTGAAGGCTACACCGTGCTCAGCCATGCTGCTACAAAGTGTAGCATGCTCCCAGACTACCCCTTTCGGCGTCCCTGTACTTCCGCTCGTGAAAATCACGTAGCAAGCATTGCTGGACGAAGTCCGTGGGTCCGCTGCCGGGCCATTGGGCTTGGGAAGACGGTCCATCAGCGTCTGGGAAACAGCCACGAAGTGCTCCACCTGGCTGCAAGACACCAAGAGATCGGCGTGAACAGTGGACGTCACGACAACCTTCGGCTCGATAGTTTCGATGATACTTTGCAGGCGGTCGAGTGGTTGAGACGGATCGAGAGGACAACAGGCGCCTCCCGCCTTGAGGATAGCCAGCTGGGTCACCGGTACCCACTTGGACTTCTCGAAAGCAAAGGGGATGAAGCACTCGGGACCGACACCAAGTGACCGAACGTGGCAAGCGAGCCTGTCAGACAGCTCGTCGAGTTGGTGGTAGGTGAGATCGCCGTCCCAGGCAGAGACCGCAAGCGCGTTCGGAGTAGCGGCCGCTTGCCGCGCAAACATGTCGTGTACCCGGTCTTGTATGAGAGGCGGGAGCCGCTTCGTGATGGCAGCGATCTCGGCACGATCGCTAGGACTGACGGTGTCGATCTGATCGAGGCGGAGGCTCTTATTAAGCTCGCCCTGGCAGAGTTGGCAGAGAATGTGCTCAAATGTCGAGAGCATACGGCCCATTTGTCGCTCGTCCATAATCGAGGAGTCGTAAGACGCCGTGAGGAGCATTTGTGAGCCAGTAGGTTGGCATTCCACGGTTAGCGCATTCGTCAAGAAGTCCGACGTCGACCGTTCGGAACTCCACACCAGCTGACCGGCAGCGTCGTTTGTCTCCAACTCAGGGTGGACGACCAGGAGGCTTTGAAACTCGCAGGCCGCGGCAGCCGAGGGGACGGATTTCTTGATGTTCTGCAAACCATACTGCTCAAACTCCAGCACGGCGAAGGACTGCAGCTGAACGCGATCCAGGAGTGCTTGGATTGGCTCCTTCCAGTTCAGGACGACCCTGAACGGGACAGTGGCGAGTGTTGGCCCGATCAGCGTGAGAATGCCATCAAGTGGAGCACTGCGGCCGGTGACCGACGCGCCGAAGACCACATCTGTATGGGAGCCCGTGAATGCCGAAATAAGCAGGGCCCAGGCCGCGCGGATGAGAGTTGACGAGGTGGAAGTTGACTTGGGATCCCTGGGGAAATCGACTCTCCGCTCAAGAAGGGAATCTGCGAGAGGCTGATAAGAGGAGGGTAGTGATGGAGGGAAATAAGCTGGGTCAGAGCCATCGAGTTGGCTGCGCCAAAAGTCTCTGGCCTGGTTTTTATCGACGGTGGCGATGTAGTCGACAAACGAGTGGAAGGTGATTTTTGTGGATTGATCCATCGGGTACGTCGCTGGCAGGCTTCCGCGCGTCAAGTTCTTGTATGCCACGGTAATGGCATTACCAAGCAACCCCATGGACCAGCCATCGTAGATAGAGTGATGTGCGGTAAGCACGAAACGAGGAGGGTTCTGAAGGATGGCGACGCGCGTCAGGGCAGTCCCAAAGCCGATCTTCTGCTGGCGGATATCACGGATGTAGGCGCTCAAGTCACCTGCTGTAGACGGTGTCCACTGGACTGGGGCTGGCCGAAGCACCACCTGCAGTCCAGCGGGAATGATCCGTGTTCTTAGGATGGCGTTCTCGTCTGTAACCACCTGCCAGGCGCGGTGGAAGACCGACGTCTCGACCCAGCTCGGCAATGGCATGACGTGATGGGCGATGTATGCGGTGGTGTTCTTCTCCGTTAGCATCATCATCCCTTCCTGGAGAGCAGTGGTGGGAAAGATGTCCTCGATATCGTCCTCCGAAACGTCACATTGCAGGGCGATATCTGCGAGTTGTGGGTGTTGGAGCTTGGTACGAGGGATAGAAGCGACCTCATCGACTTTCGCCGGCTTGACTATTGACCCGCAAAGGCTGGAGATGGTACCATGCTGGAAGATGGTGGCGACAGAGATTGTGAGTCCCTGTGCCCTGGCCACAACAACAAGCTTGATGGCAGTTATCGAGTCGCCTCCAAGACTTACGAAATTGTCGTCCATCCCGATCTCGGTCTCAGGAAGGCGAAGCACACTGGCCCAGAGCTTCCGCATTGCGGACTCCTCTTGGGTCAACGGCTGTGGCTTCGCAACACTCTGACCAAGCTTGTAAGAGCTCATCACCTCGTCCGTCAGCTTGTAAGCTGCGAGGCGAAGAGTCTTCCTGTCGATCTTTCCTGACACCAACTTGGGTAGTCGGTTCAGGGGAATAAACAAGGTCGGAATCATGTGCGGAGGGAGCGCCTGGGACAACTTCGAACGGATGTCGGCAACCAGCGTCTTGATGTCAATGGTAGCGAAGAGATCTAGCGAAGGGCTAGCTTGGTCCGTTAGCCTCTGGGGGAGATGAAGGAAAGCAAGGAGAAAAGCGTCACGGCCGACGCCCGAACGGTCCAGCACATCGATGGCTAGCTCGACTGGCTCCTCAATCGAGGCCTGCAGAGCTGTTTCGATGGCGGTAATCTCGATGCGCTGACCCCTCAGTTTGATCTGAGTGTCTCGTCGTCCCTGGAAGTCGATGGAGCCGTCCACGTTGAGGCGCGCGAGATCTCCAGTGCGATACATTCGCGCCGGCTTCTGCGGGCCCTCGCCAAGCGCCCACGATAGAATATCCGGAAAAGCGGCTTCCGTCAGCGTGGGGTTGTTGGAGTATCCCTGAGTGACATTCGGTCCTTCAAAGACGATTTCGCCGATGCATCCCGTAGGGGCAAGCTTCTGGGGGTTGCCAGGCTCGCAGATCCAGACTCGGGTGCCGTTAGCGTGGCCAATGTTGGTGATAGGTAGGTCACGAGACACCCTGACTGCAGTTCCCAGGTTGGTGACCTCAGCTGGGCCGTACACGTTGACAAGGGCGACACCATCCCAGATGTCCTTGCACATCTGGGTCAGCTGCTCGCCACCAACCGAGAGCCATTCCATGGTTGGGCAGTCTGCTGGAGATATGAGACTCGCGACCGTGGGGGTGAGCCAAGCGCGGTTGGCTCGGAACTTGTTGATGGCTGACGCGAGGTTGTTCATTCGGTCGTGGTCGGACGGAACACATAGGCACGCGCCGTGATAGAGGGAGATGGCGAGATCACCGATACTGACATCGAAGACGTGGGCAGCGAACTGGAAGATCCGAGAGCTCTTGTTGATGTTCATCACCTCTCCGTGCTTCTTGGCCATGATGCAGATGGCGTTGTGCTCCAAAGGGATGCCCTTGGGCTCACCAGTGCTTCCAGATGTCATAACATGGAATGCGATGTCGTTGGGTTGCACAGAGTACCGCTTCTTGATCGCCCGTTGAGATATGCTGCGGATGGCGTTCTCCTCGACAGCGAACGGTCTGAAGCCCAGGGATTTGATCCTGGAGAAGAAGCTGGGGGCACACAGTACCACTTTTGGCTTCGCCTGCGACAGTATCTTTAAGATGCCGGAGTCGGGGTGGGAGGGTTCAAGCGCGATGGCGATGGCACCAACTCTGAGAGCGCCAAGGATGGACACGGTTGTCCATACGGATTTGGGGAAGCAATACGGGACGTGATCCCCTTTCCGAACGCCGATGGCGCTGAGATGGTTTGCCAGGGCAGCTGTGCCACGGTCAAGCTCACGGTAGTTGAGAGACCCGTCCCAAGCGTGAACGGCTGGCGCAGTCGACTGGCTGCACACATGGCGTTCCAAGGCCTGGATGAGAGTAGAGCGTTCGTATTGCAGATTTTGTCGGTTGTTGCTTCTGATTTGCACTTCGCGATCTTTCCCCGAAGCGTAGTCAATGCCATTGATGGTCTCCTTGGCAAGATCCTGTGCCCGGCAGATCTGGTTGAGGACATGGCCGAACTGCGACTGCAGGTGCTGAATCTGCTGCTTGGCGAATACTGCGGAGTCGAAGGTAGTCGTGACCGTAATCCCATCGTCCTCCAAGGTAAAGTCCATGTTGAAGGCGTAGCTGTGGTACTCTCTCAAGTCAAGAGAGGCTTTCTCCAATCCTATTCGTGGCCGATGCCGGTCGTCTCCATCTGACGCCAGGAATGACGCCAGGGATGACCGTCTGGGTTGGATGACGATAAGGTGCCGGAACTGGCAAGCTTCAGCAGCATGGTTGCTCAGACTTGAGATGGTCTGGACGCCGAGATGACCGTAGGCGTCGAACTGAAGGACGTCGCTTTGAATGGTCCGCAGAAAGGCTTCGATAGTGTCGTTGACGTCCCAAGTAATACGAACAGGTGCGGTTGAGATGGTAGGACCGGCAATCGCCTGCACGTATTTCGAGTTCCAGGACCGCCCGGAGAATGTCTCGCCGAAGATGACGTCCTGGGAGTCAAGGTAGCGGCCCATAAGGAGCGCCCACGCAGCGCGGATGCGAGTCGGCAGGGTGAACTCAGACTTGGCATTGTCCGCCACGGCAAGCTTCATCTTCACCTCGGAGTCGGGTGCCGGGGTGACGGACGAGCTGAGCGTCTGTGGGAAGTGGCAAGCGGCAAGTCCCCGGTCAGATGCCAGCTTGGTAGCCCAGAACTGCCTTGGGGACTCGGTGTCGAGGCGTGACAGGTGCTGGATGTACAGCTTATACGGATGCACCTCGAGGACATCGAGACCGGCATATTCCCGCTCAACGTCCTCGAACAGACGAGTGATAGACCACCCATCGAAAAGCGAGTGGTGGATAGTAAAGATGAACGCCCGGCCAACCAGGCCAAGTCGCACGAGGCTGTCGCCGAAGCCCATTGGAAGTGACCTATCTTGCTCGCAATATGCGCCGAGGTCGGATCCAGTGTACCATGGGACACCGGAGGCATAAACAACCTGAATGGCGCCATGAGGGCTTTCAAAAATGCGAGTCCGCAGGATGTCGTGGCGCTGGATCACCGCAGACCAGGCAGCTTTGAAGCGATGGAGGTCGACATGCACAGGTAGTTCCACAGTATGCCGTGCCACGTAAGCGCCAGAACGAATACTAGAGGCGGTGATGAGGGCTTCCTGAAGCGGTGTACAGGGGTATACGTCAAGGACCTCGTCATGAGCCGGACTCCGAGCCTTGACATCCAGCACGATCTCGTCGACAAGATCTCTTGGAAGCAAGCCCAAAGCGACGGGAATGTCAATTTCATCCTCAACACAGCCTTCCACGCCAGTAGCAACTCGAGCCAAGGCTCGGATGGTGGGAGCATTGAAGAGGTCAGCGACGTTGATGCTGACACCATAATCGCGAGCAGCGGAGGCCACCTTGATCGCCGAGATCGAGTCGCCACCAGAGGTCAGAAAGTTGTCATCCGGCCCAAGGGATGGAAGTTTGAGGATCTCTCGGCAGCACGAGAGTAGGAGCTCTTCGGTGCTGTTGCCAGGAGCGAACACCTCAGAGCTTATCTGAGAGATGAGACCGGAGTAGGAGATGAGTTGCTCAATCGACGACCGGTTGGCGAAGTCAAGGAGCTGCTTGCGGTCTACCTTTCCGGAGACCAAGTAAGGGAAGCTTGTTGTCGGAATGAAGAATGACGGGACGGCTGCGGCGGGCAGTTTCTCACGGAGCGTGCCCATCATGGCACGCAGAGCAATCGATTGACTCTGGTCAAGGTGATGGATCTGGACGCCCTTTTGATCATCACTGTTGCGGCCGAAAGAGAGGAACGCCACGAGAGCCTTTTCACCCTCCGGATTCACAACATCAACATGAACGTCGACCGCCTCGGGCATGGCCTTGACGACGTGGAAGCGCACCTCGTCGAGCTCCATGCGCTGGCCACGAATCTTGACCTGGAAGTCTGCGCGGCCAACGAACGAGACGGACCCGTCCATGGCCTGGCGGCCGAGATCGCCAGTCCGATAGAAACGGCGGCGCGAGCTGGCAGGGTAGAAGTGTGTCTTGCGCACCCAAGCAGGGTTCTCAATGAAGGCCTTGGATGTCTTGACATCATCATGGAGATAGCCCTGCGCCAGAATCGGGCCCTCGACGACGATCTCGCCGACCGCACCAATGGGGACCAGCTTGTCGCTGTTGGACCGGTCTGCAATCAGCATGCGGCCGCCGATGGCACGTCCGAGACTCTCCTTCCAGGGCTCTTTCGCCTGTGTCTGGACAGAAAACTCGTTCTTAGCGCAGTTGATGCAGGTCTCGGCAGACCCATAGCCGATAATGAAGCGATCGAGGGTCGGGGTCCACTTGTCGATGTTGTCCTGTCCGATCGATTCCCCTCCGAGGATGAGCGTTCGGAGGGTTGGCACGGACTCTGGCTTGAGGAGACGGGCATACGATGCAGCAAAAAGCGCGCAGTTAACGCCCATGCTCTCCATGAACTTTGCCAGCCTGTCCGGCTGGGTACGGTCATTGTCCGAGGGAATGACAACGCACCCACCATGGACGAGTGGGGTAACGAGCTCAAACACGGAGATATCGAAGACATGAGACGCAAATTGGAGAACCCTGCTGCGGTCGTTCATATGAAATTCGCGCCCATGCTCCCAAATGTTGGTGGCAAGGGCATTATGCTGCCACTTGACGCCCTTCGGCGAACCTGTGCTGCCGGAAGTGAAGATAATCCAGCAAAGATCCTCAGGCTGGACGTATGGGAGGGCAACAGCCGGGAATGAGCTCTGGTCGACGCTGTCGACGCACAGGATGTACCTGACGGGAGTCTGGAGGGACAGGCTGTCGGCTAGGGTTTGGCGAAGAGTCATGTTGCTCAGAACAATCGGGGAATTCAGCTGGCTCAGGATATCGTTGCGACGGGCAGCGGGATGGCTGGGTTCGAGGGGGACACATGCACCGCCCGCAGCGAGGATGGCGAGAATGGCCACAGGTGTCCACTTTGACTTGGTCAGGAAGAAAGGCACGAGAAGCTTCCTGCCTTCAGCCCGTGCGTTAAGCTGATGTGCCGCGCTGGCGATGACACTGGCCAGGCGAAGAACGTGCTGAGCCAGTTCGCCGTATGTAAAGCTTCCATCCCAAGCCGCGACGGCGACTCTGCCAGCATTATCGGGTTTGGCGCATTTCGTAAGAACAAGGTCGTGGACGCAGTCATCGAGCCTTAGGGGCAACGGGGCGCTGAACTCGACGATGCGGTTGTAGTCATTGCGGCTGACGGTGTCGATGGTATTGACGAGCAGATGGTCGGCGTCGAATTGGGCCACGCAACGCAACTTCAGAGTCAATACATTGAGCACGTGCGCGAAATTGTCGATGACGCTGGCGGCCCTCGCCTCGGAGAGGACGTCCTTGCGGAAACAGAGATGCACATGGACCATCGTCCCTTGGGCGACATTGACGAACACGGTTGCCATCGACTGGAATTAAAGCGTCAGCCACATCAGTGCTTAACTCGACTCATCTGTCGAGAGACTCACAGGCAAATGCATCTTGGGAAATTTGGATCTGAAAGAATGCACATAGACAGCGGTCCCAATAGTACGATAGTTCGCCGCCTCCGCAAACGCGCCGAGGGAGTGGAACGTCAAGGTGTGGCTCATGGTCAGCTTCATGTCCTGCTCGGCGGCCCGCATGGCGCTAAGCAGGCTGTCATTGCCAGCCAGGCTCATGGTCGAGAGCCAGGCTGCTCGCTCCCTGTCGAGGCACACGCCGAAGCTCACAGGTGCATCTTCGCCGGAATACGACCGAAGAAGAATGGTCCAAGCGGCAAGAATGAGCGTATCCTCAGATAGGTGGTGCATCGACGCAGCCTCTTGTAGATTGCTCGTGTCGACAGCCATGACTGCCTTGGTGCGGGCATACCCTTCAGGCCCGACGGCCAATGGCGTGTGGTTGGAGGGTGTGGTTTCCAGCTTGTCAAAGAAGAGAGGTCCATCAGGCGCCGCTTCGACGACTTGGAGCCGTTGGACCCAGAAAGCCTTCCGGGTGATGTCGTTGGACAGTCTAGAGGAGTGCATTGCGCTAGTGGTCGTACAATCTAACCCTGCATTGTTTGTTAGCAGAAGGACGACATTTTCTGTTGAACCGAAGTATACTGTTTGCTTACGTTTGAGGAGTTGCTGTAAAAGGAGGGTGGTAACGGAGGAGTGTACGATCTTGCCGTGGATGGTAGGAAGAACTGGAAGCGGATCGAGGGTATGAGGAGAGCCTATAGTTGAATCGTTTGCTAGATTTCGAATCGGTGATGGAGAAGCTTCTTGGTGGTATCAATAGGGCGGCACCCCACGGACGTGTTCTCAGCAAGACGACGAGAATCGGGCGGTAAAGCGTCGAGGCTCGGTATGCACTCGCCTGTCTCCGGTGAAATGGGGGGGTGTTGAGAATTCAGCCGGCGTGTGTTGGCGATGGTGATGCTCAGGAGTTGAGTGTCGCCGCGTATCGTCGATGGAGCAATGCGATTAGTACAGGAGCTCCTTGGGTTTATCATGAGCCAGGTGGGCTGAGGCTCGGCTGCTGATAGTGAGGTCGTCCGCACCTTGAGGCCCGGAGAGGTGAACGGGACACTGCTAGCTGAGCAATGTGGATAACAGCCAGTGGTCCGAAAGTTGACCGGGGTCGTGGGCTGAATACAAGTGAAGCGGTTGACAACGCCCCGTGCTGTAATGTATGGTGGTGAATGTGATATCTTGAATGCAACCGTCCCGAATCCAATATTAGACTTCGCCTCCTGCTCATCCCCTGCTCTTGGGCATGTTGAGCCGTATGACATGTTGAGTTGTTAGATCCCAATCACGATATGGCCCACTGCAAGGGCATGATGGTGGTTGTCCGACATCAGACGACGGAGAGTAGTGGGGAATTCTGTGGAGGCGCGGCATCTCGGAGGGGCAATGAGCGATTGGATAGATGAGAAGTATCGACGATGTGGATGAGCTATTTTTGCCTCGGCCGGGCTTGTAGGTGTAAACCGGGGAGACCGTCCGGAGTGTCGTCTTGCGCGGATCCCTGACGGGCGAGGTTTTGCTGGGTTTCCGGCAGCTGAATGCGACTTCGCGGAGGGATGGACATGGAAATGTGCCCGAGGTGAAGAAAGTCACTGCGCCACCACATGACAGCTTACGCTCACGCCTTGCCAAGTCTGGATAGGTCGAGCCAGAAGGAGTTGGGACGGTCTCGACCATCCCGCCGACCCCCAATTGCGGTCCATTGCATTGCCCTTTGGACTGGGCTCGCCTTAAATGGACTGAGAGCTGCCGTCGCCTGTAGCCGATTCCGCCAGTTGACGTTTCGAATAGGATTCTGGAATGCTGGATGCCAGGTGTAGGACGGATCTAAAGCTCCAATGTCGTCAATGAGGCTGTTGCAACGTCGTACGTTGTGGTGAGGTACTTTAATTGAATTCCGTTGTTTGCAGATGGAACATTTCGGGTACCGAGTGTCGAGTGCAGTTGCAGTGGTTGCACAGCATCGGCATATCAGCCTCTAATTTTTATTGCACGCAAGTACTGTACCTTCTGGGACTGGGCTCTGGTGGAGTCATTTCTTGGCTTCGAAAAATGTGGGCAGAAAAGCAGGTGCTGTCAGCTTATTTGGGCTACTTTGGATTGATCGTCTGGAGACTCAATGAGCCACTCTAGCCCATTGGCATTGAGGTTGACAGCCGTCGTGCAATCTCAGGTGAAGAGGCGTACTCTTGGCTTCTGGGGCCGCTTCTGTTTTTAGATGGTGGAAATGCTTCCTGCTGCCTGTGTCCAATTAAAACATCATTGTTCCAATTAAGCTTATTCGACCCCCGCACCACAGCTGGGGCCGGGGAAGCCACGCTTGTTTCGAGATCGACCTCTGGGTCAAGCCACTCTTACCTCCGTACCACAGCCCAGATCTAAGAAAAAACACCGATCGCTGCTCCGCACTCTCCCAACGTCGTTTGCCACGCCTCAAGCGCACCACACCCTAACATATGCGCGCTCGCAGAACGATTCGAGTGACACAACGATCCGCGCCGCCACAATGTCGCAATGTCGCCCATTCGATGACACGACTCCGATTCCCTGGAATCCCCGCCACCGCCGTCCGCCTTGGCTGACAGCTCGGCAGCCATGCTTCCTCCCATGTCTGAGCGCGGCAGCAACATTCTGCCCTGTGCGGCTGACGTACTAGTACAGACTCAAAATATGTCCGCTGCGGTGTCTTCCGGCTTCACGCTGCAGCCGGGGTGGGATATGTCCGGCGGTCGATGCTGTGGAAACGACCCGCCATAGCCAGTCTTGTCGCCTCCACCACTCCATCGGGCATTATGCTGAGGACTGTCATCCTTCGGGCTCTTCACCCCGGTTCCCTGCGCTCTCCAAGCTCGACTATGGAGACTTCTAGAAATAGCATCACCTTCAACAGGCCGCAGTCACATTCTAGACTACCTGTCTGATAGGGCATCACTACCCTTCCCAACTGCCTCGGCTAAATGCCATGATTTTGATGATAGACGGACACATTAGGTACATCAAGCTGAAGAGTGTCGGTCTCCCCTCCCTGTCCGTTCCCTTCCCTCCTGGTTGGACCCTACTCCTCACGAGCTCCAACCTCCACTTCTTCCCTTCGAAGACTCGTCACCGTGAGCCCCAGAAGCAAGGGGCATGTCGTTCAGCTCGTTAACTCGAGTCACAAACTTCCGCCCTCGTTCTTACTTAGTCCACCTGGTTTGTCTTTCCTATCTCTGAGTAAGTTGTCCCGCTGCCCTGGCTGACCAGACGCCAGTTCGAGCTTGACTGGAGCGCAGATCATGGACTGCCCCCTCGATGCGACATGGGGCCCTTGGGCTGGGCCTTCCTGCCGTGGCGGCCTCGACTTTACCGTCTCGTTCGAAGAATCCATATTGTCCATCTTGCCCACAGCGCTGCTCATTCTCGCAGCAGCACTCCAAGTGGCCTTCCTCTTCGGTCGGCCGAGACAAGCAAGCAATGGAGTTCTTCTCCCCTGGAAACAGGTGAGTCACGCCCTGAATATGCTTTTTCCTGATCTCAGAATTAACAGAACGCAGGGCTTAATCGCCGCCTTGGGTCTTCTCAAACTGGCTATTCTGATGCTTTGGGCGCTGCCGGGCACCACCGCTCCCAGGACGAGACTGACCTTGGCGGCCGCAGCGCTGAACTTTGTCGCTGTTTTCCCGCTGTCTGTCCTCAGTTACTTTGAACATGTGTTCCGTGTGGCTCCCAGCTTCATCCTCGAACTTTATCTGCTGGTCACAGTTCTCTTCGATGTTGTCCGCGCCCGGACGCTCTGGTTGATGCCCACTTGGGCTCATACGCAGCTCGCTGCGGCCGAGACAGCCACATTGGCTGTCAAGGTGCTGTTAGCCATTGCCGAGGCGGCAAGGAAGGATCAGCTCATTTTCCCGCGAGCCAGAGAGAAGTACACCACTGAACAACTGGCTGGACTCTACGGCCGGTCAATGTTCTTCTGGCTGGGTCCGACGCTCTGGAACGGTTTGTCCAGCCATCTCCCACCTTACTAACTGCTTTCGAATGGTGTTTAACTTCTTCCTAGGCTTCTCTAGGTACCTCGTCCCATCGGACTTGTCTGGTCCTCGCGATGACGAGTCTGCGGAGCTGCTGCGAGAGCGCTTCCGTGGCCATTGGGCGCGAAACGCCAACAAATCCGCCGGATCCGCCTTGCTATCAACGCTATTCAAGTCTATGCCGGCCAAGTTTCTTATCCCGATCATTCCCCGCGCCATCATCGTAGCTCTCACCCTCACGCAGCCTATGCTGCTGGAGCGCATCATCACGTTCGTCCAGGGTGGCGGCTACGAGCAGCGTATAGATGTTGGACACGCGTTGATTGGCGCTTTTGCGGTGCTCTACACACTCATGGCCCTCTTCAACGCGTGGTACGCCCATGCCTGCAACAAGCTGGCGCTTGAGATGCGCAGCCAGCTGGTGGACTCGTGCTACCGGCAGTTGCTGAAGATGAGACTGGCTGCGCTCAACGCCGGGAACGCAGCTACACTCATCAACGTGGATATGCAACATATTATGGAAGGTAGCAAGATCCTACACGATATATGGGCCAGTCTCGTTACTGTTGCCGTTGCAGTTTATCTATTGTATCGCAAGATTCAACTTGCGTAAGTATCTCCTTGGAGTTTGGACCTTCTTCTCAACGCTAACTTTCTCAGATTTCTCGCACCGCTTCTTTGCACGCTGGGTAAGTACCTACTTCCGAGAGACAATACATATCATGTTGTAACTAGCTGATTCGCACCAGTCATGATGATCCTCGCTGGCATTGCAAGTGCGCCCCTCGGGCCACGGCAGGTTGCCTGGCTCGCCGCAACCGAGAAGCGGGTCAAGTCTACCATGTTCATGATATCGGGCTTCAAAGAGGTTAAGATGCTCGGTTTGTCGCCAGAATACACCCAGGAATTGCAGAAACTACGCATGACAGAGGTCGAGCTCGGAAGGTGAGCGAGAGGCTACCGCAGGGCAACTTCGACACGACTAACCGGACATAGGCGATTTCGACGGATCCTGTCCATCATCATCACCCTTTGTAAGTCCCTCCTATGGCCCATACAATGAAACCCATTTTGACCACGAGTTTAGCCGCTGCATCAACCGAGCTTTCGATCTTGGTTGCCTATGGTGGCTTCGCGATCGTCAGCAAAATCTACGGCACCCCGCTCACCTTCCAAACCCTCTTTGCCTCCCTGGCTCTCCTCCGCATATCCCTCGATCCTCTCTTTCTCCTAATCCAGGGAACACCCGCCCTCGTTTCCATGTTCAAGTGTCTGGGGCGAGTGCAGGACTTGCTGAACGAAGAACGAGTGGTCGGCTACGGCAACAGTTCCTTTGCCAGTTCAGAGGCATCCTCCCAGAGCTCATTTAGCCTCAAGCGTGAGCAAAGGGTAACCATGAATCAGTTCCATTCCTTCTTCCCTCAGGGTCCGGTTCTGCGAGATCTTTGCCCTCGGTACAGCACGATGGCTGGGCTGGTTGAGATCTCGGATGCCTCTTTCTGTTGGAAGGTCAGCGAAGCGCCTGCGCTGTACGTCATGTCATTGACCATTCAGCCGAATTCGTTTACCGCCGTTATTGGACCGTAAGTATTTCCGTTTCCACCGTTGATCCCGCGGCCCTGCATCCGACTAACCACTCATGCCCAGCGTTGGTTCTGGAAAGTCCACCCTCCTCAAGGCCATTCTTGGCGAGATTGAGAACGTCTCCGGCACCCGGCAGATTCGGCGGGGTGTCAAAGTAGCCTTCTGCGACCAAGAGCCCTGGCTGCTTGATCTAAGCGTTAAGGAAAACATCGTCGGCACCGGGCCCTTTGACCCAGATTGGTATAACCGGGTAATCGATGCATGTGCTCTGGCTCAAGACATCGCTGGCTTGGGAGAGGGAGACAAGACCGGAGTTGGAAGTGGTGGATCGGCGTTGAGTGGGGGACAGAAGGATCGTGTGGTAAGTCTGGTTGGGGCTCTCAAGTAACTAAACACAACGTTCTGACAGCTACAGGCACTTGCCCGCGCCGTCTACAGCAAGCCAGACCTCCTCCTAATGGACGACATCTTCAGCGGTCTTGACCGCAAATCAGCGACCCACATCTTCTCAGCAATTCTCTCCGAGAACGGTCTCCTCGCCAAACTGAACTGCGCGGCCGTGTTGGTCACGCACTCTAGTAGGCCGCATTACGTAGCCCTGCTCCAGCTCACTTCTAGATGCTGACGCATTCCCAAAGCCCAACTCCTTCCCCGGTTTGACACGATTCTCGTCGTCAACAACGGCATGATCAAGCACCAGGGTACCCACGACGAGCTCCTCAGCAGCGGTGCTCTTGATGACTCGGTCCTTTCCCGCGTGGCGGCGCCAAAGGCGGTTAGCAGCGCAGCGGATTCCGTCGAGGTCATGAGCGACGGCAGGGTTGTGCTCAAGAATGTCCCATTGGACAAGAGAGAGATCGACGAAAGTCGCGCGCCGTCGGAGTGGGGTGTCTACGGGTACTTCCTCAAGTCGTGTGGTGTTGCCGGAATCTCGTTGTTCTTTGTGTTGGCGGCCGTCTTGGCTGGTGGGAGGTCGTTTGAGAGTGAGTCTTCTTCGGCAGGATTGTGAGAAAGGCCGAGATGCTGACATGGCTGCAGCTGTTTGGCTCAAGATGTGGGCGGAGAGCGACCAAAAGTCCCTGGCGTACTATATCGGCATCTTCACCGGTCTAATCGTCGGAGGCGTTTCTCTTCTAGGTGGGATCTGCGTGTACGTTGAATCCCGTGAATTATCCGGGAATACTGCTGATGCACTATCTTCCAGGTTCTTTTTCGACGTCCTCCTCCCGTCATCATCCCTAAGATTGTACCTTGGGCAACTGGAAACCTTGATGAAGTGAGTCCCGGTTAGCCTGTTGAGGGTTAAGGTTAACCTTGCTAGGGCGTCCATCACCTACGTCGTTTCTGTGGGGTCCAACACGATCGCGAACAGGTACGTTTTTCTCCTTACCAGAGCCCTGCATGCCTAACGCACCAGCAGGTTCATCCAAGACATCTTGCTCATCGACGATGAGCTACCCATGGCACTGGTCAACACCACGACCTGTAAGGAACATGTCCTCGGCGTTCTCAGTTGTGGCCAGGATCAACTTACTAATATGTGTGGCTTATCATTAAGCTTTCTTCGGTGTCTGCGCTGAGACTATCATCGTCATGATATCCTCCAGATACGTGTCTATCTCCATTCCCATCCTCATCGGCATGCTCTGGGTCATCCAGAAGTTCTATCTTAGAACATCGAAACAGCTTCGTCTCATGGATATCGAAGCCAAAGCCCCGCTCTCTGCTTTCTTGTTGGAGACCATCAACGGCATCGTGTCCATCAGAGCGTTCGGCCGTACTGGGGAATTCTCCCTCCGAAACCAGGAGCTGTTGAACTATTCGCAGCGAGCGCACTACATGCTGGTATCAGTCCAGGTCTGGCTCAAGATGATTCTGGACTTTGTGGTCACGCTCCTAGCGATTCTTGTTACCACGCTGGCCGTCACGTTCAGGTCGTCGCAGTCGCTCGGCTTCCTAGGTCTGGCGTTAGTGAACTTGGTAAGTGCTGCGCAACTCGAGAAGCTTTCAGTTACTGAGATATTACAGATCTCGCTCAGCACCAGCTTCAAATACCTCATCACTTTCTGGGCCAATCTTGAGACGTCCATCGGCGCCGTGGCGCGCATCAGACGCTTCAACAAGGAAGTGGAGCATGAGGAGAAGCAACCCCTTCCCTCTCCTTATCCCAACTGGCCGAGTCGAGGAGGGATTCAGCTTCAGCATGTCTCATCTTCGTACAGGTAGGTTTCCGGCCAAGCATGATGCCTCGCGACTGACCCCGATAGCCCGCAACTGCCCCCCGCCGTCTACGACGTTAGCTTGTACATCGCCCCTGGAACGAAGGTTGCCATCTGTGGTCGCAGTGGAAGGTAGGTAACATCGTGCTCCCGGACGAGCAATAACTCACATGTGCCCAGCGGCAAATCGTCGCTCCTTGCCACCCTCCTACGTTGCCTTGACCTAAACTCGGGCAGCGTCACCATCGACGGCCAGGACATCAGCCGTATCTCCCGCGACGCCCTGCGTAAACGCATCATGACGCTCCCGCAAAAGTCCTTCTTCATCCACGGCTCAATCCGCGCCAACATGCTCATGTGGGACGACGCGGTCAGCCCGTCGTGCACGCCAGAAGAAACCGATGCGCTCATCGAGTCCTATCTGCGCAAGGTCGGCATCTGGGACGCGCTCTTTGCCCGCAAGTCCTCCGGTTCCTCTTCCTCCTCTTCGATTCGCGGGTTTTCCACCTCGTCCATCGCTGAGGTCACTGAGCTCCCGCCTGCCACCAAGGCTTCCGCCGCCAAGGAAAACAAAAAGAACAAGAAGAAGGCCAAGAAGTCGTCTAAGACTGACGACAGCGAGTCAGACCCAAAAGAAAACAAGAACAAGCAGGAAGAGGAGCCCGTCACGCTCGACAGCCCGCTCAACCCCGAAGAGCGCCTGTCCATGGGTCAGCAGCAACTGTTCTGCCTGGCCCGTGCCCTCTTTCAACGCGGCGACTCGCAGATTGTGCTCATGGACGAGTTCACCAGTAGCATGGACCACGAGACCGAGATGCTGGTGCGGGAGATTGTGGCGCGGGACTTGCAGGGCAAGACGGTCATTGAGGTGCTGCATCGACTGGAGCATATCCTGGACTTTGATTTGGTTGTTGTGCTGGAGAAAGGGAGGGTTGTTGAGGCGGGGCATCCGGAGGAGTTGCTTCAGGATGAGGATGGGGTGTTGCGGGATTTGTATCAGAGTATGAGGGGGTAGGGTACGTGGCGAGCGGTAGCTGCGAATGTCATTGTGCTGCAGAGCGGATGACGGTGAGTAGTTAGCTAGTCATCTCTTGTGTCACGGATGGCTGTTTCTAGGTAATCTATCAGCGTTAGCATGTTAAGCCGACAGACGGTGAGACAACGAGTTTGTGTATCTCAATTTGGTCTTCATTCCTTGGGCTTATCTCAAACCGCTGTCGACTTGGGATTTCCGCCCATTAATACACCAAATTCTGACAGCAAACATCGCCGTCCATGCTAATCAACGCCACTGCGTTACTCCGATGATGCAACTAAAACAAATAACTTTCTTCTACGATGCATCAGGTGTCTGTACTCAGTGTTTTAGTTCCTACAGCTCCTCCTGAGCCTTGCAATATAATGAACCTAGCCCGGATAGTGGAGCGCGATACCCGGGCCCGGGGTCTGCCGGCTCGGCCCCACTTCGGAGCTTGGCCCCGGGCCAGCCCGGGCCAGCCCGGGCGGGAGGCGCCGGGAAATCCGGTCGCACGAAGACTTGGCTTCGCTTAGCAGGCCAGGACAACATCGTCCAAATCAAGATCTACAGTGTCAGATAACGAGTCTTGTACTAGACAGCGTGACCCACCAACCGGACACCCCCTGCAACCGGAGATGCCGATCGTCATCACCCACCCAAGCACACCACCTCCAACACCACCTTTCTCACTCAGTTCCTCTTCAAATTTGTTCAAACTAAGATCATGGTAAACCTCAGAGAGCAGTGTATCCAATCTGCGCTTCAGAATATCCAGGATGGCGTTTCCCTGCGTATAGCGTCGAGGCGATGGAATATCCCGAGGGCGACGCTGTCCGACTACATGCACGGAGCAGAAACGCGTCGCAAGAGCCAGATTCTAGGCCAGCGGCTTTCTCCATTATAGGAAGAGCTTCGTCGCCGACTGGGCTATCAATGAGGAAAGCGCTGGTAGAGCTCCGAGTCGTCGTCTACTTATAGCTTTTGCTGAAGCAGTACTAGCCGAGGGCAGAGATCATCGTCCTCTTAGAGCGCGATAGGTAGACCGTTTTCTACAACGTAATCCTACAGTCAGCACAAAAACCGGTATATTGCTAGACTCGGCGTGAACTCGCGGTTCTACTCGTGCTAACTACGAGGACTTCTTTCACCTTCTACGTAAGCAATTGCACTCTAAAGATATCAAGCCAGCTAACATCGCTAATATAGACGATCATGGCATGTAGGAGTTGGAGATGCGCGCTAGAACGGTGATTAGTAGCTCCATAACTCGTTATACTATTGTTATAGTATCTGATGACACTGCCTGGGTCTCTGTTATCGAATGCGGTACTGCTGAGGGCAGGAGACTGTCCCCAGTTATCATCTTCACGGGGGCATCTCCCTAGGGCTAATAGTTCCCCTACAACTCCGCTTCGAAGAAGCACTGCCATCCTGGAGATATATGTACTCAGCTATAGGCTGGAGCAATAGCAGGGTTGCCGTATATTGGTTCAAACACGTCTATCTGCTAGAGACTAACCCGGCAAACCCGTCGGATTGTCGTCTCCTTAGTCTCGACGAGCACGGCACCCACGTTAGAGGAAATCATGGTTTTAGCAATCCCAACCAAGTACAACTACTCTATCTACCAGCTTATACAAGCAATAAGACCTAGCCACTTGATCGCAGCGTTTTCTCGGCTCTCAAGGAGTATTTTCGCTAAAACACGCGAGTATTTAGAACCGCCATAGCGACGGCCTCGATCAACAAACAGAGGTTCCTCTACTGCTACCGCGATGCCACGTGACGTGGCATAAGCGCTCGGAACGTAATTTGTCACGGGTGGACGCAACTGACCACTGCGTAACACCCTCAAAAGAGGGACCGTGGTTTGAACTGTCCAGTCGAACCAGGAGATGCGCACATGAACCTCACACTGTCACGACCCGTGACATAATTTCTGGCTTCAGAAAGACCGGAATCTGGCTATAAAATCCTGCAAAAATCCTCGATGATCTAGAATCAATAGTCGAAGAGAGGACGCCCCCCGAGCAGCTATCTACGCCTACGAAACGCCAGCTATGCACCGAGAACTCTACTATCTGGACTCCATAGCAAGGTCAGGATATCCGGAAGGCCATCCACTTGGCCAGGCAGCATGACTCGCCGACTAGCAGAAGCGTAAGACATCTCATTGCCAAGGTTGGGGATGTGTTGGATAAGAAAAACATGGAGATCGCCGCTTTAGAGGAGGCTCTGCAAGCCGCACGCAGAGATCGGGAAGCTCAGAAGCAACGCACGAATACCAGAGTCAAAGAGGATCCTAACGACCCATTTGCGCGCGTAGAGGATATAATTACGGCTCAGGAAGCAAGTGAGAGATTCCCCAAGCGGAGGAAGCGGGGCAGGCAGAGTAACCCGGAGCTAGTCGTTGAGCAGGAACAGGAAATGATCATTCATGGTCTGGATCGCCTTCGGCGGGCCGAGGAGATGTAGAAACTCTAAATTCAGTAGCGGTTTGCGTGGTTGTAGCAGATGGACCAGGTTGAAACCTAAGCGTGGTGGTCGTCGATCGTGTCCAGTTTGGGGGGGTGTCCGGTTGGGGGGTCGCGCTGTCTACTACGCATCAAGCAAACTATACCATGTTGGCATACAACACAACCAAGGGGGCAGGTAGACCAGGGCACTTCCAATCACAAATCAGCTTTCAAAGGCAAAGGAAAACTAGGTATCAACCAAGTATCCATGTAGGTTGTCTCCCCAATAGCATGAAGCAGGTGTAGCAAATGACAGTGGCGGTGAACCTCGTATAATAACAAACGGCGAAATCAGGCTGATGAAGTTTAGAACAAACATGAAGATTAACGAAACAATGAGAAGAAGGAAGAGTACGAAGAAAAGAAGGGAAGAAGGCAGAGACAGAAAGTTATGAAGCCAAGACCCAAAGAGTCAGCACCGGTGCGACCACTCACAAGGCATCACGAAAGGACTGGTCATTGCTTAGAAATTTCCAGCGGTTAACCGGGCCGGCATCGACTTCTCAACCCCCTTTCTGATCCACCTGCAGACCACAACTTGACATCGGTAAAAGAGAATGACGCACGTACATGCATGCTCATGAATCTGGCAACCAAGTTCACTTGTATTAGTGGTGGATAAAAGGTGACTCTCAAGTCATTGCCGACCAATCTTGGTACTGGACCTTGAAACAAGCTTCTCGGGCTCGGGGTAGCTATTACCGTGAGCGGAGTTGTATTCCTGAGTGGCCGATCGCCCAAATGACCTTCCATCTTAGGAACCATCTCCAACAACCCCAAGACCTCCGTTGCGATCCTCCGCATCCTACGGCCAGGGTTGGGGGACACTACCCCATCTTCCCCGGATTTCTCATGATGTGGGCCAATTTCAACCGATGGGCTCACATTGCAAATGAACCCCGCACGCGCTCTGTCATTTTCCTGTCATGGCGTATAATAAATTGGGCACCCTGACTGTTCTGTCTGCGTGGCCCTGTGCACTTGGTAATCAATATACCCCTTCCTCTTCTCTCGTGAGAGTTGAGGATAGACGACAAGAACACCTGCAACGATTGACCGCGTGCGTAACCATTGCTCTTTCCCGTAGTCGCCATGGCGACCTCAACGGTGTTGGTCAACCACCATCAAAAGGTGGCCGACCAGGATCTCGAGGAGAAGCTGGGCCAGAACGCCATTCTGCAGGCCAAGCAGGCGACCGACGATGAACACGCTCAAACCCTAATGGACGCCCTGCGGCAGAACCGCAAGGCCGTTTTTTGGTCCGTCCTCATTTCCATGTCGATCATCATGGAAGGATACGATACCATTCTTATCGGCAACTTCTTTGCGTACCCTGAGTTCGCCAAGAAGTTTGGAAACTATTACCCGGAAGAAGACGATTGGGAGGTCTCGGCTTCATGGCAGACGGGGTTGAACATGGCCAGCACGGTTGGCGCCATCTTTGGTACGTGCCTTCAATGCACAGGGATTCCTGACCGTCGGTTGTTCTTTCAGGTTACAGTGGCGTTAATATTTAGCAATTATTTTGATGTTTAGGCGGTCTGTTAAACGGCTTCTTTGCTTCGAGGTTCGGTTACCGCTGGGTCATGATTGTGGCCATGGGCTTCTTGAACGCCTTTATTTTTGTCGTGTTCTTCGCACCCAATGCCGCCACATTGGTAGGCGGCCAGATCCTGTGCGGGCTCAGCTGGGGTGTCTTTGCGACACTGAGTCCTGCGTATGGTGAGTCAAACAAACACCTGAGGACGGCTTAAACATCGAGTCTCACCAGCAGTCTCTAGCCTCCGAAGTCTGCCCAACGAACCTGCGTGGCTACTTGACGACATATGTTAATCTTTGTTGGGCGTAGGTCTTTTTGGTGTGCCTTCATCTAGCTTCTCTGACTCACTCTGATGATCGCTAGGATCGGTCAACTCATCGCCAGCGGCGTACTTCGCGGCTGCCTTCCCATCGAGGGTGAAATGGGCTACAAGATTCCCTTTGCCATTCAATGGTTGTGGCCTGTCCCCATCATGCTGATCGCGTACCTTGCTCCCGAGAGCCCTTGGTTTCTCGTTCGTACGGACCGTCTCGACGAGGCCAAGGCGGCGATTGCCCGGCTCAGTGGCGAAAAGACGGACGAGCAAATCAATTCTCAGCTTGCGATGATGGTTCATACTACCAAACTTGAGGCCGAGGTCACCAAGGGCGCCACGTACCTCGACTGTTTCCGCGGCGTCGATCTCCGCCGCACAGAGATCTGCATGCTGACGTTCATGGGCCAAATCTTATCCGGCTCCTCGTTTGCGTACACGCCGACATATTTCTTCACCACTGCCGGCATGGAGACATACAACGCTTTCAACCTCAGCCTTGGTGCCAAGGGGATGGCCTTTCTTGGAACTGTCCTGTAGGTCATGATCTTCTGCTTGCGTCTGCAGATGCGTTTGCTGATGTCAGAATATGACAGTTCTTGGTGGCTCATCACCTACTTCGGCCGGCGAACGCTCTACGTGTCGGGCATGGGCATGCTCACACTCGTGCTGTTCATCATTGGTATCCTCGACGTCTCGGCCGGCGAGCGGGGTCTCTGGCCATCAGGAGGGCTGTGCGTCTTCTGGCTCTTCACCTACTCCCTCACCATCGGGCCGCTGGCGTACAGCATCATCTCCGAGACATCGAGTGTGCGGCTGCGGCCGCTCTCAGTCGTTCTCGCGCGCACTGCCTACCAGCTCACCAACATCGTGTCGCAGGTGCTGTACAGCTACATGCAGAACCGCACCGCCTGGGACTTTAAGGGCAAGTCGGGTTTCTTCTGGGGCGGCACAGCCCTGTGCGTCTTCGTCTGGGCCTACTTCCGCCTGCCCGAAATCAAGGGCCGCACGTACGAGGAGCTGGATATCCTGTTTGCCAACAAGACGCCGGCGCGCGAGTTTTCCAAGGCACATGTCGATGCGTACGCTCTGTCAGCGCCGGTTGAAACGCATGAGCACACTGTGAAGAGCGAGTAGGTAGTAGTTCGAAGAGAGTAATTCCGGAAGAAGTCTCCGTTTTTCTCCCCCGCCTACCCCATGACCTGCAGTGTGTGTATAGTAAGTCATTCAACAACATTGGCGCACATTTCGCCCTGACTAACGTTGGTGCGACTGCCTGTGGTAGTCTACCGTAAATTTTCTCACGATACACTACGGCCCAAAACCAGTTTTGCCTGGCGCATATCATCCTCGGTGAAGTCCTTCTTTGTAAGATCCATCCACGCACAGAGATCCAAGTCGAATTCCTTCAGGTTTGGTGTGTGCTCGAGGACAGCAGCGACTGCTTCCCCAGGACCGAATTGCTCGGCCAGCTGCTCGAGCCTCAACCCCGCGTCGAGCGGCCCGCAACAACCGGCCATGAAAAGGCGGAGCAGCGTAAATTTCGGCGCAGCCCGGGATAGGGGAAAGACGTGTTCCAGCTCGTATCCGCTGGCGCCGTGGCTCCTATCACCGGGCTATTAGTAAGCTTCGCCGCCAGGCTGCCGGGTACGGGCTCGCAAGCCGGCTGTCATCGGCGTACAGCCAAAAGGCGCTGTTCGCGAAGAATGTCTACAGATCAGCGGCGTGGTACGCGGAGGAGGAGACTTCCGATGAGACGGCGGTAACCTTTGCTAGAGTCGACGAAGGCCATTTTGGTTATGTCGGGGATGTGAATCCAGAGGAAAGCTCGGATGCCGTAGTTTTGGCCATGTGTGACCTTCTAGGTTTATTGAAATCTCGGCGAGCACTGCCAGTTAACGACCTGGTACCTTACAGAAAACCCCGCAGGAGACACTGAGGTGTGTGCTTGCATTTCAGGTATTGTGGGCATGGCGAGGCTGTGACTCTAAAAACTAACACCCAAACTCCCCACGTGGTTGCATTGTTTGCTCTGATTTGAAGCGGTCGCCATATAGAGACTGTAGCTCGACATTACCTAGCTCGGCCCTTGGAAACACGCTCGGTTCGCCTACATATCCTACCCTCAGCCCAATCTTGACGTTGCACAGCACGATGCTAAAGCAGAAGCGGTTCCCTTATGCGCAATGGCTGGTCTAGATGCGTTACTGAAGTTTCCGGTCAATTGCTTGGTTGTCGAGTCAACACAGCCCCTGCATCCTAAGCGGCAGTTCGTTGAGCCTCATTCCACAGCCTCCTACCCCAGGAACGAATGAACCAGGCATACCTATCCGTGCCTACACAAGGTGCGCATGACTCTTGAGGTTCTCTGCGGCTCAGCATTACACAGTTGCCCAGCCCAGAGCCCTGGGATGAAGTTGTTACTTACTATCAAGCCATATTGTCCAGCCTGTAAGCCATCCTCCGCCCGCACGTCCACGCGGTCTCTCGCCCCTGTTCACTCATCAGTCAAGTCGCGGCATCGCCGGCGGACAACGGACGATAAGATGCGGCCCCCAATGGCGTATACGCAAGCACCGAGTATGCGTGTTTCTTCTCTACTGGGGTTACGCTTGGGCTCAAAGCGGAAATTATCTGACTGAGAGGCCGGTGCTTCTAGGCGTTGACTGCTCGCTGAGCAAGCCGTGCAATGAGGTACACTTGAATCACTGGGACCGGCCCACGTGCATCGTGCGCATACAGGCGCGGCGGCGTCAGGAGCCCTTCTTCAGCGAGCGGTACGAGTCAAGCGACGATACTTCCGGCGGCTCCCCGACGGGTCCCTGTCCAACACCACCGAGAACATGGCGCTGACGCTCAAGGGGTGCGAGGCCTTTTGCGTGAAGAGCACCTGGTACTGGGATGCCGTCCCCCGCCTGACGACCTGGATCTTTCCCGGTCGTGATGCTGCTCGCGAACATCGAGCTGTCCCCCATCGACAAACATCGCTTCATGAATGCCGTCTACGCCGTCGGGGATTCGATCGACTCGTTCTGGTCACTGCTGCACAAGATTTACGTGTGGCGCCGCCTCCACGCCATGGGTATCGACCGCTCCGGGCCGCGCGGCGAGACACGCAGCTGGTAGAGTTTCGCCTCGGCAGTGGTGCGGTGGTGGAAGAGGAGGAAGCCATTGGAACTGCAATGGAAGCGGTTTTCCTTGAGTTTGGGTCTGCCTGCTTGGCTTGGCGGAGAGCAGGGTGACAAGGGCAAGGAGACGCACAAAGCCATCAGGATGATGGTGGACGAGGTGGCGAGCGTGTCATCAGCGCGGTCGAGCTGGACGACCAGAACGAGGAGGAGGAAGGGGAGTCGGAACATCCTCATGACCGGGCTCGTGTGATCGCCACGGTGCTGACCGGTTTTGAGGGGATTAGCGGTGCTTACATCGAGACTGAGCTTCGCTATACCGTGGTGATGAACCGGCTTGGAAACATTGGTCAGGCCGGTCAAGAGTCACCCAAAGCCTGGCACCAGTGGCATCACTGCGCGCCGATGCTTGCGATACCAGGACGAACGAGTTTCTCCGTACGTTGCTGGCCATCTTCATCTACGTCTTTGGTGTCGCCGCAGCGCTCAACGAATCCATCGGCGGCGCCAACACGTCCAATCCGGGAGGGCGCATCTGCTCGGCCGTGTTCCTCATGTGGTTCGTCCCCTCTGTTCAGTAACGTCGTCGGCACCTTCACGAGCCGCGGAACCTGCCTCACCATTATGCGGTTGTTTGTGCAGAATGCTAAAGCGGGGCTGGAGGAGGAGGAAGCGGACTACCAGACCACCTGCGAGGGAGGAACCGGTGAGCCTCACAATCCCATCCCCACCTATTGCAGGCGGGTTGTCAGCCACGGTGTCAGGGGAAGTCGGTCCACGAAGTGAACCTGCAGATGACTCGGGAGCGAGTCGCATCAGCGCTGTGGGCAGTTTTATCATAATGTGGTACGCCGTCCTGGTCGGTTGCGGCTGCCGCCACGTCTGGGTCGTCGGCTTTGACTGTAGCCTGCATTTGGCTGCACAACGACAAGCTCTCTGCGAGAGAAGTCCACGATAACACCATTTCCGTGGGTTCTAGGCGCGCATGTCCCGAGCTCGAATCCGCCACCAACCCCATTTAGAGTTGCCAGCGCTCGCCCTTGGGGCTCAAACTCTCCCTTGGGACGAGGCCTGACCACCCACCAGATATGACGTTCGTGTCAATCCGGATAGGGACCACTCGCCTGCCGCCGTCCCGTCTCATGACTGTCCTTCAAGCCCTCCCCTCCATCGAACAACCACACCTACCGACAGTCACCTTCCAGCTCTTACAGCGCTGCGCGAGGCACGGCGTACCGGACGCAGCGGAGCCATGCGACGACTCCTTGCCTCGGCATGGCAATCCATTTTTCCACCAGGCAACATGGATCCAGCGGCGCCGATGCTACGTCCTCCTCCTAAAAGACGGCATCGTGGGGCTAGGTAGGCTCGCGGCCGTGTTCCTGTCGACGTCGGGCGTCTTTAACGACTGTTTCTGCTGGTCCGCATACATGTGGCATCGCTGGCTTCCCGGGAACTGGGGCCGCGAGGCGTTTTATGACGAGGATGAGTTTGCGGCTGAGAGGACGGTGCACCGCCGGCGCCGCGGTACTTTTGCGAGCCCCATGAGCCAGCGAGGGGACAGCACAGCGGGGCGGCAGGCGGGAGGGACTGCGCCGTCTCCTGGCAGGCCACGAAACGGCAGTGTTCTCGCGCGGAATCCACAGGAGGACTCCAACAATACGGTTAGAAGATGGAGAGTAAGGTGCTGTGGATTTGAACACGATATGAATGGAACATAACAGTAAAGGCCTGTGGTTCCGTGATCATGAATGAAGACCGCTCATTGTGAGTCGTGGCTCTCTTCCCCTTTCAACACACGGCTTCCAGCCCGCGGCTGACGGTTCATGTCCTTCGTCAAATTGTTGACTATGCAGCCCGGCATTGACTGGATCAGGAGAAACACGGCATGTGTCGGAATCGGCAGTTTTTACCGTGGTATGTTTAAGAGATGCTGAACGACTATAAAAATCTAACCACCTTCGCCACTATTTCTTCCCATGTCACCTATACCGAACGGAGACCAAGTCGTCTCAAGACATTTACCCAACCAATAACGCCAAACAAAACGCTAGATACCCAGAAAGGCAAGAAAACAGGTGCGGATTCCATCAGAGTTCCCACGCACGCCCCTTCACCAGAATTACCTTTCCCCCTTCTTCTCATGCCGCTGCATATGCCGCTTGAAATTGTCCTTCCGGCCCTCGTACGGGCAGCCTGGATGCGAGCACTTGACCTTCTCCGAGCGCGTGTTGCTCTCCCGCGCGAAGTCCGGGTGCTGCGCCCAGAGGTGGCGAGCGAGGGCACGCTTATCAGAGTGACCTTTACCACAGTGTGGTAATGGGCAGTAGAAGGACGGTTGGCGGTGTTTGCGCTCGTGTTTTTTGTTGCGAGGCGGTAATGGGAAGTTGGAGTTGTCCTTGAGGTAGCGGTGGAGGTGGTTGGCAGAGACCGTAGGGCAGGCGTGGACAGACCTGAGGCCGGATCTGCCAGAGAAGAGTGTACACGGGACTTCAAAGCACTGGAGCGGCTGCGAAAGCGCCGGCGCGGTGGGTGGGTAGGACGCCGGTGAGTCAGCTGGGCTGGGCAGCGAAGGCGGTGTCAATGGGGGCAACGGCGTGATGCTGCCGTCAGAAACACTCTGGCTGCCATAGACCGAACTTGAAGGACTGATGCCTGGCATGGTGAGAGGGAGCTCGGGTACCATGCCGAGGTCCAAGCCAGAGAACAATTCAGGATCCATCCAGTCCATGTTAGTGAAAAGAGCTGAGGATACAGCGTTGCTGTCTAGCGCTGGAGCAGTCCACCAAGCGTCCATGTTCTCCAGAGGAGCACTGGTACGGAGCACCAAGTCCGTGTCAAAACCTTCAAGAATGGATTCGGTGGGGCTTCCGCTGTGCATGCTGGAGATATCGTTCCTCAACGGTGAGTAGGTCGGGCTGATTGCATGCGGTGACACCGCCCAGGACGAGGACAGAGCGCAGGCTTGCGTCTCGACGCTTCCGGCACTGAAGGAGCGATACTTGGGAGTTTGATGGTTGGCAGGAGTCGTTGAGATGGCGGGAGTGATGATCTTCTTCGGAACCCAGACCCACTCCCCTTCCTCCTCCTGGAGGAGGCAAGGGAAGTCGGACTGGGCGTAGGGTGTGGTGTGCGTCATTTTCTTCGTGAGGCCCAGCTCGCGGCAACGAGCTGGATGTGCTCTCTCGAGCTGTGCGTTGGTGTTGATGTGGGTGGTATGGTTGTAGTGTGGGCGCGAGCCTTGTGGGAAGACGGCGACTTGTGTGGCGAAAGGCAGATATGGACCAGTTTAACGACGTGATCCCAGGTCGGGAAGCCTTGACGGGCTTTCTATCGCCTCGCCTCAGACATGAGAAAGATGCGTGGCTTGCTGGGACCGACCAGGCTCCGCCTCGGGTGGCAGGACCAGTTGTATGTCGCTCCGATCACGCTCGAAGCCCAGGCGAATATCGTCTGGCCATCGGCAACTTGAGCTGGACCGGCTTCCTCTTCCTTCCAACTGAAAAAATCGACCGAGGAAAGTACTAGCTGAGTCTCCGACACCACCTCGGCTCTGTCTGCAGGCTGAAATGCGGCGTCGAAAGACAAAGCCCTACCACGCCGGTCGGTCGCAGACTTGCAATTGTCGCAAGATGTGTGTCGGCACTTGGAGCATTCGCCATCTTGACTGCGGCGTCCGCCGTAGTCAAGATGCATCGAGCGACGCTTCCGTCCCAGGAGTTGCTCGAATCGTTGCGCCTGAGCGAGAGCAATCTTGTTGACGACGCAAGGTGCACGCCGCTCTGACTGTTTGGAATCAGCCGGGGCAAGTAGACGTGCCATTCGGAGCCCTCCGTCGTCCAGGTGTTTGACGTAGTCTACAACTAGAACCTGCTCCTCTTCGACGGACGATGTCGGGGATCGCCGTGGATGGATCCGTGCCAGGCTTGTCCGCAAGCTGCCGATGGCGCTGAGCACAGATTGTTGGAACTGTGCTGCTCGTTCCGCTTCTGTGCGAGGAGCCCACATCTTGCTCAAAAGCGAAGTGGAGGAACTTTCGTGCAAGTCCGTACCGCGGTTGGCGTCTTTCCAATCACGCCCTTGAGGTGTCCAACGGGGCTTTCGATGTTCAACGTCGGCTTGGTGCAGGTGGAAGGGAACGGCTTGAGAGATATGACCAACATCGTGGACCAAGATATGAACGTCACCGTGGACCTGCACGTGGAATCGTCGTCGGGTCTCCCGAGCGTGCATAGAGGACCTCGGGAAGTATGGTGAGTTGATTGAGGCACCGCGGACCTACGGCATGGGTTAGGAACCGAAAGGGTGAAATCGCGTGTTTGTTTCGCCTACCTGATCAGCCATTGAGGGCCGGGCACGGGGCGTGCAGTGCCAAGGGCACGACGTGATAGAGATGATTTGATGATGCCTGGTATGGATTAAGACTTTGCGTGTGGGAAATATATGGGGGAAGCTACGGAATCAAAGCATAATATCACAATGCAGCATGAGTCGGATTTGAGAGAAATGAGGTTGAAGGGGTAACTTGAGATCGTGGCTCGGCGGGGAGTCATCGGATTTATCGCCTTACCTCATGGCCCAAATTTCAGGTCGCCTTGGCCGATGGTGTTCGCCGTGGGTCGGCGGCGCCCTCTCGGAGTTTCTGCACGGTCATTGGCTGCTTCTCAACGCCGCCCCACTGAGGACGCACAATCAGCCCCCAATTTCCGTCCTCAATTGCGGCGCAGTTGTCTGTTTTGTGTTCAATTGAGGAACGCACCTTGACTTAAATGCTGTGTGCAGGTCGTGGCGTCGATCGAGGTTTGAGAGCGTTATCAAGGTCCTCCCACTATCTTGAGCTTTCCGTTTCATGCATATATTGAATCGCAGGCTGGACTATAGCTTCAAAGAGTCAATCGCACAGCGAACGGCAAGCGGGAATGGGGTCAATGATTCATTCATTGCTGCCCTCGGGTGTGCCTTTGTGTTCGTACTGAACCTGTGAAGTATGACCCAGTTGAAGCGATAACTATATAGCTAGGTTAACAATAACGTTAAGTTAATGGTAATAAAAGAAAAGATCAACCTCCCGGTAACTAGTTACGGTATTGAGTGAAGTAAGGTACCTCTCAACTTTCATCAAGCTAATAATCCGTACATTTTAGCCTTTTAGGTCTTCTTAGCAAATGTCAATGTGGTTTGCGCCGCTACTAAGGTATACTAAGAGCTAACCAAAAACTTAACTCCCACATTGCTTACTTTCCGTCAGGCCAGACAAAGGCTCTTATCATCCAAAGAAATAGATATAAGTATGATTCGCGCAACCTGATCTCTGGTATTACCTAATTTCAGATCCCTGACCACAAGTGGCCTACCGGAACGCAACCACAAACCGTCTAGGGTACATCAGCAGCACCTTTCCATCCCCCGTCGGCGGATACTCCTTCTCCAACCTCCTCTGATACTCGGCCAGAAAAGCCTCCCTCGCAACTCCGTCCGCTGGCAACGCGTTCAAAAACGGCTGAAGGCCCGTCCCCTTGGCCCACTCGACGATCTCCCTGGGTCCATCCAGCACATGAACATACGTCGTATTCCACGTCTCGACGGCCCGACAATGCGGCTTGAGCGCATCATAGTACTCCGCAAACGACTCGATATCGTCCCGCCCCAGTTTATCAACACTTCCCGTACCCGACAGCTTCTCAAAGAACTCCCTCCAAGGCCCTTCGGACGCCGCTGTCTCCCGTATCAAGCGATGCGACGGCTCGTGATAGTTATCGGGCATCTGAAACGCCAGCACGCCTCCCGACTCATTCCCGCCTTCACGCTGTTGCGGTAAGGTGCGCAGGAGACGGGCAATAGTTGGGATGCGCTCGTCCCGGCGCAGCCACTGGAACACGGCGTTGGCGAAGAGCAGGTCGGTTCCGAAAGGAGGCTTGTGCGTGCGCAGGTCAGCTTCGGCGAACGAAATCTCCGGGAGAGTGGCGCGGGCTTTGGAGATCATGGCCGGGGAGGAGTCGACGCCGGTGATGCTCGCGCCGGGGAAGCGGATTGCGAGGAGGGCGGTGCTGTTGCCTGGGCCGCAGCCCAGGTCGACGATACGTCGGGGCGAGTAATCTGGCCTAAGAAACGTGAGGAGGTCGTTGACGGGGCGATTGCGCGCGTCGGCGAAGAGGAGGTATTGGTCCGGTGACCAGTCGCTGGCTCTAACTGCGGGCGTCGATGTTGACATGCCGGCAGTGAACCGCCTGGATACGGGTTGCGACGGAGTACTGTAATTGGGAGAGAGCCCAAATGTTGTTGCGAATTTGAAGATGTGTTGTGTTGGAAAAGGTTTTGTCACCCAAGGAATGCTTGAGCCAGGAGAGAGCGCAGCCATGCTGCCACCTGTGTACCTTACCTTATTGATTGCGGTGAGAGAGGTGATCTGAGGACAGTGATTTGAGGGACCGATTTAATAAGTGATCAACAGGGAGCAGTCATCGTGGTGTTATGACGGAGCGGCCGCGAAGCCGAACGGAGATCGGGCTTCAACCGAAAAGGGACTTGGCCAGACGGGTAATCCGAGCGGAGATTCGGCTCGTACGGTGTTGCGGCAAAGGTTAAAAAATTGTACTCATGTGCGAGGCAGGAGCGTGATCGCGCCTTCCCAACTAAGATAACCCCTGAAATGCCCAATATACCAAAACGTTTTGGACACATCGCCAAAAAATAACACGAGCAGCCGATGGGCTGGCTGTGCCGCTCCGGTCTCTCCCGCCGGGAATTGAACCCGGGTCTCGAGCGATGTCGACCACGTCAGATGACAAGCTCACATACTGACCACTATACTACGGAAGATTGTGGCTGTTATCAGCCACTGTAGCTTGGTGGTGTAGCCGAGCTTGTCCATTATGTGCAACAGTTTTGTACAGAAACAACTCATGCCCGACCCCACCACGACTGTCACATATCATCCCAATCCCGATCCCGATCCCAGTACATTGAACAAGTTCACCGCGGCACGACGCTTACCGGATCTTCAGCTACTCTGAGTCTCTTCTTGCCTGAGTTTCTCCATCGTCGACGCAAAACGGCGAACTCGATATGCTTGGGTAGCCATGCTTTGATCACACAGCTGCCCTGCGAGATAATCGCCAAAATCCTGCGCAACATCGACTCTCCTAACGTGCCGCCATTTCTACACCTTATTCAAGGAATATCATGGATCTAAATCTCGATTCTTCGCCATCAAATTACCCCGGCCCTCCTTCCACACGCAGTCGCCGTGGTGGAAGCGTAGCGTCTGCCTTGGCGCAGGGTTCTCACAAGCTCGTTCCGGTTTTCCTTGGCAAGCTCAACGAGCGGCCGGCGCGTCTGGTGGACCGGCTGCCAACTTTCCCAACGGCCTTGATTTGGAAAATACACCGCACCCATGACGTGATTCACGCCTTCGCAACCGACTTTGCGACGCGCGCCTTGGATTGCGTTGCAGATGGAGCTGCCTCAGCTGGTCCATCCACAGAAGTAGCGCTATCGCCTCTCAAATACTTTCGCTTCTGCCGGGCATTCTACAGGGTCGAATCATTCTACACGCTTTTCCAGTACGGTTTGTTTGGAAACAACATGGACAACTGGTTTTTTTTCGAGACGTCCGTTTTGGGAAAACGAACAAATCGGCTGTGTATACGAGTACTTGCCAGCAAGGCTCGCCGAAGGTCAGTACGCTAACGTCAGAACAAACGATAACCTGAGCAGTGACCATATGGGTAGCTTCTCACGATGTCGTCACCCATGATGTTTTCTTCGGGGGAATCTCGATCTACTATCTTACGCCTGGGGAGGACGACCGATATCACACTTGGGTTGGTGCCCTTGAACTCCTCATTCGCCGTCCCACCTCTGTAGCGCCTTGCTGACGCCTGAACGACTAGCTGTCTCAAGGTGTCGAGTTTGTTTACAACCTGATAGTTGCCGACTCTTACGATGCCAAGCACAGCATGTTGCAGTCTGCTCTGAACTCCAGCTCCCGCTGTGTCAACTTGCTTGAAGCCTTGGTCGCATTTCTCGACGGCCTCTACCTCCCGGACGGGAGCACTCTGGAGCAGCTATCTGAAGAAGAGTTGCGCTCTTTTACCCCAAGCCACGCTTATGATTCTGCCCAGGACGCCACAAACCGAGGGCCGTACGAGTCTTGGCGCCACACTCGTGCAAATTTGAGGTTGGAGACATCGCTCATGCACGCTGATGACGGTTGCCTCCATGAGCGCGCCTACGTGTTTCGGAACCAGGACCGCGTGCAGATGCACTTCGGGGCTGGGTTTGGGGAAGGCCCCATCTCCAAATGCCATCCGCGAGCGGGAATATCATGATATGCTGGATACGTTCGCTCAGAGGTCAAAGATCGGGCGGAAAAGGGGCAGGGGTTCTTGGAGCAGCGCTGACACGAGCCGGATAGTGTGGCTGGATTAACTGAACTGGGATGAAAGTTCTAGGGTGGCCACAACAGCGTTCTCAAGCCAGTTCCAATACGCCTAGAGAAAAAAACAGACGCTATCCTATTGCATGTTGCTATGCTGCCAAACGCCGTGCTCTCGCCCAGGTACCGTTAACCCACGTGCATTAACGACACACTTCGGGCAATCATCGCCTGTAATACTTCATGTCAGGAAGTCACATCTGGCAGTCTGAGCAGCGAGGATCCGGCATGTTTATAGCATTGCGGTCATGGTGTCCCGCATGTTTACTGCCTAACATACAACGGCTGCCAATTTGGAACACTCTTAATTCCTGTGCTTGAATGCCCCGACAAGCATCATACCGTGAACCACGAGATTCGAGTCCAGTAATTCACGAGATTTTAACTGGAATAGCGCCAGCATACGAGTTATCCAAACTTGTTGTCGATGTAGCTGTTGTCTGCAAACTGTCTGTCAGCTTTTAAAGGGCATTTCAACGGGGTTCAAGAAAGTGCCTACCGATCCCGAACGAAGCCTCTGTGCCCGAACAAGTACATCCAATGTTAATTAAGCCTTTGAAATCCCCAGACGGGGTCCTTGTTCCAAAAGAAGTGGCAGCTGTCGCACTGAGCGCCAAAGTTTCCGTATAACTGCCACTGCTCCCGAGTAAGTGAGTTGACGCTTGGAAACTCTTGCGGAATCCCTCCTTACAAGGATTTGGTTCTGGTCGTCGTCGAAAACGAGACAGGTGTTGAGGTCGAGCGAGGTCGGCTGCCAAGCAGCATTGCTCCCCTGGCCGTCGTTACACGCTCCACTGAGGACCTCAGTGGCCGGGTCGAGTGTGAGGTTGCGGCAAGTAGAGCTGATGTTTTCCGCCATGACGGCAGAGATGAGCGGAAGCAGAGCAAAGACTGTTTTCATGGCGTCGGTAATCTCAGATGTCAATACCTCTTTGCTGAGACCAAGATGAACAGAAAGGAATGAATAGGCAGCCCAGTCGTTTATGTAGTCATAGAATCAGAACCATTTGGCTACTCGCATTCGTTGCTCTCTTCGGGGTGTACTGAAAGTTCAACACCTCGGACTTAATCTTCTGCACGCAGGTCTCGTGATTGCAGAAGAAGTCCAAGTGCAACGGCCCCTTCTAGCTAAACCACTTACTCTGGGCAGACACCGTAAAAACAGGCTTAAGAATGATTGCTAAGCAATAGCTAAGGAAACCTTGAAGATTCAAGCTAACCGTATCAACACCACGGTTTCTCGAAGTTGGGAGATGTATTGCTAATCGGGTACAAATGTGGAGGGAGGAAGGAAGGTCGCATGCATAAAGCCAAATCCTATTGCTACGCAATGCATGAGTACGACCGGAAAACGTGGCTTTCGCCTGAGGTTGCTGGAACTTTCATGTTGCCAGCGAAACTTATCTAGGTCCGCTACAGGTTCGGTAATAGAACGCCTAGCTGGACGATAAGATGTTGCCATCAAAGGACATACTCTTGACGCATAGGTACCTACATTGTTCCCAAACCTCAACATCCAAGCTGTCTGGTTTGGAGAGTTCGAGGTGATACACCTATTTCAATTTCCAAATTCAGGCACTTCAGTTATGTGCCATGGATTACCGGCTAGATCGCCGGAAATCCCAGGTGTGTTCGGTTAGGTGACATCTCCCTAGGATCGGAGCTAAGGTCTAACCATTGTTGCCCGATTGGATGATCTTGTTCGAAGTCCTGAGGTACCCTAGGGTATGGTATCTTGACCTACACGTACCTACATCTACCTACCTTATGCTGCCACTCCCATTCCGTCTTTTCCACGCCTGCTTCCCTCGCTTTCTCCCCCGAAATGAACCTGAAGCATCCCGGCCATTTCCCCCTCAAGCATTCACAGCGGAGCCCTTTCAAGATCCGCCGGTGAATGCATCCCAACCACCTGCGGCACACCCTGAATAGGCCTCTGCCATCCCGCCCGGTGCTCGACAAACTGCTCCACTTGAGGCCGCAGCTTGGTCTCGGCCAGCGAGAAGTCGTCGACCGTCCCCGTGCGCAGGATCGTCAGGCCCGGGAAGCGCTCACCACGACGGTACATGAGGGTGCCGCACGTGCCGCAGAAGTAGTTGGTCATGAGCCCGCCGGAGCGCACTGTCTCGGACTGGGAGAAGATCTTCAGCTGGTCGCGGCCCCGGACGTGGCGGAGCTGAGCGTCCGAGACGGTGATATTGGACATGTACAGGCCGCTGCTAATCTTGCGGCAGTCGCTGCAGTGGCAGACGTGTCGGTTGACCAGGCCGGAGCCTTGGATGGGCTGCTCGAGATGGTGAGCAGAAACCCAAGAACATGGGCGGATAATACTCACAAAGACAAGTTGGACCGCTCCACAAAAACAGGTTGCAGTGGTTTCGTCCTCGGTTGACCAGCCGTCACGGGCAAGACCGGCGACAGGAAACTTCGCGTCGGAGGCTGCCATGGTTCAAGGTAATCTCTTGATTGTGGTAGGATTTTTCAGTTCGTGACAGAGGTCTTTCGAGCTGGTCCGCCCCTGGGTTGATCAACTTGATGGTACCTCGATTGGTACTCAAACTGACTTAGGCTGCTGAGACCGGATTAACGTTATCGGATTGCCAATAGTCGAGTTGCCAACGTCGAACGCTGTCGAGGTCGCCATCCTTGACAACATGTCGCGAGTCTTATACATGTACACGGTGGCAATCAAATAGTGAGTACCTCGACCGGAATGCTCCGGAGGTTGGTAATGCTGCTCACTTGAATCAGCAAAAAGATTCTAGAAGCAGTGTCAGCAATCGCACCCGGAGTACTCCGGACACCCGCCCAGTCCCGACCCCGACCATCAAGAATCCAAATTGCTGGCATTTTATGCCGGTTCGAGCATGCGCCCACTGCTGATCCAATACAGCTCCGACCCTAACGTGCACTTTCAGTTTGGCCCCTACCATCTGGCCATTCGGCTCGGTAGTGGAATGCAGGCAGGGCGGGCCACGCAGCCCCCTAATGACCTAATCACCCCAACGCAGCTGTCTTCCAAGGATTCCAATCCAATAGTTATCCATTCTTACGCATAATTTATCCCGGTCATGGCAAATGCGGCTTCAATCAAACGCAGTGTGCCCCTTGAGTGCTTGCACGCTGACATCTGAATCGGTCTCGATGGATCCGTTCAAAATGAGATCGCATTGGCACTACGCTAGCCCCCACGACTCCAGCCACCAAAAGCCTCATGTTGACGTTTTTTTGAGGCATTGGCGTTCGATGAGGTGGTGGTATTCTGGTGATATTGTTGGCTCTTCCAGAACCGGACTTGTTCATTTTCCTTCTTTTCCTCTTCTCCAAGTTGTTTACGTCCTTGTGCAGGGTGCCGGTCGCGCTGTGGTAGTGTTCGCTTTCGATCTCGTCCTTGGAAACATTGCGAGCAATGACCTCTGAAGTGCCGGGATTGCCTTGGATCTCGTCCTGGGAATTGCGAACAACGACTTCCGAAGTGCCCGGCTGGGTCAGGTTGAAGGCTAGCGCTTGAAGCAAACGGCAATAATAAAGGAGAAGAAGACTGTAACTAATATACTTCATGTTGATGTCTGGTAAGGTGATGAGGCAAGGAGGAGCAAAAGACCGTAGTGGGGTTTCTGGAAATATGTCGGGCAATTTGATGCGTCGATTGTGTGCTGTATGAACGGCAAGATGCGAGGACTGAGACGTGGAAACCATACACATGTTTCATACTTGGATTGATTAGCACGGCATCTTCCAAACTGTTGCGTTGTTCCGCTAGGCCTCAGGGAGGAGAACGGCCCGGGCCTCTTGTCTCTGTTGTGGGGAGCTTCATGCTTCCTGGGGCTGCTCCGTGAATCTGTAGGCAAAGGGAAATCAAGGGCAAAGGGAAATCAAGGGCAAAGGGAAATCAAGGGCAAA